CTGTTGGTAGTCGGGCCGCGCGACATAAAGTTTCAGAGCGGGTTCCGGATCCAAAGCCGCTGTCCGCGTTCATAACTCTGAGCGAGTAGACGCGATGGACGAGATGGTAGTCGCTTCCTCCTGTCGAGCAGCCTTGACTAAGTGAGACAGAGTGCGCTTCACTCGGACGTTCGCTCCCGCAAGCCGGAGTTGAGTAGCCCCGAAAGCCAACAGCACCTTGTCCGCTTCCGTAGCCTTGTTAAGGACTGATAGCAACTTGAACCCATAGTCTACTTGGAAGCGGTGCCCGTCAGGTACTCCCTCTAGCTTTTCTAATCCCTGTAGGATTTGGTGGAAGGCGTATAGAGTATGAGCTACTCGCGTAAACGTTTTAACCTCCAAACGGAAGTAGCGAGGTTCTGTCTGAGGGAAAACGGGGGAAACCAGTGATTCTGCCGCAGGAATGGAGGAAATGGCATCCACTTCCTCATCCAGGCGATCCCAAGTCATATCGCTTCGCGGGGAGTAGTATCGTTTCAATATCAAGCGAAGGAGAGCCAATCGGTCGTCTTCGAGAATCTGCTCAACGCCTTCGAATCCGTACACTATGATAGGATCATAGTTTTCACGAGGGGATTCGATTTGGTGATGCCGGAGTACGCTATCCACCAGCGGCTCATAATAAAGGCCAAGAGTCCCGCCCAGGTATTCGAAGATAGGAGGAGGGACCAGCTGCGGGGATCCAGCAACTGTGTGAGACGTCTTGAGCGCCGAAGTGATAGAATCACCCTTCAGATGAGGCGGAGGTGGCCTGAAGCTAACGGAATAAGGTGCTGGAAGCGAGTCCGTCCTGGTTGGCGGGGATAGTTCTTGCCAGGCAGAAGAACAACTGGTGGCCGGCCCCGAAGTCCTAATCGATTCTTCCTCCGAGGAATTTGGCATCTCTGCTTCCGGCGCGTTGTCACTGGGGCGAGCGGTGTGGTTCGAAGCATCACTAGCAGCCCTCCCGCGCCCTTCGTCCGGTTTCAGATTAGAAGGTCTGGTAGGTTGGAAGACGGGAGCTCTAGCGCTCAGGACAGGGGAAGGGGAAGGAGGAAGAGTTGCCGGCTGCGCTTGAGATCGGGCAGCGTGTACGGCGGGAGTCTGCAGTGGCGTCCAAGGGGACGAAGAATCGAAAGCGCCTTGCGAAGAACCAATGCGGGACACGTCGTCCAACTCCAACTGCTCAAGTTGGGATCCAGCCTGAGCAGGAGGTTCGGCCACTGACGCTCTTCGTGGCATTTTCCCGGCCGCTTTGCTGGACGGGGCAGCAGGGTTGGAAGCCTTGCGGAGAACTTTTTGAGAGCTTGACGAGGACATAAGGGAATTTAGTCGGTCGTGGAAGTAGAGGACAAGTTTTTTCGACGCGTCGTCACGCCGACAAGTAACGGATTATAAGTTGGAAGTGAAACACCTCGCTTAAAGAGCGATCACTCGGTTCGCTAAGTCTTCAGGAACCAAGCACATGGAGTATAGACGAGACACACGGCAGGATTCCGGCTGTGGGAAACGCCACGTAGCAGCCTCGATACGTTCTTTGAGTTATTTCAAGGGGGTTCTACGATCTTCTTCGTCGTCGAAGGCCCTCGCGGTGGGCTCCATTTGTGACGCAGCTGCGAAAGGAGCCTTCGCGAGAAGAAGAGAGAAGGGGATGTTAATCCAGAGGGGGTCGGACCGCCGATGGCATCCAAAGGCGGCCCGACTAGCGACCCGTAGCCTACGGCGAGGAGGAAGCAGTTGCGCGTACTCGGGCGGTCGGGACGGGTCCGCGAGAAGAGATGGAAAGACGATAGAGAAGTAAAGAGTTAAGTTGCTGCTGCGTGACCTAGTCACGTCTACCGTTACATAGCATGTGACTACTGGTCATGTGTCTACTTGATATCTGATAATCCAAAGTGCGAGTTCTGAGTCGTATAGAGTAAGGTGAGTGATAACCCGTTACAGTGAGTTAACAATGTAAATTGAATATCTACATAAATATTGCATATTTTAAATATCCGACTTTTGTTCGCGCTTAATTGAGCCATTTGGCGACTTTTTGATTTTTTAGGGTCGGGGGGTGTCAGGCAGCGTCGGGGGTGGCGGCGCTGCGTCGGGCGGAGGGCGGGGTGATGGCCTGCCATCAATGACATCGGGGATGCGGCGGGGTTGATGAAAATGATGCTAGTATTGATGTGTAATCAAAGTACAAAAAATTTGATCTAATTTGGGCAAGAATTGACCTCATTGTCGTCGGCGACGTCCACGACGACGAGCGCGAGCCTTTGACAGCGGCGGGGAGGTAAGCGGCGGTGGCGCGGGGGTGTTGCCGAGCCGACGACAGCGAGCGGTGATGTTCTTGATGTTCCTGATGGAAGGTGTCAGCAATGGTCACGGGTCACGGCCGCGCTCACCGTCGGCGGCGGTGGGGACGGGCCTAGACGACGACGAGAGGGCGGGAGGGTGCCCGGACGATGACGCCGGCTCCCGACCGTGTCACACTGGCTTCCACCACCATGAAGCCCGCCGTCGGCAGCCGGAGGTAGCGGGGGTGCCCGCGGCAAGCTCAACCCCCTCTAGTTAGAGGCGGAGAGTACCCTAGTCTCCGCCTCTAATTAGAGGGGATCTGGGTGAGCTATAGGTGCTAAGGCCGCTAACTCCGTGACATGACATCGGACCGTTGGTGGCGAGTTGAGGCATACTGCAACAGAACCCGGTCAAGTCACATCTTGGCATGCGGCAAGCGTTGCCGAGTGTTACCCGGGTGTTGACAGTGACAGATGCTGACATGAGGACCCCGGAGATGGGGAGATAGTGTACCCGCATGACAGCCGGACCGAATGTATCCGTTATCGATAAGACCAATTGTTACTTGCCCTTTGACTTCGTGCAATGCCCACTCGTGAGTGGACCAGCAGCAGCAGGTCTTGCCAAATTCTCAATACTGATACCAGCACCCCGGGAATGGCTTGATCCAAAGATCCAGCATTACTGGATGCTGGGCTATGGCGACACAAGGATGAGCAAAACAATCATACAAGATATTGTGCAGAATCCTGAATTCCAAGGAAAAAACTACACAATGAGGTATGATATATGCTTGGCTTGGTTCTGAACAAGTCTCTCACATCTAGCCTAGTATCTCAGGCTGTTTTCGAGCACGCCCGTCGGCTTAACCTGCTTGGAACATATCAGCAGAAGCAACAGCCAGGTGCATATGCCAATGTGCCCCAGATTATTGCTGCCCTCCGGCCTGCATATCCCAATATGGGAGCCCGGTCATTGGTGGTTGTGCTCCGTTGGGAACACGGCATTAAAATTCCCGAGTTTGGTTTATTTGCATCTATCCTCCACTGCTAATAAAGGCTTGCAGAAAGGATGTCCTTGATATTTTGCGGACAATGGAGCCTGAGGCTGTTGCACGAAGATATGGAGCCCGTTTTAAACGCTCACGATTCTACAGTGCAGGCGTAATGGAGATCTGGAGCTTTGATCAACACGACAAATGGAAGTACTTCGGCTTGTACATGCATCTTGGAATGGACCCATATACAGGGCGATTCCATTGGAACAAGATATGGTGGACAAACCGTAACACTGCTCTGGTCACCAGTTACTATCTTGAAGCAGCTCGTCGGGAACGCAGTAAGCTTATTCCTTTATGTTATTTAAGATTCTGATATAGTATAGCAATTCCATTGCTTACGTTCAGCGATACTGGCCGTGAAAACAATGGCATTGCTAAATGTCATACAGCAATGCGCCAAGAACTTGATCCATCTTTACGTGGCACTATTCAACACAAGTGGCACTATGATAAGATGAATATCAAGTCCGAAATCAGCTGGTCTCGCATTCGGCGGGGCTGGGCTGTTGGATTTGAGCATCTTCTTGAACAAGGCGAAGTACTTGGGATTATTGATTTTTCTCAACGTGACCCAGTTGATATGTGCGTTTTTAATAAATTAGCTAGTTTGTTGAGAATACTTAGATTGACAGATTTCTCTTTCGGTGGCTCTTTATCCCCTACCTGCAGGCTGAGCTTGACGCTTGGACGGCCCGTCAAAATGGCAGTATGCGTCGTTCCTACAAACACAAACTTCTGCCACATGGTATTCCTGATGAAATTCATACAAACCCTGAAAGATGGCGTGGTCAGAATTTTGCAGTGAGGATCTTGCTGCTTCTGTCTGGTATACCTTCTGAAAATGTTAGGTTTCAGTTTCCGATGACTTGTTAGATCAGATGACCTCACTCTGGTCTCCACCAACAAGCCCAGTATTTGAACTCACCTCTCCGGCTTTCCATGAACAAGTTCAGCAGCTCTATGATGAGATTGGCCAACCGCAAATCACTTATGATTCAATCTGGGATGTCTTTGTGATTTTGCGCAACCAATTGGAGCAGGATTTGACAGATGATGACCGGGGTGCTTTCCTGACAGCTTTCAAATCATTGGAGGAGAATTTTGACTATGATGTTCAAGCTGTGAACTTAGGTGGAGAGCAAGAGGATGATGAAATGCATGAGATAGATGATGACTTCTTTGGGGATCGTCTGTTCAGTGATGAGGAAGCAGATGTTGAATATGAGGTTGTTCTTCCTGAAGATGAGGAAGAGGAAGAGGATGAGGTTCAGGGAATATTAATGAGTCATTGATAAGGTTAAGGATAAGCAATTTTTGTAGAAACTATGCAAGGGTGAAATAAATTTTATTTTATTTGTGTTATTATTTTTATTTTTATTTTATTTTATGTTATATTAAGTTATAATATTTATTATGACATTATCATACCATTCTAGCATTATTATGGCATCAATATGATATATTATCTTGAAATTATAATTTAATATTGCTGGCCAAATTTTGCTCAGATTCTCCGAATGCAAAGAGGTAATGAAGAAATGATCTGCATGTAACTAACTACGTACATGCAACGCAATTAAGGAAATTGTAGACTAAGACAATAGGAAAACAAAGGAGAGTAGGATTGAAATAGTGATCATGTAGACCTTGCGCGAATTGGGACAAAGTCGTGGAGGGGTGCCAAGCCATAGTCAATGCAGAATGAGTTGCATCGATGATCATTCTTGAAGTTATAGAAGGCCGAGGCAACATTACCTCCCGCAAATATCTCACCAAGTTTTCTTGAGCACCTGTCAGCTACGGTGACCACAGAATCATAGGACGTACGGGTCACTGATGATCTGAGGATCCGTCAGAAGAATATTTCCATCGTTGTCAAGTCCACCTGGATGTTACTTTAGATTGAGGTATAGTATTTGAGCAACGGCACAAACCTTGATAGTCACTGACGAAAATCATGCCATCAGAAAGAATATACTGAGCATGCTGCGTAAATGAGAGGAATAGAGCAACAGGATCATTCTGCGCCGAGGCCGAGAGCCGTGCTGAGCCATTATGGATGTACTTGACAAAATCCCCAGTGATGCGCTCCTCGACCATGAATACCTTGGGATGCTGACCGCCGCCTTGCTCGACTGCAAGTCCAACCTCTGTAAAACGAAGCTGGGGCGATCGAAGCTTCGAGCGCCAGTGTGGGTCATCGCACATCTTTGTCGCACGCCACGACCTCATCATCCCATAAGTTGCTTCAAGGAGAGCATTGCCCCACTGATGCGCGCTGATCTCATCGGGAAGATGCTTGAGCTGCGCTTCTGAAGACAGGATCTTGCGATTGGCGCCTATACAAAGGTCAAGACAATATTTAATTGTTGTCAATGACCCAGACCTTTTCCGTCATGTGCCTGCTTTGCGCAGATCTCCAGTCTGGATGTCGTAAAGGGAGACTCGGATATATGCCCAAAGAATGCAGCTTTGAAGCCCCCGATGCTCTTGTGGTCGAAGTTGATGCTCAATGTATACTCGGACTCGGTAGCAAATCGATCGAGACGGCTTGATGACATGGCTTTCGTTAGTTCATCGAGTGGGAGCAATAGGACCATCTTTAGGCCAACGCGGAACGTGCGAATTTGGACTGAAACATGTCAGCATAAACATAAGATGACGGAGGACACCCTACCAAAGAGATGAGCATCAGTTGCGCTCGTCTTCTTGGCCAACGAAAGGGCACGAGCCAAATCAGTGGGAATGACCACTGGAGCTGACGCGGAATGGCGCGAGCGAGATGCGTGTGATGACAGAAATTCCCCATCGATATCATTGGGAATGGCGGCAGATGAAGAGGGAATCTGCTGGACGGAGCGGGATGTGTTGATGGACACAGACTTCATTGCCGCGGCGGCAGCCGACGTCGAGGGAATAGGTTGCGACTCCATCATAGAGGACGGCTCGGCCACTGTTTCCGACTAGTCTCAAGTCAGTCGTAGGAACCGAACGGACAGCAAAAATTGACATACCTGCTTCTTCGCTCGTTTGCGCGCCGGCTTCGTAGAGCCCGCCACCTTTCGTTTACTAGCTCCCGATGTTTGCTCTGCCACCAGGAAGGCCTCTTCCTCCATATCGATCGTCCAGTTGCGATACCGGGTCACCCAGTTCTGCGAAAGCATCAGGCGAACGATGGGAACAGTGGCTTTGTTGTTAAAGACGAGGCTGCTCCCATCTTTCGCCGACTTGAAGAAGTGGTGTCGAATGACAGGGATGTCGAGATCCATCTTGTAGGGAATGCCAGCGGCGTTCTGTAACTCGACATCGTCGATGAAGAGAGGGAAAGTCTCGGAGAAACCGAGATTGGTGAGCGCATCACGGTATGGTTGCTCTATCCACTTGAATGCAAGTTCCAGCAGTGACGCAGCGGTGATGTTGACAGGAACGACCTCTGGAATGGTTTTAAGGCATGTCTAGACAACGATGAATACAGATTTACAACGCCGAGAAGACTAACCACATACCTCGAATGTTTGAAATGACTTCGTCTTTGCTAGGTGAACGAGACGGATTGTGATCGAAACAAGAATCGCGGTGCTGGTACCGAGGGCGCGCTTGCGATTTGCCTGCTGGGCAGCTTCATAGTTACTGTGGTTTGAATTATACCCACCAGTACTATGGCGGATTTGCGGGCCTCTTGAGCTTGATCCTGATGTACCTGCGACAGTTCCAATGGCCCGAACCTTGACCTTTTCTGTCAAAGTATGTTAGCTAGGAGACGAGAAGAAGAAATCCAATTGTACCATGGCGCTGGGCGGCTGCGACAAGTTGATGAATCTCCGCATCGCCCTTGACACGACGTCCATGAGGGGCTGGCGGCGGCGGCATCCCATGGGAATGTTGGGATTGTGAAGGTTTAGATGACGCTATGGTGGTTGTGAGCAATTGGACACTGTAACGACATATTTAAGGCACTCACCAACAGTTGAGACACGTTTGGTTGTGTCCTGCGCAACCAAAGTGTCGTAGCACGGAGCGCAGACGCTGATTTTCGAACCATCTCGTTGCAAGAGCAGCTGGTAAAGCTCAGTACCCGGAGGATGAACGCCTGCCTTTCCTGTCGAAGAGCCGATACAGAATTTTGCGCGGTCGCAGTAGACGTGTTGAGGGAGAGAGAGCGCGATACCGATGAGTGGCCGTGAAGTAGACATTGGCTGCGTTCCACCACCACAGTTACAGCTGGCTTTTATAGAGCTGCAGAGAGAAAAATAAATCGTACGACTTGTTGGACAACGAGTGGCCGTCGTGGGCTCACCGATGCCGCGTCCTGTGTTTCAGCTAGGCGACCCGGGCGGAGCTAGTCGATTCACACGATGCTCCGCAGGATGGGAGTGGTCGGAGGACGGCGAGCGCAAATGCCACGGCGGGAAGCCGAGAGAGCATACTAACGAGCCCGATCTGGGCAACCATCCAGTCGAGAAGCAAATGCCCCGGCAACAGGAGTGGCTGCCCACGCCGATACTCGCGAGTAAACCACAGTCAGACCCCGCTCGAGCGTCGAGCACCATCGAGTTTGTCGAATTTCGAGGTCAAGACACGGCGCGGGATCAAGTGGGTTTGTCAAGGGTATGGGGGACCAACCAGCCGTGCGTTCAGTCCGATACTTGACATGTTTGAGGGCGATAGTGATGTCTGGTAGTGTGCCAGGTTTGGCGGGAATCGGAGGAGAGAATGGGGCGCGGCGCCTGCCACGATTTTGGTGATTCCGCCGGCCAGAGGATCCGATGCGACGCGATATGAGGTCGTAGGGTGAGGCGTGTCGTTCAAGAGTGGCGGGTGAAGTGGAGCCCGTTGAGATGTGGCGATGGGAGGCGATGGGAGTTCTGCTGCGAGTGGTATGCGTTGGTACGGGCCAGAGGTGGATGGATCACGTGCATGGAAGCCGCATAGCCGAGGGTACCAGAGTGGCCCGGGGTCCACGCTTGGCAGTCGGCAACGCTTGCCGCATGCCAAGATGTGACTTGACCGGGTTCTGTTGCAGTAGAGGCAGACCATTTAGGTAGATCATATCCATACACAATATAGTACCTAACAGATCTTACGTTTGACAGATAGTAGGTGCCCGGGATGGGACAGTCATGTCGCTGGTCACTTAATGTCTCTTAATGTTTAGTATGGCAAGGAGCTTGATTTGCCCATTTCACGGCTTTGAATAGTAGAGAATGCCAATGATGATGCCGATATTAATTTGTATTCAGAAAACAAGCGAGGTATCTACGACCAGCAACAGAGGAATGCTAGACGCTATGGCTAACCATGTGACGTTCGAACCCGACATAACTCAGCGGAGTCATTGGACAAGCAAATCACTTGCTTGCGTCTCGTCCTAATCAAGAGGCGCATTGAAACAGGTGTAGCTGCCAGCCCACCTCCCGTCCATGTCGGCGCCGCCATCTTCGATTCGTGTTACCCAAAGCGCCATGCGGCAGGTCAGGTAGGGAATGCGGGATTTGATGCGCCGACTGTCGGGGTCTCTCTTCAGAGTTGTCGCGCCTACTGGATACACGGGGCGCTCTGTCTGCAATGCCCAAGCTTGATGGTCAGACGAGTATTGATTTCCACAGAGAATGAGAATGACTCACTAAAATCAAAGCAAAACTTGAATACGGTGGATGCCGTCGTGGAGCACAAACATCAACGTTGTGGCTAGCCATGTGACGTTCGAACCCGACATAACTCAACGGAGTCATTGGACAAGCAAATCACTTGCTTGCGTCTCGTCCTGATCAAGAGGCGCATTGAAACAGGTGAAGCTGCCAGCCCACCTCCCGTCCATGTCGGCGCCGCTATCTTCGACTCGTGTTACCCAAAGCGCCATGCGGCAGGTCAGGTAGGGAATGCGGGATTTGATGCGCCGACTGTCGGGGTCTCTCTTCAGAGTTGTCGTGCCTACTAGATACACGGGGCGCTCTGTCTGCAATGCCCAAGCTTGATGGTCAGACGAGTATTGATTTCCACAGAGAATGAGAATGACTCACTAAAATCAAAGCAAAACTTGAATACGGTGGATGCCGTCGTGGAGCACAAACATCAACGTTGTGGCTAGCCATGTGACGTTCGAACCCGACATAACTCAACGGAGTCATTGGACAAGCAAATCACTTGCTTGCGTCTCGTCCTAATCAAGAGGCGCATTGAAACAGGTGTAGCTGCCAGCCCACCTCCCGTCCATGTCGGCGCCGCCATCTTCGATTCGTGTTACCCAAAGCGCCATGCGGCAGGTCAGGTAGGGAATGCGGGATTTGATGCGCCGACTGTCGGGGTCTCTCTTCAGAGTTGTCGCGCCTACTGGATACACGGAGCGCCTGGTCTCCGTTTCTCAAGCTTCAAGCTGTCGTAAATCGAGATATAAATATGTTAACTGTGTCTGAGACTTTGCACTGGCCTCGGACTGAATCTGCATTTCGAGCGGCATAGTGTTTGAAATGTATTCGGACCATCTCAGTGAATTCCACTTGTGTTTCATTTTGCCGGGAGGGCCTCGGCACATGTCATCGCTCGCGGTCCGCGTTACGGATGTATGAATATGGAGTCCGGCCAGTAGTAAGACAATGGTTGCCCAGCGTCCTGATGATAGCTGGGCAGGACCGAGTGTGGTTAGTCGAAGACTCGGACTCACTATAAGGTGGAATGAGTTGTGCTGGTCATATAACAAAAAAGAAACGGACAAAGCTCTATTCCAATAAAATCTGTTGCACTTCGTGAAGAGGATGGTTTGCATTAGTCCTGGTAGGGTGGGATGTTGGAGTATCGGAACAAGAGAGTATTCTGGCGTCAACGAGCCGCGGCATACAACAGCTGGATGCGGTCCAAGGTCAAGTCATGACTTCTTAACAAGAAAAGCCAGCAATCTTCGTTGTTGCGGGTTGTTGTCATGAGCAAGCCATGCTCGATCTCCTCCATCCTCTTCGTAATGACAGATGCGACCATGATTCGACGTTTTGGGTTCGCTTTAGGATACAGAAGGTTACTTCATTCAGAACAGAGAAGCAGAAATAACTGCTTGGTGCATTAGGAACGCAAGTACCAGCGCGTGCGCGAGGAAAAACCACGAGTGTACCTGGGCTCTGGCAGCCGACGAAATCCTTGCACGTAACACTAGCAAGAGATACGAGTCAGTGGAGAACGAAGTAGGAACCAACCCAGAAGTGGAAGCCCAAAACATCCGCCAAGCGCATCGGCTCCGACTTAGCTAAGATGATAAAGACCGGTGAGAAGTACGGGGTCGGGACGAATGCAATAGCGGTGTCGCAGAGAGACATGCCAATCTGGTTGTCAAACAACCACGAATAACAATGGCATCTTCAACACGCCGAGAGAGGTCATCAAACGGCTTCGGGAAAAACACCGAATCCGCACGGTGAGGGACGCCGAAGAGCTTGCACGAGAAGCACACACACAGGGCCACATAAACTGCAGATGCGCCGTGTGCCAGTTAACGCGGGCGATAACAGGCTGCCGTCACCTCCCATAATACTCTAAGTGCTTCAAGAAAGCAAATGGATTGATGAACGCTCTGTAGATGACAAATGGGACCCGAGAACAGCCCAACCCGAATTCTGGGATTCGCAGTTAGATATGGACATGCAAATCATGGATGACGACCATACCCTCCTCTTTTGACCCACGTGTCACCACGCATGGAACGATTGTTGACACGTTTCGGGTATTCACAGAGGGTCAAGCGAACACCGCATACGAATCCCCGGACAGGCAAGAACGAACGCGACCAGGTGCCAGATTTTCACTGACGGTCATCGATAAACAACGGCACCCCCCAAACCCGTGCTGGCGCTGAAATATTCTTCAGTGTTGGGGTCCCGCGTAATAGAGCCCGCGAACTCGGGCCGCCAAATCAAGTGGGCGAGATGGTGGCCGCAAAAGAAGCGGCAGAGATGGACCCAAGCGACCAGATGCGACTCTAAATATGTCATAGAGGGAATGATGAAACACGCACGACGATGGGAAGACGAGGGGTCCTTCAGAACGGAGAACGCGGATCTGGCCCGAACCACACTGTGCAGATTACGAGTGAGGCAAGCACCACTTTCAAATGGGTCAAAGGACAGTCCGGCGTTGCTGGGAATGAAGGCACCGACATACTTGCAGGGGAAGGGGCCCAAAAGGACCACCCCGACGAGATACATATGGATTTAGACCCCCTACCTCCCCTTCCTGGCGCGAAACTCAAGACCATGACACAATCACTAGCAACAGCAGCGATCCAAAAGATAAAGATGGGAAAGGCCACATACATAAAAGCCAAGAATAGGAAGACGACACAGCAGAACATATTGCTTGCACAGTCGGCAATCGCCTTCGAAGAGGATGAAGGGCTATCAGAGAAGTCGGTGTGGAAGTGTGTGCGGAGCAAGGAACACACGCGTCTTCATCTGGAAACTAATACATGGAGGTTACAAGATGGAAGATTATTGGAAGAACATACCTGAATTCGAAGATCGCGCTCCCTGTGTTCCCTGCGATCTCCCCGACTCGATGGAACACATCTTAACCTGTCGCGAGTGCCCAGACAAAAGGAGATCTGGGAAATGGCGGACGAGCTATGGTATAAAAAGACTGGTAAACACCTACATGTAACCCCAGGAAGAATTATCGCCTGCGGGGCGGCCAAGATGAAGAAAAAAACCGTGGCGCTGCCTGTCTCTATCGCATGCTGGTGTCTTGACTATGCCATGACGGTCACTGGGCGATACGGCAACCGAGCCCCGAAGAAGTTCCTTGTTGGAGGGACGTAGGCCAAGCTTCTCGAAGGGGAGAGATTGCTCCCAGACGACTTGATGCAACTGCCTAGTACCGCCCGAGTTTCCTGGCCAATTGGAGCCCCCCCCCCACACGGTGTACACATGTCTATAGAGAGCATTTCCTCGGGTGGATTCCTCGTGGGGCCTGGTAAAGAACAGTGAAAGCTTTCAAAGAACCGCGAGTGACGTGACATACGAGTGACGTGACATACGTGACCTCCCATACGTGACCACCCAGTGACCACCCCCCAAAAAAATCATGAAGGTGAACTCAAGGCGAACTACAACTTGGTGAAAGGTATTTGCGCTCTTCCCATGCATTCACGAATTCTCTTACATCTGCGGCACAGTCTATCGACAAGGGAATGTGCTTTTCACCCCCCTCCTCAGTCCAGTGGGAAACTTCTCAATATTTCAGGTGCGGCGTCGTTCTGTGCTTGTTTCTTTGCCTGACTGATCAATTCCTTTTGAGAGTGGCAAGAACATTGCTGCAATAGCTTTGAGTCCCGACGCAAATGTCTAAATTTCCGTCGATGATGGTGCGTTTTTGTGCATTCCAATCTACCAATACTAAAAGCTCGCAAGACGGCCGCGCCGCCCTCCTCCTTGTGAACTTCCGGAGTTTGACTGTGCTCCACCACTTTAACTTCAGGAAGCCAGTGAAAGACATGAAATTCTCCCCCGACGGAAAGTTCGTGGCTGATTAGACACTTTTCTGTGGGACCTCATTTGAACTAGATTCGCATGATACGCAGCTCCAGGTCTAGCACACGTCAAACCACCTTGCGCGCGCGAATTCGCACCGTTCGACCTGTATCGGACATACACTGGACATCATAACGATGCTTTGAGCATTGAGACTTGAGGTACGTCGTCGTCTCATTGTCCATCTGGGTCTGAGCTACTCTAGTTGCTTTATAACAACGTCGAGAGACATGACTGCTCGATTGTTCACCCTCAATTCGTTGGAAGCCTTCCGACCGAAGACATCTGCTGGGCACCTTGCAAGGCACTGGAAGCAATATCATCGCCAACACACGATGGGGCGTCTACAAGCGTCATTGCTTCAACCAAGCTAACACAAAAAGTCGTATGCACCACATCACACGCATACCCATTGTTGGATTTCCGACCGGTGTCTATGACCATTGGGAAATGTCGGCGTTCTCCAACGTGCATGTCTCAGGCGAGGAATTTTTTTTTTGGGTGCAAAAAAGCTCGGGCAGTTGCTTGTTCGGGAATGGCAGTCCGAGTTGTATATCCCTCAAGCAACAGGGCCATTTCCACGACATGAACACCCTCGCCTATGCTCCCGATGGTCGATGGCAAAATCGAAGTCTGGTCCACACATTTTGGCTTCTGCTTTATCACCTTGACGCAACACACTGCACCAATTTCCTCTGTCGCATTCGCCAAACACGGGAGTGTGTTATGTATTCCGCTTCACCATCCAGGCATCTTTCGCACCTCCACGGACTCTTTCAAGGTCTTCGTCTGGTCCGTGCAGACAGGAAAATTACTCGATGTCTTAACTGGGTACTAAGCCCACATCAGCGCTCTCGACTTTTCGCCTTCTGGGGCCAATTAACTCGTCAACGGCTCCCGGGACCGCGAATTTGTGCTTCACGTTTTGGTCAGATGGGGAAGATATTGCTGCGTCTTCATTGGATGGCCAAATGGTGTCTCTTCACGAAGATGCGTCCGGAGTAAGGAAGGAGGACGACCGCGTTTCTGCTGCAAACAGCACATCCAACAGTCTTTTGCCTATACTACGGATGGGGAATGTATCCTTGTTGGTTGCAACGGATGTCGTTTTATACTATGCGCGGGCAAGGAGAAAGTTTTAAACTGTCGTTGACTCGGACGGAACGGGGTTGCTGCATGATTCGATTGCAGGATTACCCATAGACTCTCTGGACGAAAAACGACTCACCCCTCTCCAAACTGTACTCGATGTTCCTAGCGATGCGATGGATTCCTTGCTCCTCACCGAGCACGTTGCCCAAAGCTTGCAGATTAAATTCAAGTTGGGCAGCCATCATTGATGACGTTATCACTCGCCGTCACGGTTTTCACGTGTTTCACCATTCTTTCCCCTCCAACCATGGCCACAAATACCGATATAACGCACCTCATCCGCGAATTCAACGAAGAATGTGAACGCGACATCGCGTTGAAAGGCACCGCCCAAGAGCAAAAGATTGTCGCCAAATATTGTCATCCCACCGCCGCTGACCGCCTACGAAGAGCGGAAGACGGGTTGCGCTGTCTGCAAGGTTCGTTACTGGTCGCCATGTCTTTTCATATGTCTAACTCTCTTGTGCGAATGGTAGACAGTCGTCAGCGAGTTCCTGCCAACGCGCGTGACAAAGAAAACGCCACTACTGGTGAGTAATGCGTATTCGAGTACTATGCACTCCCTGACGGCTCCAGTACCACTTCCACGGGACCCTGTCTTCGAGGCCGCTGTCGGCGAGTTCAACACTGCTGAAGTCTTGGAACGACAGGCGCGACTGGCCGTACAAAAGGCCATTGAGACCCAAAGTGAGGCTGCAGATCGGGTGGTAATCTGCCGAGGTGTCGTCCAGCAACATGTCGCTCGCAAGAAGCAAGAACGCGAGACGTATGCAGCTCAGAAGAAGGACGCGTTGGCACTGCGCGAGCGGGTTCAACGCCTGGCGGGAAAGGCTCGGACGGAATTTGTTCAAAGTATCGAGGGCTTGGACGACGAGAGCATTGTGGAGGCATTGGTTGGCGAGTCCAGCAGTGATGACGATGATGATGACCGGGACCGGGACCGGGACCAGGACCACGACCGCGACCGGGACCACGACCACGACGACAACCACAATGACCATGACGAAGTCAGTACCAAACAAGAAGATCATAACATCACTGGTAGTAGTCGTCACCAAGGTCGTTCCGTCAATGAACCAAAAGAAGGTATGTTCTCCGCTTACTTGTCTTTGTTTCAGTATCCTCATAACGCTCCAAGATCACGTTATCAAAAAGATTGCCAAAGCAGTGGGTACGTGATTCAGATCTTTTATTACTAGCGGTTTACATGCCTTGACTTGCAGTCTCATTTGTTGTCGTTGGTAAAAAGCGTCAAAACGATGATCAAAACGATGGACCCCCCGGACGTAAACGCACGAAGATGGTTTGATATCTATTACAACACTCCTACTCCTACTATACATCATATACTATACAGCCTTATGTGAACCAGACATGCCTTCCATGTAACAACTGTCGGAATGGTGACTGAAGTCATTGTGACTCGGATGTGCATTTCCCACTCCTGGGAGATCACAAATCGGATCGCAGAGCACGGCGTGGCGTGTGGGCAGACAACAAGAAGCCTTCTGCTCATGCGGCGCTCGAGCCAACGGAAAGGTTAGTCCTCCCAAATCGATCGTCCTGTTACTGACCAATCGATTTTATAGCAGCAGGCCGTCGTCAGCGCTTTCCACGGTCATCGCTGGAAAAAACGCTCATCACGAGCTTTCCGCCACCGCCAGTGTCGAAGAGAACGAAAACACCCAAGAAGGGGACGAACCTGAGACTCCTGGTCTTGGAATGTCTCCAGTCACGCCAAAGACCAACGACTCGCAACAATTTCCAACAACGCCAGCCACGAGCGTCAGTGAGGACGACACTACTGGCAAGGATGCGAGCTACTTTCCTGGTGGAGAGCCCAAAGGCATTGATCCGACATCTCTTTTTGTCGGCGGCCTCGAGATGTATGGACCTGACGCTTGGGATGAACATCGTGTGACTGCATTGTTCGAAAAATATGGTGGGTTGCAGAGCGTGAGGGTCGTCAAGCCAAGTAAGTTGAAATATTATGTGCCAATATGCAATCTGACCAACGTCTTTTTTTAGCGAACGCGAAAGCTGCATTTGCGTTTGTCAAGTTCAACAACACGGAGTCTCCTGCTCGTGCTGTGATGAACGAGGTATCTGTTATCTACTTGCTCTTAAACAAAGGCTTAAATGTCGTTCATCTAGCACAACTCAGTTCATCATGGTCGAACCATCCGAGTCCAACTCCGAGACTGCAACCCTCCCCGAGGAAGTTTTCGATTCCATGGTCGTGGAACTGCTCGTGGGCGACACCCGCATATGAATTATGGCCAGCGTCGCTTCCAGGAGAATCCTGAGGGAGATATTATGGCTTCTAACCAAGTCGGGCATCGGCAGTCAACTGCCGAGTTTGAGCAGTCCAAGTTTGAAGCCCAATCTCGTTCTGCACCAGTCTCACGCCATACTTCGCCTGAGCCGGAGACCAAACCAGAGCAAGCTACGGGTGAATGGTACGATCAGCCGACCTCGGCAACCATGACACCGCCGCCTCATGCCGGAATTCCGCTCGGCTCGGGGTCACCATACCCCATGCCTGGTGGGGGCTATTACCAGGCACCTTGGCCGCATGCCTTCCCTCAACAAGTTCCATATGTGTCCTACTATCCAGGCTACCCTGCCGGATATCCAATGCCGACACATCAAGGCCATCATTCCCAACAGTTTGCCAGCCCTGTTGGATCTGATGCGAGCGGCCCGGCTTCTGCTGCGCCTCGTCCATGGCCGATGTACGGGGTCAGTCATTTGTTTCTCGTTGCATCTTCTATGCTCTTGCTGAACCACGATAGTACTATAATCTTCCTTATCCATATGCGACGGCGCAAACTTCTGGCGAGAAGTCTCCCAGCCAGTCGCAGGCTCCGTTGCAGCCTACTGGTTTCATTCAAAATGGAGCTGGAACCCTCATTCCTCTCTATCAACCGGAAGCTCTGGACCACTACATGACGTCGAACCACATAAATCAGCCTGTGTCAGCTCAGACTCAGCAACCAGTCCCACAACAGCAAGGCCCTCCCGCTGTCCCCGTTGCTCATGGCACTCCTCAATTCGCTCAATATGCCCCTCCGGGTTATGCATATCCCAACGCGATGCCACCCATGATGGGAATGCAGCCCCGTCCATTCCCAGCGATGACCGAAGCTGCCTGGGTCGCGCAGTCGCAAGTCATGTTGAGCCAAGGAAATTCGCCCAACATCCCTTCGCTGCCGTTCCGTGGCCAACAATTCCCAGAAGTGAACGCTGGCAATAATGGACCAAACAACAATCGCCGTCAAGGACCTGGTGGTCGACGGGACCAGGGCGGTCACAACAACCGTGGCGGACAGCCCAAGGGCATGCCGGGCCGCCAACACCAGAATCGGGCTGGAGGGAGTTTGCAGTTCCATCCCAATGGCGAGCTTCCTCAGCATCTTCCTCGCGCTCCGCAGTTCCCGACGCTTGCCACCGACCACGGACACGGCCAATGGATCTCAACCACCGCGCATCAGTAAACGAACAATCTCCTCTCATTTTCTGTTTTTTTTTTTCACCCGTTGTTTCTCTTCCCCAGGAGGAATCCCATCTCTCTCGCATGCATTTTTATTTATGCGCTCGCTATCTTCTCTCTGCTTTTGTTGTTGTCGTCACCGCAATCCCCGAACCATATCGCACCTTATAATCCTATCACACATTTCCTTCATGTATTCTAACCCCCCTGTACGCATTACCGCTATAAGCCCTACTTTTTTACCTACCACATTGTACTACGTAGTCTGTCTGCCCAGCGACGAAAAAAATAAATAGAGATCAGTCTGCTTGGGTAACTTAAATCGATCTAATATCCTACTGTATCAGGTAATGATTTCCCACGATTAGATAAGATAAAATCCTTAGCCCAACTTCACTCAATATATTGTTGTTGTCGCTTTATATAAATCCACTCCCTCCCTATCTTGACAGCCCTTTGCGGGCAGCTAAATTTGCCTCTACTGTTGTGAGCCATCGGCCCAACTCCGTCCAGAACTCTTGTTGTCGGTGGGTCCCAGTCCACAACGGGACAAGTGTCCCGTGGTGTGTGCTGTCCTCGCTCTGCACATACCAAACCCCAGGTCTCATATTCTTCTCGGGAGAGCGGTGGTGATTACAACTGGTTTCGCTGCACAATGAATGAGTGCTTGCCACACCATAAAAAAAAAGAACACAATACCTGCATTGAAACGGATGCCATTGGCTGAAGAGGGGCACGATACCGTCGTTGGCCCAGTATTCCTCAGGCATGTTTGACTGGCAAAACTTCGGTGCGGGCTTTAGTGTCCTGTAGTCAAATGAACCGATGGTGCGCGACCATGCAAAGATGAACGGCGACGAAGCGAGGCTTAATGGCGGTCCATGGTAGGGAGAGGAGAGAGAGCAGCGGTTGGTCTGTCGAATTTTAAGCCACGAAAATGAGGAGAAAAAAAAAGTTAACATACAACCCACCCGACGTGGCTCCGGTAATACGTCTCCGGCTCGACTTTCCCCTCGTTCTGCGCCTCGCGCTCTTCTGCAGCAAGCATTGTCATGTCGAACGGGGTCGCATCGCGGCTCTCCGCCCAGTCGCTCCTCCAAAGCTGGCGGAGCAACGCTGACACGGAAATGTCGCGATATGTCAGCGCGCGGCAGTCGCCATGCATGTCCAGGCCGTCTGGCAGGAACGGCGCGACAAACGAGAGCAAATGGACGCATTTGCCGATGAAGGCGCCAACGGAGAAGGGCCGCACGGCGGGCGCGGCATCGACCCGTTCGCCTAGAGCGTAGACTAAAGGTGTACCCCGGAAAGGCGTTGCGACTAGACAAGCTCAATACCGACAAATGTTAACTGGTGAGAATTCACCTGCGTTGAGCGACAGCACCATCTTCGGCTGGGCGCTGGGGCCAAAATGCCCATTTCTTATTAGCCACTGCATCTTCACCACCGTCACTCCGCCCTATAGGACCAAGTTTTAGTTACTCACATCTCATTAGGACAACAACGCACGATAGAGTGTCCCAGAAAATGGAGCGGCCGGCTGGGCGACCACTCTGGGTACTTCCCGTGTGGTATGTGCCGACCGAAGCGGGCATGCCCGTGGGCAGCAGCGTGCTCTTCACCGTAATCCACTGGTAATCGTTGTAGTTATTATTAGATCAAAAGCGACTCTGACCAGTGCCCCCGACAAGGCCGTAGTACAGCTCGCATGCCCTATCATGCAGCGAGCTCACAGGGCCAACACTACATCCTCCAGTTCAGAAGCGTGAAGTTAGCCCCAGAAATGTTTGGCCTGACCTAACGAAGATGGCTCGCCGCGGGATCTTGCACTCTGCGTTTAAATACTGCTCAAACCTGCCCCACAGCCACGCGCCGTTACCCAGAAAGCCCTGCACGATAACCAGCGGCGGGGGAGGCTGCTTCGGGTCACAACCAGGTGACCGCGCCATTCAAGTAGTGACGGGTCGCTGGTCAGGAAAGGTTGAGTGCAAGCCAGTCTTTCGTGCCAGTGTGCTGATCATCTATACCTTCTGTCCCTGCAGCTGGACCGTCGTTGAAACGAGATTGGTGTGACGTAGAGAAGTCGGAAGCGGTTACCTAATACGGCGTTCTCGGAGAAGGGATCATCAATGATCGGCTTGGAGAGTTCAAAAACATACACTATTTACTGGTGATATATCCCACAAAAACAGCAGAGCGATGCGCAAGACAGTCCGAAACGAGAGCAATGTGACAGAGTATGTATGCGGGGATGGGGTACTGTGACGGGGAATGAGGGTGGGGGAGATGCAACGTCCAGGCAGGTAATTAGTGGGGGGGAGTGATGGTAAGTGCGATGCAGGCATAATGGGCTGTCCGAATATTAGGCCAGACTCGCCGGGATGAAGGGAACGTACGCATAATTGTCATTTATATCTTCAGGGGAGGGGGCATAAAAGGTCGTAACCGACTATGTGCACGAAAATTTCTGGCCAACGAGTTAGCGCAAGTAGAACGGGAAAAGCAAGCATAGGTACCATCTGGGTATCATCATCGTATATTCTCCACCCCGGTGCACCAGGAAAGCTGAACGCTGCCAACGCCTCGGATGTAGACCTTGGCTCTAACGCGGCAGACCTAGGCGAGAAAATAATTTAGTTCGACTTCTGAAATTAGTTCAGCCACACACAGTATCAGCAACCTCGGCGTTCCGGAAGTGGACATGCAGGTCGCCATTGGGCATGCGCACGATTTGGAGAAGCTCTCCGAAGCTCTAGCAGACAGGCACATGAGCCAATGTTTATTTGCACCATTAAAACTCGTACCTCGCACCAACGCTTGGCGGCCTCAAACTTGCGTGTGTCAACGGCCGAAATCCCACTAATAACGAGCGTCTTCTTCTTCTTCCGCGGGCCGAGCGCAGCGAATGATACTCTGGGCAGCGTCCGACTCTTGCTTGACCCTGGCGAGTAGGCGATTTCTGGCCGATTCTCCTGTTTGATGGACCGCAGATCCACATTCTTGTTAGGGTTAGGTTTCGGCGCCAGGGGGACCCGCGGCGGAGGAATCCCGTCAACAAATCCATCCCTTGACATCGCCGAAAAGGCTCGAACTGACAAGGAAGTTCGAGGCTGAGGCATCCCGATGTAGCCATCGCAGCTTATTGTCGAGTTGGGTCCGCGACCGGCACGTGAAGAAAACTCGTTCAACTCGTCAAGATAAGACGGCCCCGACCACACGGAAAATGACGATGACGGGTTGTTGTCTGCAAGCTGCATCAGACTGCCATACGAACGGTGTCGGTCTCTAGAAGAGCCCGCTGCACTCAGCGGAGGAGTAGCGGGGTAATCGCTATCGGTCTGAGTTGTGGTTGTGTAAGTCGTGTTGGACGAGATACTGGGACGGGGAGCATGGGTGGACTGTGTCTCTGTTGTGTGGATGGACGGCTGCGAAGTGGAAATGCCAAAATGCCCGAGCACACTGGGCCTCCATCGCGACTTTGAAGGCGTTACGATAGGCTCCGTATCGTTTGACGCAAGGAATGCGCTCAGGGTGGACAAGCTTGATGATTTCTTGTGTTGGGCAGCTGTCGAGCCGGAGCTGCTGCGAGAGGTGCGAGGGAAGAAGGACATCTGGGTTGAGCCAGGCGTTGGATTGCCCGATGAAGTTGTACCAAGGGGGGTCGCTGGGTTGGATGCTGAGCGGAACGGTCCCTTGGGAAGCAAAGCGCGAAACGAGGGAGGGGTTTGGAACATCTTGGAGCCCGGTCTTGAAGAGTTCTTCTTTATGGTCGGAGTTAATGGAACCTGGAAAAAAAAATTGAATAAACAATGGATTGCCCAGACAATGCTAACGTACATCGACCTGTTGCGGGATATCATCGTCCTCCAGCAAATCGTAGCTGTTCAGGGACGCTGAACTGGAACTGGCGTCGAGATGGACCGTCGCTAGTTCCGGATAGGCCAAGTAGGGGTGGGAACGGGAAGCAGGGATAGATGGTTGTTCGTTGACGTCAACAGCATCGGTGGGTGCGGTCTGCTGATCCTGAATCCACTTGTTGAGCATACTGGAGCGCCGACGGCGCGGTTGGGAGAGGAGGGGAGTTATATGGAACGGGTCGTCTTCTGGGGCGGTATAAGGGGGGTCATCCAATTCGAAGCCGGCATTCGACTGGCCTAAATAACGCGACGAATAGATGGACATGGATTAGAACTAAGACTATAAACAAGGTTTCGAGCTTCGCACCGAGTTTACGCGCGTGCATCGCGTGTTAAGAGGTCGTGAAGGTTTTGCTAGGTCGCGTACGAGTCGCTTGCGGTAATATTGTGGGGAAGAAAAAAGTGGTACAGTGGAACGAATACAGAATGCAGCGACTTGGATTGGCGGTTGTCTTCTAGCAGGGGGGACCCATCGGCGGCGTGGATGGCGGAGGAAGAGAGTCTGTTTATGCCGCCACCCATGGTTGAACTTGATCAAACACGAGGCTGGGAAATCCAGTGACCGGCATGATGGCCGGGTGTCACGCCTCGTCATGTCTCTCTCCAAGCGACACCACGATGCGCCGCGCTATATTCTGGAATAGCTTGGAGGAGGGCGTGTTCGAGTAGCGTGCCTGCAGGGACATTTCCGAGCTCTGCTCCGCGTCGTCCAACAGGCTGACAAGCTCCGTGTCGATAGGTAGATTCCCTAAAAATTCGAGCCCTTCCCGATTTGCCATCGCCTCCCCGCCTCCAGTCGAAAACACATTGCTGACTTCTCCACAACATGGACATACATATCCGCTCATATTCTCGATTAGTCCCAGCACGCGCAGATTTACAGCACGAGTGAACGAAAGACATTTCATCGCGTCCATAAGTGCAACTGCTTGAGGAGTAGTCACAATGACCGAGGAGAGCCGTGAATGAAGAGGCGCCATATGCTCTAGAAGCGAAAGATGCTCGTCAGACGTCCCTAGAGTTTAAATCAAAAACGCTTGAAAAGGTGGCCACTAAAAGGAACACGCACCCGGAGGAGTGTCGATAACGAGATAATCGAGGTCCCCCCACCTCACATCGCTCAGAAATTGTCTAATCATCCCGTTCTTCTTCGGACCTCTCCAAACCACGGAATCGCCCTTGTTTTTAAGCAGAAAGCCCACGCTCATGCAAGCCAGTCGTGCCTGAGCGCCATCGGCATATACTGGTACCCATCCGTCGCTACTTTGGTGAACGGCACTTTTATCCACGCCAAACATTCGAGGGATTGAGGGGCCGGTCAAATCAACGTCGAGAATCCCAACTCGTGCCGTTGGAGAGGTGTTGTATAGACTCAACGCGAGTTGTGTAGACACCGAAGACTTCCCGACGCCGCCTTTACCAGATAGCACGATGATGATATGCTTGACAGAGTCCAGTCGTTGAGCCGCCATGGCGGAAAGAGACAGGAAATTTTGCGATGGATTACTCATTAGCCGATCGCGACACGACCTGTCACAGACGCATGACTAATTTACACAACGAACAATTCGTCCTTTAGATTCTACAAAGTCGTGAGCACAGGTAAAGGGAATGAAATGGTAGACACACCATCTTACACAGCCTCGAGATCAGCCCTGCCAGCTGTAATAATGTGCCAACACCTTCCAATATCCTCATATGCGTGAAACCAATCTCCTTAGAACGAAGTCAGAAAATGGGTGCAATCGAATAGCTTTCTGACCTTGATATATTCCAGTTTGGTATATTCCGGGATTCTGGATAATTTCAGAAAGTATAAAAACAAAAAAAAATCCGAAAAACACTCACTCGTCAAATGTCTTGACCACACGGAATATCGTTACAACGATATCGACCGCGCTGTAACCCTGCTCCCATAACTCGTTCAGTTTGTCCATAGCGGTAGCGATGTCCCCTTTTAAGCACGCCCGAATGGTGGTCTGCACAATGATGGGATGTGGCTGATCGCACACTTTGAAAACATTGTCGCTCGAAACAAAGCCGAACCCAGAGTGTGTTGACTGCAGGTTGTTGATTGCTTGTCGCATGTCGCCCTCCGAAGTAAATATGAGCGCAGTGAGCCCGTCGTCACTGTGTTCAACCTACAAACGCTCAGTCAATTGCATGGGACCATCGGAATTCACTCACCTTCTCCATGTCGCAAATCTCAATGAGCCGCTTCAGAATCTCCTGGTCGCGTAACTTCGCATACCGGAGGATAGCACAACGACTTTGAATGGGCTCGATGATCTTGTTGCTCATATTGCAAGCCAAACAGAAACGCGTTGTGTTAGAATATATCTCCATTGTCCGCCGTAATGCCTGTTGGGCACCAGGAGTCATACTGTACGCTTGTGAGTAGCAGCTCAAGCAATAAAAGGCGACTCACCTATCGGCTTCGTCCAGAATTACGATCTTATGTCGTCCTTTGGGTAAAGTGACTTTTTTCTGAGCAAAAGTCTTGATTTTGTTTCGTACAACATCAATGCCACTATCTTCAGTTAGTCTCAGAAGCAGTATTGTGGACAAATTTACCGTTCATCAGAGGCGTTGAGCTCCAATACACCCTCTTTATACGCGTCGCCCAACAGTTGGTGGGCTAAACAGTGGATGCTCGTCGTTTTACCGATACCTGGCATACCCTGTGCCATGTAAGACCGCAAGTCATGTCCAGTGTGGTGAACGCACAGAAATGATGATATGTGGACAATTTCCATCCTTTGCAATGACTTTGAGCCGCTCGATGGTATCAGAGTTGCCAACGACATCGTCAAGGACTATTGGCCTATATTTCTCTACCCTGCTCCACATTAGATGGACAGCTGAATCCTGCAGCGACATACCACGGAAGTTCGTAGGCGGTGGTGGAAGTCATTAGAGACGCGTTATTGTGGTCTATTTATGTTTTGATGCTTCGTGCCTTGTGCCGTTCAGGTGAGCGTTGTTGTCCAGTCCCTGAATGCCTGCTTACAGTTCCCCGTTGAGCCAGGAGACAATGCAGGTTATCCTCCTCAGATGCACCCAACAAGGTCCTCCCTCACCCGCGGCTAGATTATCGTAACATTGCTGAAAATATTGTCTACAAGACAACCAACGCTCAGAACCGGAAGGCCCCCATTCCTCACGACGCCATCCAGTCTGTCGCACGGGCATATACAGAGTTCAAGACAATATCTTCCGCTCTCAACTCGCAGCGCAATGCGAGATCAGTGGTTGGAGAACGAATTCGACAGTCCGCAAAGGCCAACGACGCGGCTGCTAAAGAAGTTGCCATGGCGGAGGCGCTGGGCATAAAAGAAGAGATTTCTCGACTAGAAGCGGCTCTTGCCTCTGTCGAAGAAACATTGCTTTCCCTCGCCCTCGCTGTTCCCAACGACACCCATCCTTCCTCTCCTCTCGGCCCAGAATCAGCTGCTGTCGAACTATCGACACACGGCCCCGCCCCAATTCCTGCCACAACCTCACGCGATCACGTCGCCATTGGGAAACAACTGGGACTATTAGATCTTGACAGTGGCGCTACGGTCGCTGGCAACTCATGGTACTATCTCACCAACGAGGGTGCGTTACTCGAGATGGCCCTCGTTAACTACGCACTTTCTGTCGCAATCAGACATGGCTTCAAACCTGTCCTGACGCCAGACGTTGTCCGCTCCGAAATTGCTCGAAGCTGTGGCTTTCAGCCGCGCGACACCTCCGAGCTATCCCAAGAATACCATCTTTCTGGGACTTCGCAGGACCTAGTCCTGTGCGCGACAGCCGAAATTCCTTTAGCTGGCATGTTCGCCAACAAAATCTATCAGGACTCTGAATTGCCCGCGAAAGTCGTTGGTATTGGCCATGCGTTCCGCTCTGAAGCTGGCGCTCGTGGAAAAGACACGCACGGTTTGTATCGTGTGCACCAGTTCACCAAGGTCGAGCTTTTTGCTGTAACGACGCAAGAGCAGAGCGAGAAAATGATGGAGGACATGCAAAACCTTCAGATATCGATTCTCAGCGGGCTTGGACTAGCCTTCAGGTACTTTGTGGCTTCCACTTGGACCAATAGCTAAACGTTATTGACAGAGTTCTTGACATGCCGACGGAGGAACTCGGCGCCAGTGCCTATCGAAAATACGACATGGAGGCCTGGATGCCTGGTCGAGGCTCCTGGGGAGAAGTCTCCTCGCTCTCAAATTGCACCGACTTCCAAGCTCGACGGTTACACGTTCGGTACCGCGGGCCCGTCCAGCCTAATCATCCTTCCCTAACAACCTTCGCCCACACTCTCAATGGCACTGCGGCAGCCATTCCTCGCTTAATTGTTGCTTTACTAGAGAACGGGGCTGTCTTTGATGAGGAGGGGAAACTAACGGGAATTCGCTTGCCCGATGTGCTGCGACCATTCTGGATAGGCTCAAATGAGGGAGGCTTTGTTCACTGGCACTAGGTTATGTTCCTCATATTACACATAAATACAGCAGAGTCCTCAGCGAAAACAGCCCTTCAATCTGCGAAGGGATCGGCAAATGGATCCTCTACATGCCCACGGTTCTTGGGTGCGGGTGATGTCTCGTCGTCAGAAACTGTGACCAGATCGCGGGTCGTTCGTGAAGGACCAGCTCCGTTGTGGTTGTCTTCGTCTGAAGAGTCATAATCGCTAAAGTCAGATAGCGAACCACGGGCATATGCCTCATTGGCGTCTTCTCCGTCATCTGAGAGCGCCGTTGGACGCATTGGCGGGGGCAAATTCTGGGATGACGAGCCCAACGTGCCGAAATTGAGGTCGTGTAAATCGGGGTGTAAGCTGCTATCACCCGACCTCCCTCGAATCGAGTTTTGCTTCGCGCGGAGCACGGCAGCACGTTGTTTTTCTTGCAACTTGTTCAACTCGGTTTCAGAAGAGTTTAGATGGGTGGCAGCCAACCCATCAGCCACACTGTCTGTTGTCGCAGCCTCTGTTTCTGCAATCGAAAGTTTGTCGTATGTGTCGAGGGCATTGATGATGCGCTCGTTTGCTTCGATCAGGGTCCCGATAAGGTCTTCTTTCTCCACGAGCTGGATGTAACGGACCACAGTCTTACGGACTTGTTTCGCGATTGCTAAACACTCCTGGACACGTTCGTTGGTCGCCAGACTATCTTTTTCGCGGTTAACAAGCTGTATTACAACTTCAGACAGGAAGGAGACGAGAAGAAACAACCCACTGTGATGGCATTGACAAGATTGCTAGATGCTTGAGAAGCTTCGACGATACTTCCCAACACCTTTGGCTTTTCCTGCATAGATACTGTGAGTTGGATAAGAGACGCGATAAGATCATGCCTTTTCAAAGTCGAATGGCGCGCGTTTCGGTCGATTCTTGCGTTCTTTCTCTTGTTTCTCTTTCAATTTCCTGGCCTCTTCCTCGAGCCGTTGTCTCTCCTTTGCCTCTTGCTTCGCCTTCTTCCTCTCTATTGCCTCCACGTCCGGCACACCCATCATCTCCATCTGATTTGCACGTTCGTGTCTATCGTGTCTTACTTGCTTGTAGAGGCCCGCAACTGCACTCATCGAAGGATCGTTCTTGAACTGATCTTGCCAGCTCGCGAGGACGAGCAGGGCCTTCTTCTTCACCTTCTTGTCCGTATTCATGTCCGAGGCAAGGTTCTTGAGCGCATCAGTCAGTTGACCATCCGCAAAAGTCGCTACGTGGGGTCTTAGCCCGACTGCGGGATTTGATGGGAGTAGGTAGAACGCACTTTTGAATTTGTGGCCCCCATTCTCTACGAGAGCTTTAAGAATCTGACGATGAATTGTGAACGGGCATCCGAAATGTAATGAGCGATAGGACGAACAACGAGAGCGCGGTATTGCTGGTGAGGCCTGCCGTGTTTGAGCTTCTTTCGGATGGCTCGAGAGGCTTCGGTGGGGCTGGAGCTCGTCAATTTGAGTAAAGAGCCCGAGACATTCGGTTTATCACCCTGCAGATTGTAGATTTATCGCATCGACGACCTCCGGAATACTAAGAAATGATGATGCTTTGGGGAGCGTTTAAAGGCCTGGTTCGAGGACTGACCCATCGTAAGCTTCGTCGTCAATGCCATCCGCGGTAAGAATGTCGATCCAGTCGGTGATTGAAGACTACTTGTGTTCAGCTATACGCGCGATAACCTAGCTAGCGGGTGTTATACGTGGGGCTTCTCTGTCTTGAAGGCGTTTCTTAACACGTTGGCCGCCATTTGTGGAGGTGGTGGGGAAGAAGAAAGAAGGATGGTCGATCCGTGATGTCATTCCTCAACTTGAACAAGATTATCTCGCCTACTTATCGTACACTCCCAATACAAATTAACTACTCATGTGCTCATGCGCTCTCATGCGTCGTCGCTAGAATCACTGCCCGGACCACTTTCTCCAAGATTTGGTTGAATATTTGGGTCATGTTGTTGTTGCTGCGATGGATTTGGGCCAGGGATTTGACCTGGTACAGGAGGCACATGGAGAGCTCCTGGCTGAACGGGGCTCTCCAACAAAAGGCGAACGAGGACAGATTCAAGCGCAGCCACGCTACCCATAGGAAATTCAAAAGTCCGGGCGTGCTCACGGACGCTATGGAAAAGCTGGGCCAGATTCTCCCATCTGTCTTGCGGAAGCGACCCTCCTGGCCAAGGGACCATCATTGGCGGAGGATAAATGACACCGGGAGCGGGAGGAAGCATAGGTGGTGGAGGCATTGCCATCGAATTAGATCCACTTGGGGTTGGCGTCTTCGCTTTGCGAGCATCTTGGTGAAGCGCGAGCCTTCGTCCACGCCGCGTGAATGCAAGATTTGCAGGGCCAATCTCATGCGAGTGCTCCGAAATATCTAGAATTACAATCAGTGGGTTTATTCAGAAGAAGAAGAAACTGAGACACCCACAACAAGCCCGTACCTCCTCTGAATCGAAATAGGTCTTGTAGCTTATCGACGCGCCACACCCTTTGCCGTCCAGCTAGAGAGTATTACTAGGAAGATTATGAAAGCTAACAAACAACGGACCTTGCGACTGGGCACTTTGCGAACACGCTCTGGATGTTTCTTGACGTACTTCTTTCGCCCACTTCTTGAATGCCTCGCGCAGACAAGCTTGGTATGCTCCTTGAAACGTGGCGGGACAGCTTTACTTCCATGCGTATCTCCCTAAATGGTCAGCCAAGTACAACGACTGGATCCAAAGTACCTTGACGAATTCGACGACGTTGTTCTCTTCCTCCTTTGCTTTCCATTCCATGAAAGCGTCCAAACTGGGAAATACAAGAGTATACGCATCATCCTCGCCGCTACCGTAGGGAGCCTTGGTCGCCCGAGTTGAGCCAAGGGAGACGCCCGTCGTTGGGAAGGTATCGTTCAAACTGGTAGGGGTAAACTGAGGAGGTGGCAACGATGGGTTGGAGTTGGCATGGCCGGCCAAATGAGGTGGAAGAGGCGGGGTAGGTAGCCTCTCCCTCCGCTGTCCACCTCAACGCTGCTTGCTCACCCATCGCAAAGGCTCGCAGCTCGCTAAGGCTCGCAGGGGGACACTCTGGTTATATACTTTTTTTCAAGAGTTACGCTACTTACATACATGTTCTCGCCTCCACCTCCCCGATCATCTCCTCCTCCCTGCGCATCCCACTCCCGCTTCCACCGGCTTCCCATCGGCTCGACATCCCCGCATACCACCACTCCGTCCCTCCCACCTCCAACAAAAACGGAGAAAATCCATAGGGAACTCGCAGAGAACGCCTTTTGATGGAGCGAGGGCGCGTCACGTCTTGTCAAATTTGAATAAACAGTTGGAAAAGCAGAGTCAAGTCTCGGTTTGTAACATCGCAAGACTGAGAAAAATCCAGTAGTAGGCCCCTGTAGCAGAACTGGTGCTAGGTGGGGGAACGTGTGGCAGCGCAATGAAAACGGGGGTGTTGCTTCGCCGGGGTTACTAGGTAAACGATGACTTCAGTCTCGGATTGTAATGGTGCAAAACTGAGAAAAATGGATGACGGGAGTGGTCTTGAATTGCGCTGCCGCAAGACTGAGAATAATCAAAGTCGCGCAAGAGTTGGATCCTAATTTGACAGAGGGCTGCTGCAATCGCGCGCATTGCCGAGTTCGAGAGCGTGTTGTATGGCTGCAACGGAAATAGCTGCTGGAGGTTGATGGGGAGTGCATGACGTTGGGGTGTGGATGGAGTTGGTCGCGGAATGAGTGTAGAGGTAGCGCAAACCCGTAGTCGAGGCATGGCTATAGGCTGCTGTTGTGTGACGGTCGTGCAGTGTTTCGATGGCTGGGAAGGAAGACGGAGAGCGTTATTGCATTGCTGGAGGTGGTTAAATTTCGGGCCCGCGGGTAACTCGGGGTTCAACAACGTCGCCGCAGGTAACTCAAAGTAGTGTTGGTCGGAGGTGATGAGGGCGGCAAACAGTTCTTCACGGGCTAACCGCGGGAAACTTGGGGTCACGATTGCACATAACGAGTGCATAAGGTAAGTGTGGTGGGGGATAAGTGTGAGCAGTGGTGTCTGAGCTGGGCACCAGACAATGATAGTAGAGGGAAGTGTGAGTGGAAGTTGTGGGTGATAGGTGTCGGGGTGACGGCAGCAAATGCCTGCCAACGTCAGTGTTGCTAGCCCAACCCGTTTGTGGGCCTCCGGCGGCAAAACCCCACGAAAAATGAGCTAATTTAACGCGTTTTTTGAGGGTAAAAGTATGCCCAAAAAATCATCGGATAATCCGGATCAGTGATCGGATCTGCGGCCGGCGGGCACGGCAGCACGGCCCGCGCCAGCCTCCCGCTCCCGGCAGCAGCCGTACATCTGCCTAGGTCAGTCAGTTCACCAGGCAAGGATCAGGGATCACAACATACCTTGCTGCAAAGTAGCAGCAACCAAAGGGTTAAGCCCAGGCGGTTACACAACGCCTCCGGCAGCAAAAAGTCTGGCAAAAGTCAGTTATTTTCGAGTCAAAAAATGTTGGGAAATCGCTTACGTAATCATGGTTTTCACATCGAATTGAGCGTTAAAATCCCATTGTTTGTAGCCCTACAGGCGCCGATGCCAAGCAGTTCTGAAAGTCTCTGTCAACAACACGCCTCACATGTATGAGATGGACTGACCGTGTGGCAGTTGCAACCCACTGGGGTGTATGTCAGCACAAAAGCACGCGCTACTTCAGCACGTTGGCTGCCGAAGACCAGAGAGAAAAAGAACTGCGAGCGAGGAGTCTGCCAGCAAACAATCAGAACTTGACACGTGAAGGATGGGGGAAAGGCATACCATGTCAGCCTGAGCTCAAGTTGTTGATGTCCGCGTGACTCGAGGCCGATTCGGCGGGCACACAAATTGCACGCGACGAAATTGTGGGTCAGTCCAGAAACAGGGAGCAAGAAGCCCACCCGAGGTGTAATTCCAAGCGGTTCCAAAGTGCTGAAAGTCTCTGTCAGTAACAGGGCTAAGGTGTATAGGATAATTGACCTAGTATGGGGCCGGCGTTGCATAAGCGCAAAAGCACGCGACGCCCTAGCATGTTACAGACCATGTCAGCACCGTTGGGCCGACTGTTTGAAGTGCGTGGTTCGGGCGCAGAGACGAGTGGTGAAGCGCCGGACAGAGTTCAAGTTCAAGTTGTTGACAGTCACTTGATTCTAATGTGCGGGCGCACAAGTTGTGAGCAACATCTACAAGTCATGAGTCAATACAAGGTGTACTGACCTATGCATACAGCTTTGAAGTTGTTGATGTTCGCGTGACTCCAGTGTGAGGGGCGCACAAGTTGCGAGCAGGGCAGGTGTAGCCACAGAAAAAGGGGCGCAAGAAGCACCACTGGCCCATTTCCTGCTTGATAGTCCGTTGGCCGCCAGCACTTGTTCAAAGGATTAAGGTCAACCCGGCCCATTCTGCAAAGAAACCCCCATGAGAACTTGACGCGTGAAGGTGAAGGGAAAAAAGGCATACCGTGTCGCCGGCGCGCACAGAGACGAAGAAGAAGTGGACTTGTTGACCGTCCCGCGCGTACAGGGCAACGGCCTACGCGGCGTAGAGCAGTGGATGGAGGGAGTTGTTGACAGAAAGGTCACGGAGAGTGACCGCGGAGTTGCCGGTGATGATGATTACAGCAACTCCGACGTCGGCTGGTGATATGTGACGAGTGGCAAGAGATGCCGGCAATGATTGGAAATGCATTTGAGCGTCGGCGGAGGATTAGGCGAGCGGCGGATGGACGGAGAATGGAGTGAGCCGACAGCGGGAACGGCATAGAGCCCAGGGTCTAGGAGCGCTTAGTGGAAAAACATGTAAACCTGTGGGAGGAACGATTCAAACGGCTCTTGGCTTAGGTGGTTGCCGATGGACAGTTTGCTTATAGTCATTTTGTCCTTCAAGCCTTTTTGTATCGCTTTTTATTCTGGATCTAACAGCGTCTATAGGTTTTTGTGTCTCTAGAACTTACTACTTTCCGATCCCATATTTTTTTGACTTGCTGGACGCATCGCGACGCGGCGCTTATTCAGCTGACCATCCTGACCGATAAGGCAATACACCATGTTCTGGGTTTTGCCCTCACAACTGAGCTGATCGGGTATGGACAGGCGTGGGAAATAATGTTCAAAGAAACTATACATTATCCAGGGCTTCATCGCGCATGTATCTGGGCTTAAATGGACACCATACACCAGGAGATCCATTTTACTGATAATGCAACAAAGCTGCATCGTACGCGCCGATAGGCTTGGAACCTTTTGAGTGACATGTTACACGTCACTATGAGCCTCTCCTACGCCAATGTGCGTCCCTCGATCGTCTTCCACTGTACGGTATTGCTCATATCCGCAAATACACTACTTCACTTTCCAACACTTAAGCGCGGCGGAGCTGGCTAGATCTCCCTATCAACGTTTACCGACAGGGTTGATCTAACGTGGGAGGTGTTTCATCGGAGCTCCGCCGCGCTCGATGCACTTTCATTCTGAAATCTTACTTTCTGTACTTGTGTGAATACCAGCATCAACCTGGGAGGTTTGAGCCAAGAAAAGTGCGGGTTACACAGAAGCTACGACCATCATCCAGCCCCAACTGCTTGATTTCATCTCACACGGCCTCGGCACTCACCATGCGAAATCTTCAAATGACATATCTTAGGCGAAACTCAACTCCGCAGATTTCTTCAGCGGGATTAGCTCAACATGCCGTTACGGTGAGTATAAAAGCCTGGGACTTGTCCTGGCAACTCCCATCGCCCTTTCCCTCCTTCTCCCACTCAATCGCTCATAACCTCCTCTGCGACGCTCAACTGTTTCTTATTCCTATTACCAACTTGTCTAGTTATCGCCCGTTCCCGACCTGCAACGCTGCCCGACACTTCCAGCCAGTTCATTTTCGCTGTCCCATCCCTTTCGCAGTCGTTGTCAAAGGTCCGACGCAAGTCCCCGACATCGCTCCTCCCAATCGTTGCGCGCACGTCGTGTTGACGCGGCAATGAGGATTGACGCGTTAGGTAAGTGTCGCATTTCCTGTATTTGACCCCCCAAAAGACCCACCTTCCCGACTCGCTTGGCATGACGCGCATCTTGCAGTTGCAGGGACATCTCTGTCTTCAAAGCCGTTCCAGCCATTGTCGTTGTGTGGTCGACGTTGGTGATGGCGGTATCAACTGACTTGTCTTCCAGTTTCGCGTTGACTCTCCCGACTTGTTGGGCGTTATTGATGAAGTTGCGCCCGCGGTTTTGCGCGAAACTTTGGGTGTATCGTTGTCGTTGGCCTCTACGACAACTAAGGTATAAGTTTGGGATTGGTCTCGATGTCCAGCTCAACTTACCCGTTACCCCACATAGTTTTGCACAAGCGGACTTGCTCTTTGCCGAACCGGGCTGGTCGATTGCGTTGCCAGCGGCCTCTGCGACGCCAAGGTCAGTTTTTTGTATCCCTTTCAATGTCTGAGTTTACTTACCCGGGGTCGGACCATTCAGGCATATCCTTGCCGTTCTTTGCCTCAGTTGTCGGAGTCTGTTCTTGGCCGCAATACTCGGTGAGTTTGCAACCGGCTTGTCGCCGGTGCCCGCTAACTTGCCTCAGACGGCATTGCATCATGGCGCCGCACGATGAACTTAGATGGCTGGAGTTGTTGCTGGCCGTTTCGGGGAGGGGGATTTGCTGTAGTGTTGGCGCGTGTTTGAGTTCATTCTGGCTGAGCTTTGCTCTCGGCTGCTGAAATTGCCGCTTGCAAGCTCGTCCCGGGCAGGTACCCAGAAAGCGGCTTGCAGGTCCTCATTGTCGGGACCTTGCACTTGCATCGGTGTTGGCTGCCGAGTACGGCGCTGACCCTTGCGAGCAGAATGTTGGTCAGTGTTCTCATTCGACTCGACAGATCCGAGCCTTACCTGATCGTTTTAGGCCCTTGTTCAACGTTGAAGGAAGCCTTGGCAACGCTGCGCGCCTCGAGTTGGCGTTGCGGACAGTTGTCACCAATGTTGTACTGTCCGTCAACAGCGCCAACCAATTTGGCTGATATGTCGTTGGCGCGCGCCGCGTTTTGTCGAGCACGTTGTTCTTGATGAGTTTGTCGTCCTTGTCGGCGAGGAAGAAGCTCCCATGGTCGTTGGTGTGAAAAACTCCCGTGAGTTGTGACTTGAACAAGTTTGTCGTCGTTGTTGCGCGAGCTCGCTGGCAGTGACAGTCGCAGCCGTTATCAGCGGTCGTTTGGGCGGCAGTCCCAAGGTGATGATGTTGGTGCCCTCGAAAGGCGTGCCGGCCCAGTCCATAGCCAGTAGTTACTCGTAAGTTGCAGCCGGATCGGCGCCGGCGTAAGTTGTGGTGGTGGTGGTCAAATGCTGCCATTTGGGCCGGAAAGCGTGCGGTCGGCGTGGCCAAGTTGCCTGGCAGAAGTGTGATCGCTGGGGATCATATAGGCCTTGCCTCGATATCCGCCGCTCCCTTCCACCATTTCCCTCCCGTCTCCCGCTGTCCCTCGGCGCACATGCCGCTTATCGAAGGCTGTTGTCGTCGAAGAGGCCGTCTGCGATCGAGATGAAGGACAAGAGGAAGAAATACGAGTCACGAGCGATGTGACGGCACGCGTGAAGGTGAGCAAATATTTCGTTGTTTCTTCTACTTACTGACATGCATTCTACGAGGCGGAGGTTGTCCAGTCCATGCCCGAAGGTAAGTTATTGTTACCTTTGATTCAATCTTGCTTACCCCGTTTCCTTCAATTCATCTGGCTTACCTTGTTGTCGCTCGCGGCACGCAACGAAGACTTGTGGAGTATTCGTGTCGGCCTTTTGATTTGATGTGCTGGGTCGGGCTTGTTGTCTGAGCTGGTTCGTTGCGATTGCCCACGAAAACGATGACTGACCTGGAATAAGTAGCGTGCTCAAGGTGTCATTGGCGGTGCTGGTTTGGGCTGAAGGGAGTTTTGCCGTATGGCGCATCGACAGTCAAGGCTGACCTTGACGTTGTTGTCTATTGACGCGTGAGTACCGTATCTGTCTCTTAGGCAACAACAACTCACCTATTTTTCAAGACTTGACGCAACCCGTTTGTTGCTTGTGGCTGGACAAGCTGTTTGTCGGAGCAAGAATTTGTGATATGCGAGTTTGGGTTTGGGTTTCACAAATGGTTGCGGTGAGTGAATCTACTTTCACCCGCGTTGTTTGCGGGTTTGATGGTGTGAGCTGAATTTCGCGCACGAGAATGCAAGCAGCTGCGCGACGCCTGAAAAGAGGCCGGTTTGGTGAGCTTCGCGGGCTGCGGTGTGCGAGACGTTTGGCGCGTCGAGATGCATATATGTAACGCCGTGGTGGGGAAGAAGAAAGAAGGATGGTCGATCCGTGATGTCATTCCTCAACTTGAACAAGATTATCTCGCCTACTTATCGTACACTCCCAATACAAATTAACTACTCATGCGCTCATGCACTCTCATGCGTCGTCGCTAGAATCACTGCCCGGACCACTTTCTCCAAGATTTGGTTGAATATTTGGGTCATGTTGTTGTTGCTGCGATGGATTTGGGCCAGGGATTTGACCTGGTACAGGAGGCACATGGAGAGCTCCTGGCTGAACGGGGCTCTCCAACAAAAGGCGAACGAGGACAGATTCAAGCGCAGCCACGCTACCCATAGGAAATTCAAAAGTCCGGGCGTGCTCACGGACGCTATGGAAAAGCTGGGCCAGATTCTCCCATCTGTCTTGCGGAAGCGACCCTCCTGGCCAAGGGACCATCATTGGCGGAGGATAAATGACACCGGGAGCGGGAGGAAGCATAGGTGGTGGAGGCATTGCCATCGAATTAGATCCACTTGGGGTTGGCGTCTTCGCTTTGCGAGCATCTTGGTGAAGCGCGAGCCTTCGTCCACGCCGCGTGAATGCAAGATTTGCAGGGCCAATCTCATGCGAGTGCTCCGAAATATCTAGAATTACAATCAGTGGGTGGTTTATTCAGAAGAAGAAGAAACTGAGACACCCACAACAAGCCCGTACCTCCTCTGAATCGAAATAGGTCTTGTAGCTTATCGACGCGCCACACCCTTTGCCGTCCAGCTAGAGAGTATTACTAGGAAGATTATGAAAGCTAACAAACAACGGACCTTGCGACTGGGCACTTTGCGAACACGCTCTGGATGTTTCTTGACGTACTTCTTTCGCCCACTTCTTGAATGCCTCGCGCAGACAAGCTTGGTATGCTCCTTGAAACGTGGCGGGACAGCTTTACTTCCATGCGTATCTCCCTAAATGGTCAGCCAAGTACAACGACTGGATCCAAAGTACCTTGACGAATTCGACGACGTTGTTCTCTTCCTCCTTTGCTTTCCATTCCATGAAAGCGTCCAAACTGGGAAATACAAGAGTATACGCATCATCCTCGCCGCTACCGTAGGGAGCCTTGGTCGCCCGAGTTGAGCCAAGGGAGACGCCCGTCGTTGGGAAGGTATCGTTCAAACTGGTAGGGGTAAACTGAGGAGGTGGCAACGATGGGTTGGAGTTGGCATGGCCGGCCAAATGAGGTGGAAGAGGCGGGGCGCTTAGTCGGAAATGGTAGAAACCAGGATGCGCCTGAGTTGGCTGAGCGGTCATCTCCATATCCAACCCAGTTTTGTTGCGAATGAGGGTCAAAAGCTGAGAATTCTGAATTGGTCCGACTAAAAGTCACGCTGTGACCTTGTCATCACCCGAACTTTCTGCCCAAACTTTCGATGCCGCTCCGAAATTCTCTGCATAGACGCAACCACAAAGAACGCTCTCAGCTTGCACATAGGTCTAGGCTTGGGATCTTAGAAAAGCACAAGGACTATGTCAAACGTGCTCGGGACTATCATGATAAGCAGAACAAGCTCAACCGGCTGAGGCAAAAGGTTGCAGAGAGAAATAAAGATGAATTCTATTTCGCAATGAAAAAGCAAGCCACTAAGGTACGTCGTATTTACCATTTTACACGTGTCTTATGTCTTTTTTGGTAGGGTGGTGTGCATGTTGCAGACAGAGGAAACGTCGCGTTACCAGTGGATATCGTTAAAGTGCTCAAAAGCCAAGACGAAAACTATGTGCGCACTATGCGTCTTGCAGGCTTGAAGGTAAAGATCCAACCCTTCTCGTCCGAGATTGTGCTCAAGATAACTAGAAAATCGACAAATTGAAGGCGCAACTAACGGCTATGGTGGATTTATTGGGTTCACAAGAAACAGATGCTACGGAGGAGCTAGAACCGGAGGAAATCGAGACCCTGCAAAACGCGGGCATTCTTCCCAAGCGTAAAGGGAAAGGCAGGGCCCGCAAACACATCGTCTTTGTTGAGGATGAAGCAGCGGGTGCGGTTACTCCTTTTCTTTGCAACTGTTCTTTGTGTTCATGTTTACCCTTTCCTCAGCGAAGCAATATGCAACGTCAAGCAAAGCCGTCGCGACTGTTGTCGATGAACCCCCGTCTGAATCCCCAACAGTGGACCTAGGATGGAAGCTTCCAACGAAAAAGCGTCATCGGAGGGACTGGGATGAATCTGAAGAGATAGCGGAAGCTGCTGGGGAGATAACTGCCGAGGAATCGCGCGAAGATTCACAGGCAAATCGGACACGATTGTTAAAAGAACTCTCCGCGCGACTCTTCCGCGACACTCAACTACGCTACACAGAGCGGGAGTTTGAAATGCAACGACAGCTTATGGGCAAAGGTGCTAGGCGTAAAATTGCTGGAGTAGAAGCAGTGGAGGGGGCCGATAGTGACGAAGAAGACGAGGACGAGATCGACGCCCGACGAGGCAAACGAAAAGCACCCTCCCAAAAGTTTGCCGATGCTAAGACTTATAAACCTCGTGTTTATAAATTCCGGATTGAGCGTAAAGGGAAGTAGAATACTACAAATGTCATGCTTTGTGTCCCATTGTTACTAACAGTGCGATATTTTAAGTAGTGGATGTGTCCATGCAAGTGAATTTAGAGATAAGAGTGCGTAACAACTAAAGCACACTGGATGCTCCAAGCGCAACCCCAACAGCAATCAGCAGACAAGCAGCAAACTGTGACGTATTAATCAAAGAGGGAGAGGAGCCATTCCCGGTGGTTGAGGTTCGAGGCGACGAAGAGCCAGTAATTGGTGTGGCGATTGGCGATGTTGGGCTGTAGGTCACGCCGTTAATCTGCGCCGCAACTTGGAAGACGCTACCGCCGCCGTATTCGTAGAACTAAACAACGATCAGCCAAGCCATTCAGCGAAACGGGGCAGAGACAAACATCGACAAGCATGAAGTTCGGAGCACGTCCGTTAGCCGCAACACATGTGTCTACCTGGGCGCCCAGTGAACCAGGCCCAGAGGCACTGTTGGTCACGTTCGCTCTGTCGATATCCGGAACAGGACTACCAAGAACGATTTTGTCCAAGAAGTGGTTGATCAGATACATCTGGGTTGCGGTGTCGCCTTTGGTGCGGTTGACATTGCAGTCGAAGGTTGGGTCAGTAACGTCGTATGCAGTTTCCCAGATGTTAGTGAACTCTGGTCCAAGATTCAACCAACAGAAGTAGAAACTTGGCGTGAGGGACAACACACCGTCAATCAGATACGGCACAGCAGCGGGGTTCGCGGTATTGTCAAGGAACGAAATTAAACGTGTCCCGCTGTCGATCAAAGAGCCAAGTGTCGGCCAGGAGGAGGCAGTCATTGGAGATGAAGTCGGTGCATACGACAGCTTGTCTAAGCCAACGGAAGCAAAAACAGCGCCGAAGGTAGCCGCTGGCAGGTTGTCGATGTTCTGGACAAATCAAGTTGGGATACAAGTTCTGGTGTGGAGCGAAGCGGGACTCACAACTATGAGTAAAGATAGCACTTGAACCCCAGATCATTACGAGGATAAAAATATTTGTTGTGAAGGACATACCCTCCTGTGTGTTGGCGTCCATCCATGATTTCACTAAGGAGATAGATGTTGGTGGCCTTTCGAAACATTCAACTGCCCCAACGGCGCACCTTTTTTCAGATAGTCTTCCAAGGTGCCTCCATTGTAGAGAAACTAGATTCGGAGTTGAAACGCCGTGCGGCAGGTTCGACCAACTTACACAGCTCGTGTGGCACAATTGGATGACTCCGGACTGGTTGTGAGCCTGCATCTGAAGCATCCTCACACCATCATTTAATTGCTGAGTTATATCGTAGTCCTGGTTGACGGCGACTACCAAGTGTTATAACACAAGAAAGAACAAGGCATCGAAATGAAGCGCACGATTGTTTGTGCCAACGGCATAAGAGTTGTGGGCCCCAACAAAAGACACATTCCCAAAGCTTTTCCCACAAAGCTGCACGAAGAGAAGAAAGGTGAGGGGTCAAGTCCGAATTCCGCAGTCAGTGAGCACGCACCTCCGCATGACCGTTACATATCGTTGCAGCAGAAGTTAAAGTTGCTGAGAGCAGGGAGATGGCCAGAGAAAAGCCTAGCATGAAGAGCAACTAAAGAGAGCGTAGAGGTAGGTGTGCAAATGAAAGAAGGTCGTGGTAGTTTTGTGAAGGCTTGGCCAAAGACAATCGGACTTGGAGTGAATGACAGGTGCCTGATCTGACAAATCAGGCTGACATCATCACCGGGTCCATTCCCAACCGACTCCGAGTCTCACTCCTCAGTCTCTCACTGCGTTGATGCCCAAACAAGTTGTGCTGGTAACTGGTTGCTCTGCAGGAGGAATAGGCTACAAACTGTAAGTTTAACTTAACACAGCTGCGCTCCTGGTCAACAGAACCAGCTGCGAACGATTTGCTGCCGAAGGATGTCGCGTATTCGCAACAGCTCGTCGCCTGGAAGCCATGTCTGGTCTAGCAAGCAATCCCCTTATTTCGCTGGCAACCCTGGATATTACAAACGATGCTGATGTGCAACGCGTAATGAAGCTCATCTTGGAGGAGACTGGTCGCATCGACATCGTCGTGAACAACGGTGAACTGATTCCTGGAGGCGTTCAGCAGTTCTGATATTCTGTAGCTGGGCTTGTGGGAATTGGTATGACCTTTTCTTTTCGGTCTTGAGCCTGAAAGTTCCCAGGCCCTCTTATTGAACAAACTCTTGATACTGTGAAGGCCGTGTTTGACGCAAACACATTCGGTGCCTTGCGTGTAGCCCAAGCGGCATTTCCACATATGGCAGCACGCAAGAGCGGATTAATCGTGAATATCGGGTCGGTTGTGGGAGATGTGTAAGTTTTGTTTCTGTTCAAGTCATCTTCCGATGGTGAACCTGGCAGACCCGTTCCCTGGAATGGTCTATATTCGTCGACCAAGGCGGCCATGCACTCAATGAGCAATATACTTTCGATGGAACTCCAACCGTTCAATATCAAAGTCCTAAACGTTGCCCCCGCTGCCATTCGCTCCAATATCGCAGCAAATGGTGCTGGATTTAGGCAAGTTGGCTCCATCCCTTGGCTAGCCAAGACTGATCATGTCGTTCAATTAGTTTGTCGCCCACTTCAAAATATACTGCCTACCTTCCGGATATCCTTCGGCGGTTGAATTCCAGCCAGGGGCCTGCTACGATGCCTGCGGAAGTGTTTGCGCGGAGAGTTGTCAAAGCGGCGTTGCAAAGGAATCCCCCTACCCACATGACACTTGGTGGAAACGCTTGGATTTTCAAAGTAATGAGGTGGATGCCATGGTCTTTCGTTCTGTGGTTTTGGTGGAGGATGTTTTCGAAGAAGGTGTAGTTGCTAAATCGGGTATGACGTACTGTCTGTCACGTGTAGCCGATGTTCTCCTCTCTCCCGATCCGCCATGTCGACTGGCTACCTTTCCCCCAATGTAACACCTAGCAAGCTCAAGAGTCTGTCTTTTGTATGCCTTTGACTATGTTCTCAAGAGGCAAAGCCCAGAAATCTCGAGCCCGTCGAGAACCGAGTGGCGTGTTCTCACTATTTCAGCCTCCCCAAATTCAGCAGTTCAAGGAGGCGTTTCAACTTATTGATCACGACAAAGATGGTTGGATCGGGGAGAAGGACTTGAAAGAGATCTTCGCCAGTCTAGGTATGTTGTTATCACTTGCTTGCAAACATACTAATGTGTAGGCATTACGCCATCGTCATCGACTCTGGACGAGCTTCTCAAATCACGACCTGGAGACACGCCTGCCCATGGGGAAGAACGCGGCGTAAACTTTACGATGTTTCTTACTATGATGAGCGAACGACTATTTGAGTTCGACACGGAGGCCGAGCTCATCACCGCCTTTGAGAGCTTCGACGAAGCCGATGCAGGTGTGGTCCGGGTGGAGGAAATGCGCAAATGGTTGAGTGAAGTAGGAGAACGAATGGGCGAACGAGAGGTGCATACTTGACCCTACCGCGGATTTGCCTAATCCAGGTCTCTCAGATCGACAAGTTACTAAAGGGGCCGTTTACCGACCGGCAAGGCAACTTCAATTATCGAGAATGGGTCAAGGTGTTACGGGTGAACGAAGACGACGAACAGCCTGTAACCTAGCGTATGCTATTTCTGGCCACTTATTTTCGAACTCTGTAGACGTATCAACCATTTTGGTATTTTTGTCGTCACGAAAAGTGAATTCAGTGTTTCACTTTGCTTTCCGTGTGGGCGCTTTGCTTCGTGCGTGGTCAGCAGTCGTTTGGGAGGCAACTTGGGAAAGGGCTTGGCTCGTGATCCGATGAGATGGAAACAACACCCCCAAAGATTTTCTTGGCGATAGGAAGGCACGAAACACAGCGTGAGAAACTGACTGCGGCTTGGCGATTTCGCTTTTATATCCCCGACTTGCGATCATTCGTCACCCCTCTCACTTGGACTTCCACCTCACAACATGCCCGACTCTCCCAAAGACGACCAATCCGTCGCCTCTTCCTCTCCCGAGCTCACCCAAAAGTGTCTTTGGGTTGATTGCACTCAGGCATTTCCTGACCCAGAAGCCCTCTATAATCATCTCTGTAACGACCACATCGGCCGTAAAAGCACCAACAATCTCTGCCTCACCTGCAAGTGGAAGGACTGTGGCACCTCATGCGCCAAGCGCGACCATATTACCAGTCACCTTCGAGGTCAGTAGTCATAGCCTCGTCTCATCTTAGTTGCTGATCCGTATGCTACTACTAGTACATACTCCTTTAAAGCCCCACGTCTGCGAGGTGCGTGGCTGTTCAGGCTCACAACTCTGGGTTTCTGACACTGTTTCAGATATGCAAGAAGTCGTTCAAGCGACCGCAAGATCTGAAAAAGCATGAAAAAATCCACACAGAGGAGCATCATGCCCAACACAAGCATTCCAAGGCTATCACCGTTGCCGACCCCGCATATGTTTCCCGTGTCCGCGGCGACTCTTCTGCGAGGCCGACCAAATCTGTGCCCTCCAAGTTATCTTCGAACGGATCAAGCGGCGCTCCTCGAGCTCAGTCCCGCGGTTCATCGACTTCCGATGGTACGTCCCAAGCAGCTTTGTCTGCCAGCCTTAATGTGACGTAGGGTCCAACTCTAACTTTCCTCCTACTCCTTCTCCAGATTTTTCGCCTCCTCCGATGAACCATTCTCCAACCGAAGAAAACTACCCTTCCAGCTGGGACCCTACGACCGGCTCCAAACGCTCGCATGAATACAGCGTTGACGACTTTTTCACCGATATGAAAAAGCGACGACTAAGCCCTTCTTACGATCCACGTAAGTCCCCCCAATCTCAGATTTGCTTGGCGTGCTCAGTGATTGACGTTGATCTTTCGTAGGCATGGCCGAGCGTCTTGAGAGACTGAACCACGTGTCTTATGCTCTCCATAACACACCCTCCGGCTTCAATCCGCGTTCGGTGTCGCTCGACATTCGTACACCAGAAGAGCTGGCGGCCGTCAACGATTTTCTCATCACCCTTGGCCGCGATGTCTCCGACAATCCGCGGTCCCACAGCGGCTCATCTAGTTTCTCCAATGGGGATTCCTTCTTTGACCCAGTCAGTCTTAGTCAACTTGGTCTTGCGAATATGCCTGGTGTTTCGAATGCCGGTCATGGACCATATCCTACCCATTATAATGCCCCTTCTTTTTCTTCGACGCGCTCATCACATCCTTCTGTGCAACCTTCTCTTTACGGTTCAGTCTACCCACATCTCGACGAGCATCCGATCGGCTACCACGGCGAATATCCGGCTCGTCGCGGCAGTCACAAATATGCCCCATATCCGCCTCAATACCATCCCGGTCACCACCAACCTTCGCCTCCCCACGATGGCGGTTCGCCCCATTCGGCATCCAGCCATTCTACGCCACCGCAAATGACACTTCCAACTCCCGATGTTGTCTCATTCGACTATCTTCGTCCTTCGCGTGGTCCCGCTCCCATTGCTCAGCTTTCTCCCGCCGAATTCATGTCCAAAAAGCGTCAGCAAATGATACCGTTGGGAAGCGCAGGTCCGGCAGAGCCTATGGAGCCCAAATTGGCCACCACTCCCTATCGCGGTCCGCCCGCGAAACTCACACCGACTCCAACACTCGCATCGGCCGAGTCGCTGTCCAACAGTGGATCCTTATATCCGTTGCTTACCAAAGGCGACGCGAAATACGACTTGGCCCCTCTCAAATACCGCTCAAGCTCGCCGACTTCTCGATCCACAACCCCGTCAACAGCTTCAGGCCCTGGCTCTCCTGCGCCAAAAGCTGCCGAAGTCACCGTTCTGCCTTCTCTTCGAAGTATTACTGCGGCTTCTACCGCTTCTACGCCGGAGGAGGACGATTCAGAGGTTGCCCAGGAGATGGAGCGAATTCAAATCAGCGAGGACGAGCGACGGAAACATGCTCAACTTATTCGTGACTTGCTGGTGGCTATCAATGCTGAATTTCGTCGAACGTATGGGTCAACACCGTCCTCACCAGACCCTGGACCCGCTGCCATCGTTCGTGAAGAAACACTGCGCGATGTGGAGATGACGGCCGCATAATACACGGACTTACTTGCCTTTTCTTTTTTTCTTGCTCTCGACGATAAGCTACCTACCTACAACCAATGGTCTATTGCCCCCCTTGGTGTTTCTATACAACAACGTAGTAAATGTGCCAAAAGTGTACTACTATTACAAATGCGATATAACTTAAGTCTTCTTGAGCATTAATTTGAGTTTGGGAACCGTGGAGGAACCGCTGGCAGCAGGAGAAGGTGCTGCTGATTCTTCTGTGGACATGGGGGGAGCGGTTGCAAGGGGAGACGGGACAGCAGCGGGGAAACCAAAAGCGGAGTTGATCGCTCGTCCTGGTACCGAAGGAGAGTTGGCGGGCTGACCAGAGGGAGTATTCGGGCCAGGCGTATTGAACTCCGCCCAACGCGGGCATTTGCGATTCGTTTCTAAGTGGGAGATTTGAGATAACGCCAAAGATGGGAGTGATGACGTACTCATATGGCCAAGCTGACCACAATGACCACATCGCCGAGTTGTATCCGGCTTCATGGGTCGGTTTAATTGCAAAGGAACGCCACCGGCTTGGACAATCTTGGCGTTTTTCCTGTGCAGCCGCCGTTCTTGATTTTTCTTCATCCGGGCGATCTCCTCCTCGAGCCTAACGGGGCAATGTTATCCCATGCCAAGAAAAAAACTGCAAAAGAAGCATACCGTTTCTTAGCACGTGCATCCTTGTCCGCGTCACCGGTGGGAGCAAGTGTGTCAGCAAAAGTAGCCTCCTCTTCGATGGCTTGGCGCGAGCGGACGTACGCACGAATGACAGCTGGGTCCCGGATGATCTCGGTTTGCCAATGACCCATCACCAATCGCTGGATCCGGAGAACCCGGCGGTTCGATTCCGGCCCCACACTCGCGTCTCTTTCCATTGAAGAGCCTCGACTAACTGGGGAAGCGGCAACTGGAGAAGTCCCTTCAGGGGGCACTGTTTCTTGTCGAACAGAGGTCGCACGGCCACGCTCACGCTCAGGTTCTTGCTCTTCCTCCGCTGTCAGTTGCGGCTCGTCTTTGCGGATGAGCGATTGGAACTGTGCCTTCCAAATACGCTCAATCTCCGACTTGTAGATCACCTGTTGCTCTGCAACATTGTACCGGTGGGCAGATTTCGGGCGGTTTTCCGCCTCGGCTGGAGATAAGGATTAGACGTATTCCAGAAATGTCGATTGGTTCACTCACCGACTTTCTGCTCATAACTTTCCCCCGCTTTGACAAAAATGTCCTTCATCGAGATTCGGATGAAGCTGAATGCTTCGCCTCGTCCAGAAGGGTCGCCTTCACCATGTAAACGGAGCATCGCTTTGGCCTGCGTGGCATATAGGAAGTTTTTGGTCGTAATCCACGGTGCGAGCTGCTGCTCCACAGAGAGGTTTGATTCATCCTTATCTTCAACTGAGTCCGCCCCTTGCCCGTAGCCAGCGTCGTGTAAGTGCCGCTGCCCCACTTGCATGCTTTCCATCAAGCAAACTTGCTCAGGCGTCACCATCTTGAGCATCTCTGCGTCCGTTGGAATCGTGACATCGTCCTTGACACGCCAAAAGCCCTGGTGTGGCCCCCTCCGATGATACTCCATGAATTCCTGTCGTGGCGTCGTTAACGGCATAGCACAAATGAGCATTCTTACCTTGAGTCTCTGTCGCATTTGCAATTCATTTTGGTCAGGGAAGTATTTCATCAGGCGTGAGATCTTCAACCGCTCCCCTGCACTCTTGCGTAACAGCTTGAATGCGATAATCTGTAGTCGGTACTTGATCGTGTTGGTGATTTTTCGAGAATGTGGACCGGGAACTTCGGTGACTGGGTAAGTTTGACCGGCGACAAAGAGGTTCTTGATTTCTCGCAGATAGTACTTGGTATCTCCCTTGATTGTGTTCCTGGAAATCCATGTCAGAATTCAATAAAAAGAGCGCCAAGAATAACGATGTACTTGATGACAAGGAAGTCCGTAGCATACGGTTTGTGCCGAAATAGTGGGGTTCTGACGAGATTGTTGTACAGCGCAGGGATCGTTTGGCCTGGATTCACAGATCCGAACTTCATGAAGGGAGTCTCGTCTTGGGGCTCTAGAACAAATGGAACGCCAAGATCATGTTTGGGGACATATTCGTCTTTCTCGTCCTTTTTGCGGTAATAGTTGACCAGAGAGCTGGCCATACCGAAATTTTGAACAATCGGCGGGTGCTCTTCCTAATAGAAGAAAATAAGAAAAGGGAGGAAGAAGAAAAAAGAGTCCAGGCTAACCGAAAACTCCCATAGTACGAAATTACTGGTATCTTTGAGGGTAATGTCCGTTGTTCGTCGTAGTCCTTCTCCGATGTTTCCTCCTTTGCCCAACTTGCGACCTGACTTGTCCTTCTTCTTCTTAGCGTGACGTACTTTGCTGAAGTGTATCTCGATGTTGGAAGGAAACTGCAAGGCAGGACGATGAAAGGAGCGAGCCTCCTGCTTGGATAACCGAGTTCGGTACTGCAACGGCTGTAAGTTAACGTCGATTGGCTTGCATATCGACCCACAAATGGTAATTGCAACTTCTGAGCTGGGTATGCATGCTCAACAGCGATTTGGCCAAAGGTCTGTCGAACACGATGTCGCCCATCTTTCGAAACTTCATAAAAGTGGTCGTTGGACAGATTGAACTTGTCTTTGACCCCAGCATCCATTCGAAAGCGCTTGCGGATTCGGACCGTTTCAACTATGACATCAATGAGGAATGACAAGATGAAGAAAAGCGGAGTCTCGCACCGCTTGGTTTTTCTGGTATTTTATCGTCTTCATGGTTGAATTCGAGCTGGGTGAAGTCTTTGAATGGTGCACGAGGGTCCCATATGATGCTTTGTGTCCACGCGCCAGATTCAAGGGCTTTATTAGCGGGAGTGGTTAGATTTTTGACATTCGGTGGTTTGACGACTACTGCGCTGTCTGTGGGTTCGTCGGACGTTGTCGTTGGCTGCGGTTTGGCTTCCGGCTCATAGATAATCTGGTCTTCCCAATTAGATAGTGAAACCAAATCAAATCCTCGGTCTTGTAAGGTTAGAGAAAGCGGAACAGAAGTCTTTTCTCGTTCCTATTTGCGTGTCAGTTAGGTGACAGTAGCTTATATATCGGCTACTCACCTCTAATGCCCGCCGAAGGTCTGACTCTACGCTGCTTGACGCGACAATGGCCTCAACACGCTGGTTCTCCACCTGCTGCTTTGTGGCCCCGATGACCGTCTGCAAAAATCCTCGAGGCTGGTCACGCTTTCGCGGATAAACAGTGTCGACTGGGTTTGGTGAGCATTATGCACAGGCGGCTGGCATTATACCCACTATGAAACGGTCGTTTGGTCAAACGCGACTTTTGACCGGTATAGCCCTTGAACAACTCTGTAAAGTCGAGGACTCTATTAGGATCGTAGGCAGGAAATCGCTCATATACAGTCTTGGGCCGCTCGACGAGACGCTTTACTATTTTCACCCGACGTTTGGGTTTGAGAGCCGTGGGCGACTGTGGTTCTGCCTTAACGAGAGGAAGCTCTTCGTCTACCTCGCCTTCCATCTCCCTGTCTATTTGGTCCTCCCAATCGTCACCCTGCCCGTGCCCCACCGCCCCGTCGTCGGTTCCAAACTGGTCGCCATAAATCTGACTCGCGCTGAGGAGTGAGGTGCCCAGACCGAGACGGTTCGTTATGCTGGAGCTTGAAGGGACTAGATCTCCGAGAATAGAGCTTAACGAGAAACCCGTGAGGGCAGAGATGGCTTCATTTTCCTCCTGCGCCGACATGGTGGTCCGAAAGACGTGTGACAAAAGCGTGATCTGTGACCGGACCCACTAGACGCGTACACGATTATGGACGCCACTCTCGCTGCTCGACTTGAGGTATTTGTAGTTCATCTGAACGGTGCCAGGTGCCAATAATTTATCAGGACTTTCACAAGAAGGCGACCGCAGCGGGTGAAGAAGTCGTCTTCAAAGATTTCCCAGCGAAGGTGCGAGTAATTCCATAAATGCACACTCATCGCGCTCGCTGAAATCAATCCAGCTCTTGTAAGATCTACTGTGGCTACCAAACTTCTCATAAAATGTTCCCCCAGGCAACTACAAGAATTAATCGCCTCCACTAATGACCCCAGTTCACCATACCATCCCAATCACGCCTATACTTTCACCGACACAACCGTTTATCCTCCTCCACAAGCAGAGTCTACAGGCTCCAAAAAAAGGAAATTAGACGACAGTATGTCTGCAACCAGCGATGCCAGCGACACACAATCCGCACGCTATCCCCAGCTTGTTCGGGCCAACACCCATCTGCCTCAGGTTTGTTTCAGCAGCTCCAGAAGATCGTCTACTCAAGTCTCTGCCCCAAGCTTCATACCATCCTCAAGCGCGAGTGTGAAGAGCTGATTGTGCTGACGGATAAAATAAAGTTGTGGATCTCGCTTACCATGCCTAAGTGAGCATAACATTCCTGTCTTTTTCCAAACAAAAACTTATGGTATTCAGAATTGAAGGGTACGTTTTAGCTTTCCGATGGGCGACTTTACTCATGCTGTCTCAGCGGTGACAATTTCGGTACTATTTATAGCATTCCTTGGGGGGGTGGTGCGATTTAATTGCTAATATTTCGTGCAGGAGTTCAAATTCAGGAAGGTGCGCTCGGGGACTCCACTAGATCTCATACACCCATTAACTCATGCAACAGAGGTGGTCGGTGAGCTGGCGCGCTCACAGGATAGTGCGATCAACCTGAGAGATTCTGCTCGCAACGATTACCTGGCGCGAGCCAAGATCTGTTCCAAACTCATCAAGTACCCACACGTTGAGGACTACGCGGTACATCGTTCTTGGACCATTTCATCCTAACTGAAGAGGTTTGCAGTTGGCGTTGAAGGAGCACGATGACACACAGTTTTATCTGACACGCCAGCATCTAAGCGATCTCAGAAATTTGTACGCCGTTCTAACCGACCTCATCCACAAAAATATTGCGAAGGTATGTCTCACCTCGCGGACGTAAACTTTTGGGGTTCTTATTCCTCTCGAGATCAAATCGCCGAAAGGCAATGGTGGTTTCGGCCTTTACTAGTATTATCTCAGCATCGTTTCCGTCCACGTATAGCATACTTTGAACTCTAGAATACAGCATCACATCACAATGAAATGGTTTTGAAGATGTCGAAGCCGTCGTATGCGGTTGAAAATACCGTCCCTGGTATTTGCGGGTGCCAATGGACCTCCTTAGTGTCCCGCTGGTAGTGACTAAAGAGCAACTGAGCAGGCACCTCCTGCTCTGGGGTCCCACCTGTCCCGCCCATCTCATCGTCGTCTGGCTCTACAGAAACATCCCACAATGATATTTGATTGTCTGCGCCGGAAGCAGCAAACGCTGTGTTGTCTGTTGGATGCCATTCGACGGATGTGATAGGTCCCTTATGCCAGTCGAAAGAGACTGGAGCAGCTCTATTTGGCATTCAAAATCAGTTCACAAAAAATGAATTCCAGGTTCGTACCCTGGGGTTTTTATGTTTCGCAAATCCCAAATTTTTAGTCCACCCTCATCACCGCCGCTGAGCAGCAGGTAGTCCTGTGATTTGTTCCAGCTTATAACATTCACGTCGCTTTCGTGTGCAGAGTCGATAGATGCAGCACTCGTCCGTCCTTTCGTCCGAATGTCCCATATTTTAACGGTAGAATCGGCAGAACACGAGGCGAATATGGTGACCTGGGCAGGGCTCCATTGTAGATCCTCCACACTCGATGTGTGAGACGTAAATGGCTGGGGAGCGGTATTGAACCCGGAAGGAGATGAGGTGGTAAGGTAGATTTTCGAGTCGTTGTCTCCGGTAATGAGACGCAAGGAGGAGTTGGTCATTGCCCAATCCATAGCAAACCCTTCGGTTCGACCGTGGTTGTTCACCGTATATACAGGTGTTTGGGTTCGGCGCTTGTCGACGCTGTACCCGGGTACATCGAGAGACTCGATCAGAGGTCGCACATCCCAGATATGTACTTTTCCGGTCTCCGACCATGATGCCACATAGTAAGGTTGCGAAACTGGTGGTAACTGGGATGAAGGAGGTAGCGGTTGGGCACGTATTCTGTTAACACCACCTTTGTGGGGTATACTTCGCGATTCAACTACGGGGTCCTCGTCTAGATCGTCGTCGTTATCGTCGTCGTCAGAATCGGAGTCGTCTAATAGGAAAAAAAAATGATGAGAATTTGTCTGAAATATCTAAGCGACATCTGACCTCCGTCTTTTTGTGTTCGGTGAAGTGAGCTCGTTTTGATGACTAGCACCTCGTTGTCTTTTCCTGTTGCTGCCTGGGAACCAGTGACCAGGTATGCAGTTGCAGGGTAACGTTGACGCTCGTCACCGAGATTATCTCGGAGAATGTCAAACGAGAGACAAGACCAGTCCACGAGCAGTGTGTGTCGCATAAGATAAACAGAGTCATCAGGCTCCATTTCTTCGCCAGGCTCCAGTTTATGTTTGCCAGGAATGAAGACATCTGAGGTAGGTGCAGGCGCATCTTCCTCCTCGATGGCTGGCAGTACTTCGTCCACATCCATACCTACTCCGATGAGAACGAGTATTTTCTGGTAGAGTTCACGAACCATCCTCATTTTCTTCGTCATCCTCTGGCTGTTCTACGACCTCCTCATCTGAGAATTCGTCTTCCCACTCATCTTCGAACTCCCCTGCTTCATCGGGAACCAGATTGTCGCGTCTTGGACCATTTTGTGAGACTTTTGCAGCCTTGGGTACAGGCTGGCTTGTGGATGTAAGCACTTCGGTCGCGGAACGCTTTGGCATTAGCGCAAAAAAAGCGAGAGAAAGTGATGGCCGGTCACGAGAAAATCTACTCTCTGAATCAGTGAATGCGTTTGTCCCTCAACCCACAACCCTCACAATGCCCAAGGCAGAGCGCCTTCCGACATCGTCTGCCGACTTCAACCTCCCCGCGAATCCACCCATCACCTCCCTTGGTGCTAGTTTCATTGACGACTCGAGTATCATAGCACACCGTTTCCGCCGCCCTAGTCTGCTCGCTCCAAAAGCAGGCATTCATGGAGACAGCCGTCTCCATAGCCCCTTGGCTGCCTCATTCAAACCCTTGTCTCACCGAAGACGTGCCAGCCAGAGCACCTCCAGTCTCGACGAATACGACACCTTCTGGTCCGACATTTCGCCACCCAGCAGTTCAGAGAACCCTACTCCTCCCCTCACTGGTACCGACAATGCAGATGAACCCAGACGGTCTGCTCCTCCGTCGACCCCGCCACGAAGGTCACTCTCACGAGGTTCGGACCGGTCCAAGGGCAGGCGCATGTCATATCCAGTGTGTTGGTTTTAGTAGCGACCAATGCTTTGCCACTGACTTTATTCTCCTAGCTTAAGACACCTCGTATTCTAAATCTTCTTGCCGAGTCTCGAACAGTTGAAAACGAGGTGCAATCAGAAGCAGCTTTCCAGCGCTTACTCGCCTCCGGTGTTGATATTCCACGCACGCCACGCACTGTCGCAGATCGAGGCAGATTTCCAGAAGAGGCTGTTCAAGACGACTTGTTCCAGCGTGAAGACACTCCCAGCGACGACGACGACGACGATGCGGACTTTGCCATTCCTCATGGCACCGACCCCATCAACATCAAAACGCCTGCAGGCAGCGTTGCTGGGAGTGTAAATGGGGATGAAATGTTTGTGGCCGAAAGCCCCAGTCTCTCGGCTATGGACGTGGATGTTGTGCGTTGCCTTTTGCGGCTTAATTACTCGACTTACAATACCTTCCAGCCCTCAGGTTCTCCGTCTCTTTCGTCTATTTCCTCCATGTCCATCAGCGGTTGGCGCTCAACACCTCCCCCAACAACAAGCGCTGTTCGATCCAACAAACGGAAATGTTCGTTTTATCACTTGCCTTACCGTGATCTTGCTGCTGACCTCTCTTTCCCATAGTTGATGAACGTTTCGACCCATATCAGAATGCTTCTAAACGGAGAGCGGTATCGCCGTCCCTATCACATCTCCTTCCGTCGTCTCCCAAAAGCCGTTCCAATCCTCGCCTCCCCATCGCAATACCTATCATTTCCGGCTCAGCCGTAAGCTCTGCCGCATCGTCTCCCACTATTGGCGTTGGCACAGCTGCGTATTTCGCCATGGCCCGACCCGTTTCAAGCCCAATTTTGAGATCTATGGGTCTCGCCAGCCCTATTTTACGTCCTATTCCCCGCCGAAGAGGTGAAGAAGAAGAGCGGGAAATCGAGGGTGTTGGCGGTCTCACCCTTGGATAACGACACACTATTCCAGACTGGGTCGGATGGTTGTAGCCCTTCTTTATATTGTATTTTCAGTCAACTCGCATCATCGCATTTGTAGTAGTCCATACCGCAGTTACTTATATTCTATTGTCAATTCAAATCGAGGTTACAGGTTGGAGCGAAGAGCATCATCAACGACTTTCGACATGGCAAGCACCGCTTCGTCCTCCATCGTGCGCCCGACGACTTGGATCGGAATCGGTGCATCCTCGTAAAGCTCTGGGGTGTCTATTGCGCGGGTCAGAGGACGGGATGTAAAAACGATAGAAACACGCTTACATCTCTCGTAGATGTCCTTGTCGAATGGCATCGGCGAAAAGAATTCAGTCCGGGGCTGTTTCACGTCGAGCACTGGGTCGACTTTGGCGCCGGTCGGAATAATCACCGAAGGGTAGTCGAGGGCGTTGCACCTGGAAGCTTTGTCTGTGTCGTTCTGATTTGATCTCGCGGAGACTTACCAGACAGTATAGAACAGATTCCTGGAAAGCAAGTCAAATGTCATTCACACAGAGTACACAAAGGTCCATACCTGTTCAAGCCGTGCGGGGCCGATGCATATGGCGCGACCGGGGTGATGACCGCATCCACTGGGCGGCCCGTGCTTGTTTGGGCAACAGTGGCTGACCAATGGTTCAAATATTCCTGACGCAGGTCCCTCTTCTTCTTCTGGACTTGCCACAACTCATAGGCCGAGAGCGGCTTCCCAAACACTGGTCGGACTTCGTTCCCCGTGGCGTCAGGCGCCATCGACCCGATGAGCGGTTCGCCGCTCAGCTGGGTTACGGACCTATAATCATCGCCAGACCCAGCACTCCAGATGGCAAACTGCAGCAAGATAAACAATAGAAATTAGATGCGGAGATGACATACGGTGTTCAGCCCGATTTCGGCTTGCTTGTACGGCTTCCAGTCAATCACTTGAGACTGATTAGACCGTTGGTATTTAGTTTCTTGGTAGTTACCTTCATGACCAGCAGCCAACAATGCCTTCTTGGTCAACTCCAGGCCACGTCGAATGGGAGGATCAGGTTTAGTGATTCCATCATCCCACATGATGGCGAAGCATAGTTTGCCCCCTTTGCCGCCATGGTCGCTGAGAGCGTACTCCTCCTCGCTCCATTGTTTGCGAATCACATGTGCGTCCCTCAGCCATGGCTGTTTGCCCAACACGGTCTTCACGACCGTAGTCAGCCCGTCAAGTGACTGCGACAATGGGCCGAACACAGAGTTAACAGAATCCTGACCCTCTGTTCTGACGTCAAAACAAGCAGAAGCACATGGCAGAGAAACTGACCGAGGGAGTTGGCAGCACCGCTGTACGGAATTCGGTGGTAAGAAGGACGGAACCCATAGATTCCACAAAAACCGGCGGGAACGCGCACTGATCTAGTTGTTGATTAAGCGAGCGTGTCTGTAGATAAGGCCGTTCATCCTACCCGCCAATATCAGAGCCCAATCCTGGTAGCGATCAGACCTGAAGAGCCAGGGCAAGAAATGTCACTTACCAAGAGGGCTACCTTTGAGTGCTAGACAGGACGTGAGTAACGGAAGTTGAGATGTCCGAAAAATATCAATGAAGCTGACCGATAAGTGCCCCTTCTCCTCCTGACGAGCCTCCACTAGTAAGCGTGCGATTATGAGGGTTGCTCGTCCTGATTGGGGCATGAAGAATGGTCGTTCCCGAGTGGATTGGGCTCGCTTACCGGCCGAAAATGAGATTATGTGTCTCCACCCACATCAGAGTCTGCGGGACATTGGTCTTGACGAAGAGAACGGCGCCAGATTCCTCCAGAATGTCAACAAGAATGGCGCTCTTCTCAACAGGTTTCCCAATCCACGCGATATACCCTAGCACAGGTCAGCACACACAAAATCGAAAGAGTCGAGTCGATATACCCATGGTGCTCTCGATGCCCTTGATGTTGACTTGGTCCTTCAAGCTGACGGGCAAGCCATGGAGCGGCCCAACAACCTTTCCTGTGCGGGCAAGATGTTCATCGAGCTCTTTGGCGCGAGCCAAAGCGCGATCCAGGAAAATTTCCGTCAAGCAATTCACCTAGAAAGCCGGTGAAACACCAGTGGGAAAGAGAGAGAGGCAGGCCTCACGAGCTGGTGTGCGATAATCGCGCGTTTAGAGAAGGAAGTGGTGACCTGAACGGAGGACCATTTCGACGACGCGAGATTCTGGAGCAGCGTTGCAACCGACGATTCCGTTATCTCGAGGTCAAGGTCTGACAAAAGTCCACTCTTCTTGGGGAAGTCGACCACGTTCTTGTCTGTTGGCAGGTCCTTGATCAGCCATTCCTGGGGAATCTTCTCGAGTTGCGCCTGTTTCTTCGCTGCGGCAAGGTCTTTCCACGACATGGTTGGGTTGAAAGAGACCGAGTGCAGCCCGAGGCGCTTATATACGCCATGGTTCGCGGTTCCTGTCAAATTTGTGGCAAATTCACGATCGAGTGATTCATCAGCCCATGTGACCGTGTGACGGATCGTGATTTTTTCCCCTTCTCCTCATTTCAGCACGGAGGCTGCCTCATTTCAACCGCCCGTCATGAGTGCTCCGCAGAAGCTTACCAAGAAGCAGAAGAAGAGTCTTGCGTTTTACCGCAAGGGTAAGAGCCAGGATGGTCCTTCTGGGGTGGCGGATCTGGAGGTAAGCTGCAATTCGCATTGAATTTCAGACAACTAATAATATACCAGGGCGACAGCGTTCCTGTGTTGGAGGTCCAGGATCAGGCTGATGATGGGCTTGATTCGCCTGCGTTGGTGGTTGAGGCAGAGTCAGATTCGGCTAAGCGCTTGGCAACGCGCAAGGGCAAAGGAAAGGCGGATGATACTGGCATCGTTCAAGCGACTATTACCCCAGAGAAGAAAAGGAAGAGGGATTCTATCACTGTCCCGCAGGACGCCGAACCGAAACGCAAGAAAGCAAAACAAACTGCTGACGCAACTGAGAGGAGCGGTAAAGCGGATGAGAGGAACGAAGGCAAAGTAAAGCAGCGGTATATCCTTTTTGTTGGTGCGTTATCGTTCGCTTCTTCTTGAAGGCCGCTTAGGTGTCCTCACAGGCAATCTCAAGTATACTACCACCGCAGAAGCCATTAAAAACCATTTCTCAGCATGTGGTCCGTCCATTCCAGCTCATCGCAGACTTCTCTTGGTAAACCTTGCTAACAGATCCTCCGCCAACCGTCCGATTACGAACTCCCGAAACCTTCCACGTCTAGTAAACCCACGATCAAGTCCAAAGGTTGCGCCTTCGTTGAGTTCACCCACAGAAATGCGCTTCAACGTATGATTTTGATATACCCCTTGTCCCTCGCTAAGATTATGTGTAGAAGGATTGAAACTTCATCAATCTGAACTCGAAGGCCGGCGAATAAACGTCGAGCTCACGGTCGGTGGTGGTGGGAAGAGCGATGCTCGAATTCAAAAACTGAAAGAACGGAACAAAACTCTGCACGGTCAACGAGTGGGTTTTCCTGGCATGCGAAATGCCTTCGATCTGACCAGAATTCAGAAGGAACAACTGGAAAAGTTAGCCAAGGCTGATCCAACATTAGCAGTCGCTCCAGAACGACCGCAGCGGTTTTCAGCTACGTCGGGCCTAGAGCAAACACCACTGAAGCGAAGGACTTGGACAGTTGGTGACGTTGAAGACGGAGAGACACATCGTGGTGGGAAGAAGCACTCAAAGGCACGCCGAAAACAGTGGGGTACGGGAGTAAACGCCATTCCGGTTGGATAATATGTATGATGTCCGAAAGAATTAAGCCTACAAGGCAGGAAACTGTGTAGATAGATGCTAAGTGGCCACAGGCCATTCACGAAACTAAGATAAAGACGAGGAACTGACTGGTCATTAGATGGGAGAATTGAAAGAAAAGGGCTTCAACACGTACAAACACAATAAGCACACCAAATATTTTGAGCATCAACCACCGATTGCTGGAGATACTGGCATAATATTTGAGCAGTTCCCGTTGGGCACCACCAACGTTGGCAGCGATGTCTAGCGTGTCCGCATCGATGCGCTGAACCGTCTCTCGTTGTTCTGCCACCATGGTCGCCAACTGCGTGAATATCTGACCAAGTTCCGCAATAGTGGTTTCAATTGATTCTATCGCGGTTGACCGCGATTGGATGTAGTTGTCCTATTGTTTAGGGTGTTAGTCAGAGCTTTGACCGGAGACGGATACACACCTGTTGCTCAACCAATTGCATCTGTTGGAATGCGCCATTCTGTGATCCCCCCCGCCCCTCCTCTGCCGAATCCAAGTCTAACGCCAAAACGTCCCCATTTTGCGGTGCCCGTCCCTTGCCCTTGGTGTCGTAGCGGCTCGCACTCCCATCTCCCATAGGGTCTGGACGCTGTTGGTAGAGCATCGAAGCTGACGTGACGGATAAGCGAAAAGTCAAATGAACCAAGCGAGAATCCCTACTCGAAGTAGTCTGGCTAGCAGCATTTGACGTCGAATACATGAACTGCTCCGTACGAGTACGGGACTCCTTCATGTTCTATTTTGTTTTGACCATTGTAAGCAGAATGGGGCAAGCACGACAATTCCACGCACCTGAGTCCGCAACTCCAGCACGTCCTTGAAGGACATACTCGTATTCGCCAGCTTGCTCTGCAAGAGCATAACAACATTATTGTTATGTTCGTCCAACTGCTTTCCCTCCGCCGACTTCGAACCCTGCCCGTTCTGCTTCACATGTGCTTGGAGCGTCGCTATTTGCTTGTTTATGTTCGCAATGTCTTGCTTGATGATGAATGTGAGCTCCTGAAAGCCAATGAGGACGGCTGTATTCTTGTTGAGGCCACACATACGCTGATTTCAACGGGTCGGTCATCAAAGAGGGTTTTCCGTTTAGCGACTGGATATAGGTGAGGGAAGTTGGTATGCCCTGGCCGCAAAATACGTACGCTGGCCAAGTTTCCCGAGCTTTATCGTTGTACTACTGATATCCTTCCCAATAGTTGTAGCCACCCGCGAAAACTCGCTTTTGTTTTGTGTCTTGCCATTCCGCAGTAGCCGTTGCTTGGCGTCGGCACCACGGGGAAGAGCAGAGCGAGATCGAATGGATTCTACGCATGAATGGAACTCGTTGGTGCGGTTTTGTATTGGAGGAGACATGAAAACGAGTGTGGAGAGAGAAAGTAAAGATGGTCAATGAACACGTCACACTGGTTTGATTGCCTGCCAAAAGTATTCTTGGTATCCTACATCTTCTCGTTTTTGCTGTCCGTACTGTTCTACATGTCCAACAAAACAGCCTTTACTCGATGTGCACTGGCTCGATGTTCCAATAACTTTCTGCGTACTCATTGATGGCTCGATCCGAGCTGAACTTCCCCATCTAAATGACCAATTCAGTTACACCATCTTTTCAAGAAATCATTCACACCTTTGCTGTGGTGGAGATGGATTTCCGGATCCACTCTTCACGGTCAGCATATGCCGTGTCGACCATCGCTTGGGCCGCGATGTCTGCAGCAATGTTGAGTTATATACCCCCCATAAAATAGACACCAACGAACAAGAATCAAAGTCTTCGCTCAATAAGTAATAGTCTCCTTGTCTAATCGTGTTGAGCAAAGGTTCGTAGATGTCAGCGTCGCCAAAAAGCCCGCCAGAGATCTGGTTCAGGACATGCGCCAACGCTGGACATTTCTCTTCTAGAGGAACGGGATGATATGTGTGTTGATAACGAAGGTCTTCAACGGCGCTACGAAATGTGAATGACTGCTAGAGAACAGACCCGTTAAACATACGGAGTCAAATGCCCGAAGAAAACTACCAGTGGAAATAAGCAGGGTCAACAAGACCGGGCATACAAACACATACAGACGTTGTTCTCTCCAACTTCCTCTGCAATTTCGATATTTGCGCCATCTACAGGGGGACATCAATTGGGTTCAGTATCATTTAACGCGAAGTTGCTCACCGACAGTACCAAGAAGGAGACCACCATTCAGGCAGAACTTCATGTTTGAGGTTCCAGACGCCTCGGTTCCAGCAGTTGAAATATGTTGGCTGATATCAGACGCAGGAATAAGCAGTTCTGCCAAAGAAACGGAGTAGTCGGGGACGAAGTAAAGCGACAGGTAGTCTTTGGTCTCTGGATCGGCATTGATGACCTTGGCAACGTTTACGATAAGGCGGATGGTCTAGGGTACGATGAGCATGGTGCCAACATAAGAAAGAAAGAAAAAACCAATTTGGCGATGTAGTAGGCTGGTGCAGCTTTGCCAGCAAAGAAGACAGCTCGTGAATTGACTTTCTTTCTTTCTGCTGGACTCATCGCTTTCAGCGTGAGGTATCGCTGGAGATTTTCAGATAACTAGCAACAAAAAAAGTTGAACCTACGTGAACAACACCCAAGATGTTGAGCGTTTGCCGCTAGGAGAATACTTGTCAACCTTCCTCTTTCAAAATGGGATCCCAAACCTTATATTCGTGGAGACGCTTGATCTGCACATCAAACATGGCGTTTGTGTTAACTTGGAAGCCCAAGGTGACCTGTAAATGGTGCGCCAGCCGCTCCTTGTTACGTTTCTTGATATCAGCCCACTCTTCACGGAATGCAGCCTTGTCGGCATGTGGCAATATCTTCTCAAGCATTGTGAGGTTCTTGAGCCACACCGCCTTGTCTACTCCGAGAGTCCGGGAAATGAGCGAACTCAGTTCGGGATTGCATTGGTCGAGCCATCTGCGAGGAGTAACTAGAGAGAGTTGAGTCGATGCTCAGAAGGAAGTGGTATACTTACTGCCGTTGGTAACATTTCCGAACTTACTGACGCCTTCGAACTCGACAAAGTCCTTGAGGATGGTGGTCTTCACCAAGTCGCTATGAAGCTCGGCCACCCCATTCACTTTTCTTGAACCAATGCATGCGAGGAATGCCATTCGGACGTGCTTCGGGAAGCCCTCTTCGATGAGACTCATTCGACCCAAGCGATCGCGATCGCCGGGGTATTTTTTCTCTACAGCTATCTTGATTTGAGTGGATGTTGCATAAGTAAAAGAACCCGGTCTTACACTGCAGGAAAATCAGGTTGATATCATAGATAATCTGAAGGTGTCTTGGAAGAAGGTGTTCCAACAGAGGCACTGGCCATTTTTCGAGTGCTTCGGGTAGAACAGTGTGGTTTGTGTCTGGAATATGTCAGCTGAGGCCGCAATAAGAAGGAAGATAACCAACAGAAGAAGGTATTAGTGACGATTTGCCATGCCGTGTTCCATGGAAGCTCCTCTTCGTCCAAGAGTATACGCATAAGCTCGGGGATTGCAAGCGTTGGGTGCGTCTATTTCTTTTGAGTAACAGTCATGAATTTCGAAGACGCCTACATCATTCAGTTGGATAGCAACGTCTGTCGAGTAAAATGAGCAACTGTGAATTGTTATTAGAGGTAAAGAAAACTAACAGTCAGGGAAGTCGGTGATAGGTTTGCCTATATTTTTGAACCGGCGGATGATATCTGCGAGACTAGCCGCGGTCCAGAAATATTGTTGTTTAAGACGAAGTTCCTTCCCAACTGATCCTATTAGTCGAATAATCCAAGTGAGAGAGAACCCAACCCTACATGTGGTGTGATCATTTGGATAGAGAACACTGGTGATGGCAGCAGCACTGTTGCTCGCTTCAACGGCTCCCTCATAGTTTCCGGCATTGAAAGAATTGAGACTAAGAGGTTAGGAGTAGCTTTTTTCAGAACCGGTAACCTACTCGAAACCACGCTTCGGCTTACTGCAACCTATTTTAGCTCAGGAAGAAGCATAGTACAACACAACACACCTCTCCCACAAACGAAGATTGTTTGTGGTCTTTGTCGGCGCAAATCCAGGAACCATTACATCGTATGCGACGGCCAAAACCTCTTGGCCACCATGCCAAACAGCCCTTGATGTGCCATGGACGCGTTCGGCCTGGCCATAAAAGCGCACCTTATGGTCTTATTGGCATTGGACCGAATAATTGCTTCGAGACTCACTTCGTAGGACACATCAAGACGAGGAAGTTCCCAAGGGTTCTGGTTGTCCAGCCATGGATCGGGAGCTGAGCGATGATTGAGTTGATCCGTCGATTAGATAAGATGGTTGTGCACCTTCCAATTGATTTCCTTCAGGCGAGATAAGCTGCTGGAATATACCATACTTGTACCTGAGGCCATATCCCCACAACGGAAGCTCTTGACTAGCACCAGAGTCCAAGTAGCACGCGGCCAATCGGCCGAGACCACCGTTTCCCAAGCCTGCATCGCGCTCCTCTTCGAGAAGATCCTCCATATTGAAGCCGAGTTTCTCTAGTCCTTTCGTGTACTCTGTCTTGAGATTGAGGTTGAGAAGGGCATTGTCTAGTGTCTTCCCCATGAGAAACTCGAGACTAGCACATGTTTGAGTCGAAGGATGAAATCCTATCGCTTAGCCTGACCTCAGATAATAGGCACGTTTAGGTGCTTTGCGTGTGTACTGTAGCGAAGTCTCATTCCCTAGGAGCAGTCAGCTTTGGCAAGTAATCATCGGGTTCACGCACAATTGACTAGAAGGTTATCGCGGACAGAGAGCGCCGTTGCCTGATACGCGCCGAGTTTATCTGAGAATTCGAAGAAAAGAATCAGCTCGAAAAAAAAGAACGTCGAGGAGAAAAGACCCACCGAGATTGTAAGGCTGTCTTGAGAGGGAAGTTTGGACGTGATTGACGATGGACTTGGTGAGCGACTCGACATCGGCTTCAACACCACGAAGAGCAGACTTCCAAGTCTTTTCGTCCCCCAAGGGCCATTTCTCTGGAATGAGCGATTAGAGGGCAGCAGCCCAACGAGTTGAATTGAACATACCTTTGCCCGACGCGTCGGTCTCAGGAAGATAGCCTAGACCAACGGTTCAGCAAACGCCAAGATGTAGGCAAGTGGATAAGCACCAGTCAAGGTACGGACATGGCGACGTGGACGAGGTTTGGGTTGACCGATAGTTTTGGTATCGATGAAGTTGCTCATGGTGGTTCGAGACAAGCCACTGAGCGCGCTTCTTATACCGGACACTATGTCATTTTGATCTGCTCAAGCCCTTTCAACCCCACTCAATATAAAATCGCGATGACTTTTGTAAACTATCGTAGAGGTTTTCAGAGGCCTTATAATGACTTGGACGCGTTCAGCGTCTACAAATCGACTAATCTCCCTATGGCGCATTGGGCAAGATTACAGTGACGCCATTCAGAAGACTGCCGCGAGAAAAAAATTACATCATCCATTTCTCATCGAGAGCATGTGAGTGTCGGCGGATTCGTGAAGTGAAATGAGGGTTCGAAGTTCAGACAACGTTCGACTGCAGGTCGCCGTCTGTCGCCGTTCGGAGCAAAAAGTCGTTGTCACGGTCACGCGGTCACGATTTGCAATTGACGCGCATATGCTACAGGGTCTTGCATAATGGAATGCAGTCCGATTTTTGATTTCTCGCCATTTTTGATTGATTTTTGGCATAAGTGTGCCATCGGCTGGCATTCCCGAGCCTTTCCGAGCCCCCTTATGCCTGATTTCAGCCCAAAACAGGTGGCAGCTGTCACACAAATCCAAAATCACGACTGCACTCCATTATGCAAAAGTCTGTAACAGCAACGCCACCACGCGCACTTCGTCTTGGGACTCTTGGCCTCCGTACTCGTTCTCGTTCTCCATCAACTCCTCGCCCTCGCCGATATTCTTTTGCTGCCCTTGACTCTTTTCGTTACCAAATGGCTACATCAAAAGTGCAACCCGAGAGTAACTCTAAAGTCCTGATTTTAGGTGCGCCGAAAACATTCCGTTCTTCCTGCAATTAACGCGTCAATTAGGAGCCGGAAACTTTGGTTCTTGTCTAGGTGCGCTCCTACCTTCTCATTTGGTTTTGTGCTTCTCAGACGTCGACTTCTTAGCTGAACATCTGGGCGACTCTGACCACCGCGTTTTCCTTTGGGCACGGGAAGAAGATGTCGTCAAGCACTTTAATTCCACACAGAAACATTCCAAATACCTACCTGACCATACCTTCTCCAAAAATATCGTTGCTGTCGGCCCCGAACTCCCCGATGGCACGTTTATCAATGAGATGGATGTTGTCCTGTTCGCCATTCCCACTCAATTTCTCAGGTAGCCTGTCTATGACCTTGCTTTCACATGTCATACCTTTCAATCTAGACAAAACCTTGAGATCCTCAATTCCTCTTTCGACAAGGGCAAACTTCCATTGCTGATTTTTGTGAACAAAGGCATAGAAATCGGCACAGACGCTTTGACTCTCGAAATTATCGCGGACACATGTGGTGTCGAGGTTGCGAAAGCTGCGACGTTCATCGTATGTGCCATTGTGTCTTGCCAACTCGACTTATCCGTTAATTATAGTCCGGTCCATCCTTTGCGAAAGAAAGTATGTGCTCCATCCTGTGAATGCAAATCACTCAACTTGGGAAGTTGTCCGAAGGAAGCCGACATCTGTTTCGGTCGTCTCTTTTACGGAAGCGGAGGCAAACAAAACTGCAGCACTTTTCCATCAGCCACATTTTAGATGGTCGGTTGTTGAGCAATGCGATGTTCCTGGCTAATTCTCCTTTCCGCCTAGTTATACGGGCAGTGACCCTATTGGCGTTGAGTTGTCAGGAGCACTCAAAAATGTGTATGCTATCGCCGCTGGAATGAGCGATGGTCTTGGATACGAAAACAACACGCGCGCCAGTAAGCTTCTCACATCCATCCAGTTGTTTGATGTTAATGAGTCCCAGTGATCATTACTCGTGGTCTTGCTGAGATGACTTGCATTGGGACAGCATACGGCGCTTCTCCACTTACATTTCTTGGACTAGCGGGAGTAGGAGATCTTTTTCTGACGTGTAGTTCGTCAAGCAGTCGGAATTACACAGTGGGAAAACGCCTTGGGCAAGGAGAACAGCTGGACACCATCATCGAAACACTTGGAAGCGTGGCAGAGGGCGTATCGACCGCTAAGAGTGTGCGAGAACTGATTAGAAAATTGGGGGTAGTAAATTGCCCGATAGCTGAGCGCGTTTACGAAGTGCTATATGAAGGTGCGTCGATACGCGTCAGGTCGGCCGGGATTAACCATCTTTCCCTCAGGGAAATCGACAAATACCGCAGTGACGGAGTTAATGCTTTTACCGCAGTCGAGGGAGTTGACTTTGCCGCCGACCATAGGGAAGCCCGCAGAAAAATTGTTACAACGCCTGGGATTGTAGTGTGTTGCATAGCATGTCACGGTAGACATACGGCTCGTTTTAGGACCGGACACGCGTTTGGCTAGAACGTGATTTGTGATGATCGTGCAGAAATTTTTACTTAGATCGTTTCTGCTCTCTTTCCACCACTCGGTTACTTCTCCCCCAACCTCCCTCGTCCCCCCAGATCTCCGCTTATCTCTGTCATGGTCTCTGCTCTGTGGAAGGCTTGTTCGCAAGGCGACTTGGATGTTGTGAATGCTGAGCTCGCTGCTGAAAACGTTGACCTCGAGATTAAAGGTCCGTCTTCGTGTTCGTTACCTCTAATAATTCACTGACGTTTGTGCCTATATCTTTTTCTTTTTACTCTCGGTTATTTCTGCTCTTTGCCATTTCTACATGTCAGACCACACTGGAAGTACTCCCCTCATCGAGGCCATCAAGAACGGCCACGCAGAAATCGTGAAGGTCTTGTTGGACAAGGGTAAGTTGTCTCTACCCCCGCGGCGAATCTTTCTTTTAAGAATCAAACTGCAGGTGCTGACCCGACCAACGCGTCAAGCCAAGGACTGCCGGAAACTTTTACGTCTGACCAAGGGATTCTGGGCATGCTGAATTTTGCTCGAAGTAAACATTCACAAGAGTCTGCCACGTCTCAAACAAATGGCTACGAGGGCAACAATGCGTCGGCCTACGCGCCACCAGCAAATTACCCATTCTTTGCCAGCCTCAACGGTGTCCCGCCTCCGGATATGTACTACCCACCTCCGATGGCAAATGGTCCTCGTCACAACAATCTTCCACCACCGGAAGTTGCTTCCGCCATCCCTTGCCGATATTTTCCGGCGTGTCGTTATGGCGCAGCGTGTCTTTTCCGACACCCTCAAGCACCCTACTACCAAGCGCCTCCCGCGCCTTACCCAAACTCGTATGAACACGTACCACCACCACAGCCCTACGCACCCACCTATTATCCTGTATCACCACCTTCGTTTCCCCCTCAACAAGGTCCACCAATGCCTATGCCAGTACATGGGCCACCGACATCTGAAATGATGCCGCCTCCACCCCCTGGCCATTTCAGTCCAACAGGTGCCCCAGCGATGCCTTACGGACCCATCTCACCTATCATGTACTCTCATGGATCGCTCCCTATGCCGATTCCATCTATGCCTACCTCACAATCACCGCCTTCCTTCAATCCTGCCTCCCCGTCTGCAGCTCCCAATGGTTTCCCGAATGGCCACGTAGCTCCGTACTCACCCGTAAACGGAGCGGTTTATCCCGACGCTGCCGTAGCGCCTCAGCCCAATTCACAAGCAGATGCTCCTCGTCAAGATGGTTCAATGGGCAATCGGCGAGGAACTGGTCGGCGTGGGTCCTTCGCGCGCTCTAAACAAACTCCTCCTTGTATCTTTTTCCCAACGGGGCGATGCAAGAATGGGTAAGTTGCTTCTTTTCTTTTTTGTGATTTGTCTCAGCATGTGCAGCGATGAATGTCGTTTCCCCCATATTATGCCTCCAGAAGGAGTTGCTCCCCCAACGTCTTTCCCGACTCGGGGCGGTGGACCTCGCCCTCGCGGACAGTCTAATGGCAACGGTTACGCTGGCCTCGACGAAAAAATGGCCAACATGTCACTGGTAATGGCCCTCGCACAATCATCGGAGCAAATGCTAACCGACTGCAGAACGGTCACTCCGGTCCCAATTCGCGTGGGAGAGGCGGAAAACCTAGCGCGAATGGCCACAAAAGAGCTGTTTTCCCTTTGAAACAGCGTGTACCTAATGCAGACGAGTTCCCTGTTCTGAACGGGACGACTACTCCTCCTCTTCGTGTCAATGGGAATGGACCTACGGCAGCCCAGATTCTCCAGGCTCCTCGTCCTATTCGTACCAACGGTTCGCAGGCGGCAACTCCTCGCAACAGTTCTCCCGACAGGCTTCAGGTACAGCCGTGTGTTCTCGCCATGAGATATGTAGTGATTTCTTTTCCAGGAGCCGAATGGAACTGTCGAGCCTGCACCTCTTACCTTCGCATCGGTTGCCACTCCCGATGTTGCGGTCTCCGCCTAAAACTACGGACGCTAGACGTCTTCAGCACTTTTTCGCTGCTCTTTGCTTGCTTCCAGCTGTTGTTTTTTATCTAATATTCTCTTTTCCCTTCTGGCGGGTATCTATATCGGTCTATTTTCTTCCCCTTTTTTTGCATATCTATCGTCTGGTCCTACATTCGTGCACATCCATCCAGCAATCCTCCCAGTCCACCCATCATCGCATTGTCATTATAACTTACCGCTCACGTATATGGTTTGACTGCAGCCCTTTCATTCTCTGCCACACTATCAAAAACTACCATACTAACGACTAAGTACAAGTACTACTCCCTCCCCTCAGTGTCTTTCCTTCCTGTTGCTCCTGCTCTCTGTCATGTCAGGCCCTCTATGCTGTACTTGTCATATACCTACCACAATCTCAAGACCACCTCTCGAGATTCCGCATTTCCACGCCGGGCTTGGCAACGACCTCGCCGATCTTGAACACCTTGGCGCTGCCGTTCCGCTCCAACGCATCAAGCGCAACATCGACGTCCTTGTGACTGACAATGCAGACCAGCCCCAGGCCGTTGTTGAATGTCCGCGCCATTTCCAGCGGTGCAACTCCACCGCGCTCCATGAGGAACCGAAACACTGGCGGAAGTTGCCATGTTGCAGCATCGACAACACATCCCAAATCAGGCGGGAGAACCCTTGGTATGTTCTCGATGAACCCGCCACCAGTGATGTGGGCCATGCCCTTTAACAGCCCTGCTTTTGCAGCAGGTAACACTTGTTTGACATAGATCCGTGTCGGCTCGAGAAGCGCGCGGCCCAGCGTCATTTGTTCATCCCAAGGACATGGCGCGGAGTACGCCAGACCTGTTCGTGAGATGATTTTGCGGACGAGGGAGAAGCCATTCGAGTGCAGTCCAGACGACTCGATTCCGAGCACGATGTCCCCCGCCATGATGTTGCGCTTCGGCAGGATCGACAATCGCTCAACGGCACCGACAGCAAAGCCGGCGAGGTCGTAGTCCCCTGCTGTATTTTGAGAGAGTTTGGGTGGAGAAAATGGCGAAAGCACTGACCTTCTTGATACATTCCGGGCATTTCAGCAGTCTCTCCGCCAATGAGAGCGCATCCCGCTTGTCGGCATCCCTCCGCGATTCCTTTCACTACTTGGGAAGCAACAGAGACATCAAGCTTGCTGCACCCGTAATAATCCAGGAAATACAACGGCTCGGCGCCTTGCACAAGTAGATCGTTGACCGACATGGCCACAAGGTCAATGCCTCAAAACTTGTGTCAAAAACAAAACAATCGGGGGACCATAACTCACCAACACAATCGTGGATGCCGACATCAACAGCGACCCGCAATTTGGTCCCAACTCCATCTGTTCCACTGACCAGGACTGGATCAAGATACCCGGCAGCGTGCAGGTCGAAGACGCCTCCAAAGCCACCGATTTCACCATCAGCACCGGGCCGGCGAGTAGAGCGGACATAGGGCTTGATCGTTTCGACGAGAAGGTTCCCAGCGTCGACCGAAACACCTGCTTGCGCATAAGTTAAACCTGTCTGCTCGGTCGGTGGTTTTAATGCTCTATATAGCAAGTTGGAACGAAACGGCTGGTGGTTGAAGTAGACATACCGATGACCAATGTCTCGTCGGTATGTTTTGCCTTCAAATGAGATTTTGTCCACAGCTGCATAAGCTATGTCCAATGCCTCCTGCAAGGTCAAAGCATGAGCAGATACTGCTAATACGCGACCGCCGGCGGTGAGAACTTGGCCTTCAGAGGACGAAGTGCCTGCATGGAAAACAACGGCATCTGTAGATGATGAGAAAAGAATGAACACTGATAACTGGGAACGCACTTGTAGGCACAGCAGTCAAGTCAATGACTTTGCCCTTTTGATACGACCCTGGATATCCAGCAGACGCAAGAACTACCGAGACCGCATAACCTGGTCGGATCGTCAATTTGACAGAGTCAAGACGGTGCTCTGCACAGGCCTATCATTGTACTTAGTTTGGAATCACACTGATAAGAGACTAACCAAAAGGATAGCAGCCAGATCACAGTCTTCAGATAGTAGCAACATTAATGCTTCAGTCTCGGGATCTCCGAAACGAACGTTGTACTCCAACACCTTTGGGCCATCTACTGTCAGCATAAACCCAGTGAACAACATTCCGACGAATGGAAAACCTATTTTCGGTGAATATATTTGTCATTGTCGATCTCTAACACGAACCGTCTCGTCTCATGCCATCGATTGTCGGCTGAAGAGCTTCTGAGAGAATTTGTTGTGTAATTGCGGGAGTGGCTACGGGTGCAGGGGCATAAGCACCCATTCCGCCGGTGTTTGGTCCTATATCTCCATCACCAATTCGTTTGTGATCCTGAGCTGCAGGCAAAGGAAATATCGAGTATCCGTCTGAAAATGCTAGCACTGAGACCTCAGAACCGATTAATAGCTCTTCAATCACAACTTGATCTCCTACGGCACTTGTCAGTCCACGAGGCGATTAGATAGGTTTCTCATACCTGCACTTCCAAACAAACTGTCAACCATTAGCTCTTTCAGCCCTTTTACTGCCTCTTCGATGGTCTCCGGAATCAGAACGCCTTTGCCTGCAGCAAGCCCATCTGCCTTGAGAACAACTGGATGACCGCACGTCTTGACGTAATCGACTGCAGCGTCGAATTGCGATGAAGAGAAAACTTTGTATTTGGCAGTTGGTATGGAATGGCGGGCCATAAAGTCCTTGGAAAACGCCTTAGAGCCCTCCATTCGGGCTGCGAGTGCACTTGGACCGAAGACGGGTATTCCGACTGTGGCACATGATGGAGGAGGATAAGATCGCTTGCATGCTCAAACCTTTGCGAAAATGGGTCTCGACCCCATCGACGAGCGGCTGCTCCGGTCCGGGAACGAGCAGAGTTACCTGGTGGTTTGTTGAGGCTAAAAATGAAAGCAGGATGCAGTCGAACCTGATTTTCGAGGGCGAAAGCAACAAGAGCAGGAAAATCGGATGGATTGAGCGATATGTTGGACGTTTTTGGGAGCTGGGATGTGCCACCATTGCCTGGACAGACATAGACGTGTTTTACAAGCGATGAATGGGAAAGTTTCCAAGCGAGGGCGTGTTCTCTCCCGCCGCTGCCAAGAAGCAGAATCCGCATCGCGATAGTCGAGATCAAGGGAAGAAAACGTCGATTGGCGTGTATTTCATTTCATGCAGCCTGGGTGTCTCCACTCATAGCTTGGTTTACTGCTTTTACCTTGGTGGGGCGTATTTTATGCTCATTCTCATGTTGGCACGCATTTATTGCAGAGAGTCAAGAAATCGGGATATGGTGGCCGTGTTCAACACGTGCAAAGGTCAGAGGCTGCCTTCTTCGTCGACGTGCCCTAATCCAGCCCCCCATCTATTCCCTTTACGACCTTAATGGTTTTCTTCGCCGTGGAGGCAGAGCCTTTTGAGGAGGTACTTGGCACCAACGCTTCAACTCCGCAGTCGTATTAACTGAATATTCTTTTCTCATAGTCGCAAGGACGACGAGCGCAGGCGTCTCAAGCTGAACTCCAGTCATTCTACAAGGAGGCCCAAAAGGGAGATCTCGAGCGGAAACTCTCCAAACGAAATTCGAACTCGAATTCACTCTGGTCGCGCAAATCGACCAAGCGGAGTTCTGCCCAACCTCAGCAATCCCAGCCGCCTCCGCCTGTTCCCGGTCCCTCCAGACGGAATACTGCTCCCCTAACCTCCGCATCTGCCACTTCACTTGCTCGTCCGCCACCGAGTATAAGTGAACATGGGAGCGAATGGTCGGACTCCGTGGTCTCGTTGCCACTTTCGAGGTCAATTATCCCCGACCAGTTGCGAGAATTGCCATCCTGGTACCGCGACAGCGCTCATTACACTACTCGATATGCCATGCACAATCCTGTGGGCCCCAAATGGTACAAAAACCACCACCTAATTCCCTCTTCTTCGGGCACACGTCCGTTGGGGCGCCCACCATCAGTGTTTTCACCCTCCTTTCCTCCCATGCCCTCCGGTGACCGCGGAGATGATTCTCGTGGAATGAGCCGTTCGCCTTCTAAATCACCACTCCCTACACCCAATTCATCTCAAAGTGGGGTCGCAGACGACCCAGCCAACATGCCCCGGTCAAGAAAGACTTCACAAACAGCCCATGACAATGTCGATTTGATGGATGGCTCAGATCCTTGGGGAACTGCTTGGCATCATGAGTCCCCGTACGATGTTGGGAAGAGCAATACGAGCAGTCCAGTGTCTTTTGACGAGGTACGTGGCCGTTACAAAACATTACAATGTCCTAAAAATCTATTCCAGAGTCCTCAGGCTACCCGCTCGCGCACATCCAGCGTCACCGTCCAAAACCGACGCAAGACAGTCACTCCCTCCCCATTATCACAGTCAACTTCTGCAGTCCATCTACAGGCGCCAGACCCGGGACGCCCGACCCGAAAGCTAAGTAAACGGCGGACTGTTGGAATTTTCGGGCGGCATACGGCCTCTGCGCCAGCCAGTCCCGTTGAGGGACTTGACTCTCGTGTCGCCTCCCCGGTTCAGAAGGGTGTGGCTCCTTCCATAATTTCCACCGAGACGAAGAAAGGCAGAAGAGGCAGTGTCTTGGGTAGAATCGCAAAACGGTTCAGCCTGATGAAGAAACCTACTGTTGTCGCTCCGGTGATGGAAGTGGTCCGGCAACCCTCGCCGCAAAAGCGGCAACCCAGTCCAGAAAAAGTCTTTTCTCCGGAGCCAACCAATACCTCACCTGTATCCCCTCCCTTCCATCAAGAGACCTCTCTCGTGGTTGTACCCCCTCCAGAGCCACAAATATCTACACCTCAGGTCGAGGACGATAGATCCTCAATTTCTCTGGACGCAACATATCGAATGGGTAAACTCATGGTTGCAAACCCAGACCCGGGCTCTGCAGAGAGCACTCCGATTCCACGCGAAATGCAACTACCTTCGGAAACAAATCATTTCCGAGAGGAGACCGCAGATACCTTGGCATCAACTCCCGAGTTGGATGCACCAAGAACACAATCCCCGTTCATATTGCCGCAGTCTCCCTCATTAAAATCAGTGAACACAGCACCAACGCCGGGTTTGGTGGCGTCTCCGCCAAGTTTGATAGAATCACCGGCCCCTGCGCCGTATTCCCCAGAACCGGCGTCATCCCCATCACTGAGTTCATTGGGTCGACCGTTATCCGGCCCTCTATTACCCCCCATAACTCCAGTCGACCACCAGATTCTGCTTCCTCATCGTTCGGAGAGCCCACCGCCACCCACGCCTCTGCCTAAAAGCCCCTTCCCTTCGTTACCCATTGATATTCCGGTAGCGCGCCAATCTTCTCCGACGAAAGCCAGCCCCACCAAAGCCAGCCCCACCAAAGCCAGTCCCACCAAAGCCAGTCCCATCAAACTATCTTCGTCGCCGGAAAAATCTTCGCGGTCATTCAACAACGATCATCGATTTGAGCGACCTATTTCTACTATCAGGCAAACAGTCGAATTACCGCCTGTTGTCGCCTCCTCCTCCTCAAGTCGCCGGGTACCTCCTCCATCCTTGGATAGTGCCGAGAAAACTCGACCGCCTTCGCCGAAGCTTCCAGCTGTGCCATTTCCTGTTGACTATGGGCCTCAACCCACACCTCGACCGGAAAGTATGGTCAGGTCGCATATGACCGCTGCAGACATCTCGCCTCTCTCTACTTCTTCCATGCTCGCTAATCCACCTACGCCCTACAATCCGGATACTCAAATTCCGGATGACACCGAATCTATACCTCCACCAGTCCCTTCCAAACACAAGTCGCGTGACCCCTCGCCAGGCCAAGTTGCTGTGACTGGCAGAGAGACGGAGACGTTCAGACTCGTGCGTAGTGCATCTGGAACTGTCTATGCCTCCACTGAGACCATCCGGGCTGCTGGAGAACAATGGGAAGTTATCGAGTCGTCCAAAAGCAAGGAGAAGCGGCGGAAAGGGGAAAAGGAGCCCGAGCCCGAGCGGAAGGGTCGAAGTGAGCGAAAACGGCACTCGCAAGACGCTGCTGGGTCGAATTCGCAGACGTTCCCGAGATCTGGCAGTAATAGTCGTGCCCCTATTCCTGAAGGTCTCGTTCGGGAAGAGTCTCCTCGCAAACGCGATGCTAAAGACCGCAAAATGAAGTTGGACAAGCCCCAGCCTGCTCCGCCGACTCCAAGCCGCAACCTGGACCGCAACCCTTCCAACTCCGCTCGGCCTATATCCGAGATTCCCGCCGCAGATATGACCCAAATGCGAGCACGTGAGGCATATGACATGGATCGGTTGTGGAAAGCGCGAAGCGTTGGCGGAATTGAACCAAGTAATTTTGTGGTCCCTCCGCCGTTACCATCGAAGGACAAGGTCGTTGATGTGCAGCAGCTTGGTGTTCATGGCTCCAGTCACACTGCTTTTGTTATGTCTGCTCCGTTCCACCAGCCCCCACCAATCTATCATTCGATGCCGCCTCCGCCAGCTCCGATGGCTTATGCGAACGGTGCTCACCGCGCCTCTACATCGCTTCCACCGCTGTCTAATCCGCTTCCAGAACCTCCGAGGGAATCATCTTACTCACCTGCCCCACTCTCCACCGACTATTGGGGCAAGCATGCTAACGCTACCACCGCCCACTGACCACATCAAGTATACCATGCATTATTCATGTATAACACCGGACTATTTGCATATCATAGACATTTATTTGGATACTGTTGTGTTGGGCTAATGAGACTGTAGTTGTTGCAGCGCTATGAATAGGCGGATCACGTGCGATGAACCTTGTTTGAGTGTGTGGACGCAAAGGCTGACTTGCGCGTGTTCTTCCACCATGGATCTCCGCAGCCTCATGCAAAAGCGGCCCAAAACCTTTTATCTGACGGTTTCGTCGCTGTCTGCGGCTTTTGGCCTTGGGCTATCCCCTTCCTTGGGGCCGCTCAGTGTTTTGATCGCAATTCTGCTCTTATATGCTCCCATTCTGTACCACAGATTCAGACAGCATCGCATTGCCAACATATTCATGCTATGGCTCAGCCTCGCGCTCTTTGGCTCCGTCGGGAGGCTGAGCCCAACATTGACTGCTCTTTCAACTGCGGGCCCTTCAATCGCAGTGTTGTTGGGTTTAAACTGCGTCACATCTGCCTTGTCGATATCGGCCATATTTGCTGACATCTTTATACGTTCACGTACTGGATGGTCGCAAACGACGTTGTTCCCGGCGATTTGGACGACCCTCTGGGCAGCGACGGCTTACTCGCCTCTGGGCCGCCTGTCTGCATGGAGTCCTATCTTATCAACTGGCTCGTATGCTTGGATGGCGCCCTGGGTAGGCATGCTTGGGATTGACTGGGTAGCTGCTTCCTGGGCAGTTGTGATTTCCCGGAATATAGGTGCCTGGTTCATGGGGCAGCCTGATTCTGAGTTGGAGCTCGAAAGAGAGCATGTCAACTCAAAATCACGCTCGACTTTGGCGTCGACTTGGACGCTTTTGGGGGTGCTAACAGCCTTGACCATCCCGTCATACATCATTTCGAATGTTCCTCATTCAGTTAGCCCATCGGAGAGCACGACTCCCCTGGTTGTGGGCTGTGCGTTGCCCTCACCAGCTTTTTCCAGGTACAATGTTACCTCGTTTGGCCTGGACGAGTACATCCACGCAAGCAAAACAATGGATCCCGCCAGAATCATACTGTGGCCAGAAGGCGCAGTCTCTTTCAAGGACGAAAACGAGAAGACTGAAGCATTCGAGAGAATCGCTTTCGAGATCGGCAGGGCTGGCACCTATTGGGCGGTGTCGTTTGACGAAAAAATTCGTGACCCTTCCAATCCCAAGAAAAGAATTCAGCGCACAGGACTAGCGATCATATCTAACCAAACCGCGACACCACATGTAGAATACTATAAACGCTCTCTTGTTCCCAGTATGTACCATTTTCTGTCCGATCAACTTCTCACAAGCCGTGCACAGTCGCGGAGTCGTTTAGGTTTATTCCCGGCACAGCTCCGCCGCCTTTGTTTGAACTCCAACTTCCAGTTCCAAAGGGCGTTTCGAAAGCAACATGGGGAAAGCGCCCTATCGACCTTACGGCGTCGATTTGCATGGACTTCACGATGCCGTCCGTCTTTGACACGTTGCCCTCCCGCCCTACCCTCATTCTGGCGCCAGGAAACACCTGGGACCGCGCCATCGGCAGCAGGATGTGGGAAGAGGTCAAGCAACGCGCAAACGAAGTCGGGAGCATCGCGCTATGGTGTGATGGCGGCGAGGGGGGCATGAGCGGAGTGGTAGGGGGCGGCTACAACGACATTTACCAGATGGGCGAAGGCTCCTGGATCAGGACCATCGGTCTGCCCCATCCATACGACACAACACCCACATTTTATGCTCGCTTTGGCGGGTTCCCTGCGTTGCTGCTTGGCTGGGCTTTAGTTGGTGCAGCGATTCTGCCATGGTCGCTTGCTCTGTTGCATTACAAGAAGTCGCATCCGCACAGGCTTTCTCTCCAAGCCGCAGCCTGGGTTCACAGCCGAATAACAGGTCAAACTGCTCGGATTGAACAACCTGTTGAGCCTACGAATAGCGCTATTCGGGAAGCTCGTCTCATCGAAGTGTGAATGTCTTTTGTGAAAAATGTACTCTTGTATTACAGTGTTCCTTCAATTCAATTACTCTACGACTAACGAAACAGCATGGACCAGTTCAGATATATATGACGTCTCAATCAAGGTCATCTTCCCATCCGCCGGGAATATTATTTGGTCCTCTGTCCGAGCTCGCTCGCCGACGAGGGTTGCGACTCCCGCTTTGGCCACCGCGACTGCCCGAGGCTGAGGAACTGCCACCTGTGACATTGCCGAAAAGCGACTGAAACAACATTCCGCCAGGGTTGGTGGGGGTGGTAGGACTACGACGACTGGGGCTTCCCCCGTTGTTGGGGGGCGGAGGAGGTCCGTGATGTTCAGGTTGGGGAATGAGTGCATGTCTACAAACATGAGACGGATAAAGAATCGCGGAGATCGCACTTACCGACACACGGGACATGTTCCACTAGATTTTAACCAGGGGAGAATACATGGCTCGTGGAAGGAGTGGTGAGCGGTGCAAGGAAGACTGGGAGAATATGAGACATTTGAACTCGACAGAAAGAGAAGTGACCCCACGTCACGACAATTTGCTCGTCGGGATCTTCCGTTTCAAGCTTGAATTGTTCTTGACAGATAGCACAATCTTTCTCCAACATTGGTGCTGTTGATGATAAATAAGTCCTCAACACTCAACACGAGGAGAGCGAAAAATACGCACACCCTAGCTCGAGAACTTGGCGCGGAAGCTTCTCGATAATGTCTTCAGTCGCTGGAACAGGTCGGGTTGCATTATTCGAGCTTTCCATGAGCTGAGTGATGATTTCATCGAGTGCAGCTTGATTGAAGACATAGTCCCCCATCCTTCCTGATTGTGCGTCTCCACCTTGTGCGAACATATCCGCCAACGGATCGCGCCCGCCGAGTAAGGCCATCAGGTAGCGCGCCATGAGTGACCCATTGATACCACCGCCCATTCCTTCCGAAGGTCGACGTTGCAAGAAACTGGACAAATATTATTAGTGTTGCACGATATCACAATCCGTTTGTTTTACTCTGCCATTGTAGGTTGATCTGGATCTTCTCCAGTGCCGTCTGAAGCAACTCTTATTGTCCTGCCCGTATTGCCGTTGCGGAATTCGAATGTTCTGGTAGATCGAGTGCGTGGACTTGACGGAGCAGGGTTGGTTGCACCTTGTAGCGCGTCTGAGGCCGTATTGAGTTGAGGAATCTTATCGTAATGCATGACGAACACAAAAACGCTTCAAGTCCAATAGGCATCTCGTCGCCAGTCATAGCAGGACCAATCCGGGAGAATTCGCGAGGGTCGTCAGTGGGATTCTCCATCTGGGAGCGAGGTTACGGAATATCAGAGGGACGAGCATTGACCGACTTTCTCAACCTGGATGAAATAAGCTTGTGGTCAAACAAGCTATGGTAACACGCACAAACGACCCATGACAAGAGGCACAGACTGGGTCAGGAACCTGGAGCCATTAGGCGCAGCTACAGAGCGGGACGGATAAGTAGAATACCATTAGAGGACGCATTTCCGCGTTGCATTCATGACAATACCACATTGGCTCGCGACGAGAAGACATGGTGGCGGGAATAGGACAAGGGAATCGATGATGTGACAGGTGTGTGGAGGTGTGGGCGTAGATGGGGGTGAGTGATATTGCAATTGGGTGTTCAGTGGCGGCAAAGGGCTGAAGCAGTGGAACAGAACGAAGGAGGAATGAATCGATGACGCTCGCCTAAGCCACGAGTAAGCACTGTGACGTGACCGAGTTCTGGTGCCTTCCAAAGCGACAACCATCATCCAAAACTCAACCAAGTACAAACTTTGGATGGTGAGCTTCGTTCCTTTACTTCCTACTAGGATGATCTTTTCTGTTTCCTATTATCCGAATTTCTTTTGAAGAAAACATTGGGTTTTACTGACCTGTTCTATTTTCTCCCATTCATATGCTCCGAACCCCAAATAACCTGTTTTCCAGACTTCAACTCGAGGGGAAAGTACCGGGTGGGAGATATTGTAGTACAAGTTATTGCATGTATGCCGTGAATTGGACGTGTTCCCGTCGTTCGCGACTTCTTTCCTCCCATAATGAAGTCGGGGGATGTTGTTTCGGTCGTCGTTGTGGGCCTTGCCCTCATTGTAGATGTAGCAACGCGACTGCGAGGATCTAAACACCCTCTACCAGTCTGGTCTCCCCTGCGCAATTTTCTCACCCTCCACGACTTGGACGAGACTATTGGAGAACCCACACACCGTTCCTTCCTCACATCTGCCGCATTGGTTCTCCTTCCTCTTTTCCAGTCCACATTACTTCTTGGCTGTTTTGTAACAGCTCTAGTGTCCGGTCAACCTTACATAGAATGGTTTCTTCTGTCTCTTGTTTGGGTACGTGAACTCTAACTCGATATTATCACTTGTCGCTGAGCTGCTGCAACAGGGCTATACCTCCCTGAGGCTCGCATTAGAACCACCCATTACTCCCCCATACCTTTCCGTCGCGTTCGCGTTCATACAAGCTGCTGCTCCATTAATCGAGTTAACACTTGATGCCGTCGACACTGGAGGCACACCTAGAGCTATCCTTTTCAATGTCTTGCGGGCTATCCTTCCAACTATCTTCCTCTTCGTTCTTGGAACACTTCCCATGCAAAGCGTTGCAGCTGCGCAAAACATCGCCAAACCAACTGATGTAACTCTCTTCTTCCATAAGCTGTCTGCGACTGACGAGACAACAGGCGCCTTCGGTCACAATGTCGTGTCCAGAGGACAATGTTACCGTGCGCCGACCCCATATTCTCTTGTCCCATCTGACAATCGTTTCTAGTTGTGGCAATGGGCAACGTTCTCTTTTGTTGAACCAATATTTCATCAGGCCAACAAGGCAACCCTCAATGATACAGACGTCTGGAGTCTCTCCCCTTACTTCAAGCACAAGAACCTGTTCAACAAATACCTCAAATACCGTGCTAATCACCCCACCCACTCGCTCATCCGATTCTTGCTTGCCTCGAATTCCTTGGATTTGATCCTGGATGTTGTTCTCGAGTTCTGGAGTATGGTTATCTCCTGCAGTTGATTAGCTCTAACTTGAATCCAAGGTGCGGTCGTGGGGTTTGTGCCGGCTTATGCTCTCCAAGAAATTCTGTCAGAATTGGCAACTCCAAGCCCCGAATCGCGGAGTAGAGCTTATTACTGGACCCTCGTCACCTTTCTCGCACACCTGTCATTTGCACAGAAGGACTTGATAAAGGGTTGGCATACGCGTAGGTGTTATGAGAGGCAAGTTCGCGTTGTTTTGTGAATCCTATGCTGATCTCCAGTATAGGACGCGTGGTCAATTGTTTTGTGCACTACACTACAAGTCTTTAGTTCGACAAGACATGAGCGGGAAAGTTACCACGAAAGATGGAGAGGAAACTGAAAATGCTGCGAATCTTGGTAAAATCGTCAATCTGATGCAGTTCGTCTCCTTCCAAATCTGGCGGGACGGAACTCTTACGTGGACTTGAGGGGTGATTCTTACGCCGTCGCGCAACGTTTTTGGGAGTTTTCTGCCCTCTTTGCTTCGCCTGTGCGCTTGGTTATCGCACTTGTTTTCCTCTACAAGTATGATGCTTCCCTTGTGATGGTCTTACAAATATCTAACCACATTTCTCAGCATCCTTGGTTGGAGTGCCTTGTCTGGCGTTGTTGTCGTGTTATTGGCCTATGTGGTCAATTATCCGCTGGCTCGTTACAACATATACATCACCCGAGAAAGCTGGAAATCTCGGGACCTACGCATGGAGCGCGTGAATGAACTTCTCCAGAACATCCGTTTCCTCAAATTCTTTGGCTGGGGTTTGTTCTCTCGTTACGCTTTGCTCCATCGGACTCACCGCCTGACAAACAGAATATCAGTGGTCAAGCACGGCCGGTAAAGCTCGAGAGACAGAGCTCGGATGGCGGGTCAAAGAAAACGCTGTTGACACAATTATTTCCTTTATCTGGTACGTGTTGGCTTTGATCCAGCTTCTTTTGACCAAAGACTCAGGACTTGGATTCCGTCGGCCACAGCGCTCTCGTCCTTCCTCTGCTATACGCTCATCGCAGGCGAACGCCTAACTGTTTCAAAAGCATTCACATCGTTGGCACTATTCTCTCAATTGCAAGAGCCCATGACTGCGCTTCCCGGCCAATTCTTTGCGATGCTGCATGCCTATGTGTCGATGCAGCGAATAGAGGCCTTCTTGACTGAAGACGAGGTGCCCAAGTGGGCTTCTACACTTACCAACGGGGCTGAACAGCGTGCTCAAAGCACGGATATTGGGTTCGAATCTGGCGTATTTGAGTGGCAAGTGCCCTCCGAATCCTCTCTTAATTCTGCTCGGTTTCAACTTGGACCACTAAACATCAGTTTTCCCCGTGGAAAATTAACGCTCGTCAGCGGAGCCACAGGTTCTGGTAAAACTGCATTGCTGTCAGCACTGCTTGGAGGTAAGTTCTTACCTGGCCAATCGTGAATCCATGTTGAAGTTTAAACAGAAATGCATTGCGTGGATGGGCAAGTCTATCTTAACAAATCCGGGCATCAAGTTGCCTATTGCGCTCAAAACCCGTGTAAGAAACTGGTAGTGGCTGATTCCACCCCTAATTGGCCACAGGGTTGGAACATGCGACGATTCGCGATAACATTGTTTTTGGTGCCTCGTTCGGGTTTGACGAAGCTCGATATCAGGCGGTCATAGAAGCGTGTGCTCTCCTCCCTGACCTCAAGATTTTCGATGCTGGCGATATGACTGGCAAGTTTAGCATGATGTCCGTTGCTTGTCAACGCTTACCAACGTTCATAGAAATCGGAGAACGCGGCGTCACTTTATCCGGAGGACAACGTGCCAGGATTGCATTAGCGCGGAGTCTTTACTCCCAAGCGAAGGTACAAAACTCGAGAAAATGATGTTGACTTGTTGCTCAAAAATGCCCTTCAGTGTATTCTTCTTGATGATCCGTTCGTTCTCATCTTTCTTTGAGCCAATTGCTGAATATAAGTAGCTTGGCAGCTGTGGACATGCATACGGCCACCCATATAGTCGAGAACTGTTTGACAGGATTTTTTGCTCAAGATCGGACGATCATTCTAGTTACACACCATATCAGCCTCTGTCTGCCGGTGGCCCACTACATCGTTGAATTGGCCGAAGGACAAGTTTTACGCCAAGGGACTATCAAAAGCTTCGAGCAAACCGGCATCCTGCAAAAGGTGGTCGAAACCGAAGACCAACCCTTCGTGGAAGAAGAGAAGGAGGTGTCTATCCCAGCTGAAAACGAGGCCGATGCAATTTTGCCAAAAGTTGTCGAGCCAGTCAAGCGGGTCCGCACCGATGGGAAGCTGATTGAAGCAGAAGCACGGGCAGAGGGGCGAGTCTCTTTGAGGACATACCTCACTTATATCCGTGCCGCGGGCCTTTTCTCTTGGATTTTCACGCTGCTTTTGATGCTCCTGATCCGTGGGATCAATATTACTAATCAAGTATGATTTGGCTTTTTTTTCTGGCTCAAATTGAAATATTTTAGGTTTTCTTGGCTGAATGGGGCGAGGCATACCAAGAAGATGTTATCGTCAGCTTGTTCAACAAACTCCACGCGCAAACTCTCCCCTGGGACGGCCTGCCTTCTCCCAATGTAAACGTACGGCCCTGGCTGATGATTTACCTTGAAATATCGCTGCTCGGGGCATTTTCGGTATTCGTATATATCGGTCTCGGCTACTACGCGAGTCTTCAGGCATCGCGATCCCTCTTTCTCTCCCTGCTGCGTCGCTTGACTCGTGCGCCAGCCCGTTTTTTCGACGTTACCCCAATCGGGCGGATTCTCAACCGTTTCACCACCGACATCAACGTTATTGACGGGGCCCTCCAAAATTCTGCCAGGAGCTGTCTTTCTGGAGTCCTGAACTTTATCGCTTCCTTTTGCGTTATCCTCTTTGTCATCCCCCGTTTCGCCCCGTTTGCGTTGTTCATCGCTTGGCTCTACATCCGCTTGGCTCCACGCTTCGTAAGGGCCTCGAGAGATTTGCGCCGCTTAGAGTCCATCTCGCTGAGCCCGGCTTTTGCTGGTTTTGATGAGCTCCTGCGAGGTATAACGCATGTTCGGGCGTTTGGGATGGAACAGCGGTACCAGGACCGTTTCTACGCGAGAGTAGACAAGTTCCAGTCCTTTGATCACGTCTATGTGGGTCCTGTTATACTAAATGTTTTTTTTGCTCAAAACTGTACAGTGGCTCGTCAGCGGATGGTTACGATGGCGCTATGACTGTCTTGGCTCGCTGGTCGTGTTCGCAACGACGTTGTTTGCATTATGGGCTCGTGTGTCGAATGGTTTGGCAGCCATCGTCATTGTCCAGGCGGGAATATTTGCTGAAGCTAGTCGACAGCTTGTGCGGTATGTATGGAACTCTCCTTCAAATTCATTGTTAATATCCGCTTTCCAGAGTTGCAGCACAGCTTGAGCTCGACTTCAATAGCGTTGAGCGTGTCATTGAGTACCTTGACATTCCTCAAGAAGCACCCGCAGTTGTCAAGGAAAGCAGACCGCCGGCTTACTGGCCATCGAGCAGCGGGAGCCTTGTTGTGGAGAACCTGGAGGTCCGATATGCGCCGGATTTACCGTCGGTTCTGCGGCAACTATCCTTCACCATCCGTCCCTCCGAGAAGATCGGAGTCGTGGGACGGACCGGCTCGGGCAAGTCCACGCTGGCGTTGTCGCTTCTTCGAATGGTGGAGCCTGTAGGAGGGAGAATATTGTATGTGTCATTTCTTGGAGGTTCAAATTGGCTTACCACTCGCAGCGTTGACGGCGTTGACATCTCCACAATTGGGTTGGAAGATTTACGGACTAAAATCGTCAGTATATTGCACTGTTCGACTGAATCAAGGCACTGATGCATTTGTAGACCATCGTCAGTCAGGATGTCTCGCTGTTTTCTGGGACAATACGCAGCAACTTGGACCCTCTTGGGCAGAGTACTGATGAAGAATGCGTGGAGGTGTTGGAGCGGTGTCATCTCACGACGCTATTGAAGCACAAAGAGTCGAGCATTCTCGATATGCCGGTCAGTGCCGGGTCTTTGAGTGCCGGAGAGCGGCAGTTGGTCGCGTTGTCGAGGGCTATTCTAAGGAGGACGAATATCATCATCATGGATGAAGCGACGAGCCAGATTGATTCACACTTAGATGACCAGGTTTGTCGTTCTTACCCTGTTGCCTGTGCTATTGATCGAGTCCCTGCTACAGATCCAGAAGACGATCCGGGAAGAGCTATCTGGCGCTATTGTTATTACCATCGCACATAGACTCAAGACCATCATCGACTACGACCGCATTCTGGTTTTGCATGACGGCGAGCTGGCGGAGTTTGGCACGCCTAGAGAGTTGCTGCGTAGACAGGGTGGTATTTTGCGGGAGATGTGCAGGAAGAGTCCGGACTGGCCATTGTTTGCCGCGATAGCTACTTAGCCACTGCAGCGAAATTAGAGGAGAGGAGAACGAACACGTGATCAGAACACGCTTTGCCATCTGCCCGCCATGCGACTCTTGCTGCTCAGTCTCTGTGTTGGCCTTGCCCTCGCCCATCCTATGCACAACGCGCCGGGCCTCGGCGATATATTTGGCGACGACACATTTGACGACTCGCCAATAGACACAAGCACTGAAGTGTTTCCTCGTCCACCACGCCTCCCTCCTATTGCGACGAATGAAGGCCCTGGATTTGTTGATCTTCTGCCGACTACTACTGCAGGGAAGAGAATCAAGAGTTCATCGACTGCTGCGAGCGTGGGATCAGCGAGTCTGGCTGCTATCAACACACTTTTGTCTTCAACCACCAGTTTGGCGAGCACGCCGACGACTACCATTCCCCTCGACTATACGCCTCTTTTGCCTGTCGTTCCGCCCACGGAAACACCTGGCGACACGTCAACTACTTCGTCTGCTGCAGCGCAATGGAAGATCATCGGCGTGACAACGGTCGGCATCGCGGTGGTCGCTGGGTTCCTACTGTGCATTCTCTACTACGACGCGCTCTGGGGCTGCATGCTGGCTATGGTTGGCAAGAAGAAGCGGAAGAACAAAGGGACGGAGGATCTGGTGCCGGACTGGGCGAGGGGCGAGTGGGAGTATAAGATTGCGAGTGAGGACGGACACCGGTACCCGACTATGGCCTCGCTCGAGTCGATGGCGAAGAATTTGAAGAGCCCCAATCCTGACCCACACAGTCTTGTGCCCTCCCGCCTGCCGTCAATCTATATTCCGAAACTGGAGCCACATCCTCTCGAGCCGCTTTTCCGTCGACCTAGCGTGGTGCAGCACCCGATTCTACTCAGTCCGAACCTGCAGCGGTGAACGTAAACAGCCTATATCATACCAGTAACGTAGACATACCTCATTGTTTTTTTCTCGGGCGCCTTTTCAGACAGCATGCTGGCCTCGAGGTTGTTTGAGACAAGCTGCCCTGCGATGGCGAACCTGCAGCGGTGAACGTAAACAGCCTATAGACTTGTATCATAGTAGACATACCTCATTGTTTTTTCTCGGGCGCCTTTTCAGACATCATGCTGGCCTCGAGGTAGTTAGAGACAAGCTGCCCTGCGATGGCAAACCCTGCGAGTGCGACTCCGAATTTAAGACGTGTGCTTGCAGGCAGGGCTGTTAATATGACATTAATGACGCGTTGTAAGCCATTGGTTGCTTGGCACCCACCCAGGTATGACTGGAACAATGAGCGGTTATTTGGTGGTGGCGACGGCATGAGGGAAGAAGAGATATCAAGTGACAGCAGCGTTCTTCCTTTTTCTTTTACCACGACCATCCACGACCTCTCTCTTTCACGCCCTTAACTCCTGGCCCCCCTGCCATGGACCTCACGAAATCGTCACGTTCGCTCATTGTCCAGCTCGACGAAACCGAGCCCCAGCACAGTCACCACCTCCGCCGCAAGAAATCGTTCTACCGAGTTTCTGCCCCAGCAGCGCAGTCGCCCGTGATCGCGGAGGTGGAAATGGCCATCGATATTCCGCCTATGCGCCCACAGTCGATGATGGCGCTCCAGCCAAAGGCGTCGTCGGTGATTAGTCACAACCGCTCGCAGTCCCAGCCAAACACCCTCCGTCTTGGCCATCCGCGGCGGCCGTATTACTCCGCGATCCGGCCCGGAATGTCGACCTCCCGCCCGAGCTCCCCGCCAAACAGCTACAGCCCGCCCACCGCTGTTGACGACAGCATGGATGTCGATGATGGCCCGCCGGTAGCGCCCGCGATTTCGCCGCGTAGATCAAGTTTCCGGCTCGGGTTTGGCGCGTACGCACAGCAGTCGTCGGGCTTCTCGGTCACCGGGGAGATGGAGATGCGCATGGCCCTGGCTGCGATTGCCCGGGAGGAAGAAGCGCGCCAGACCGACTCCGATTCTCGCCCCCACCACCAGCACCATCATCATCTGGGGAAAGGCTCGGTGGGCAGACAAGTCAAGAAACTGCGTAAAGGCCTCCGCGATCTGGTGCGCCGCAAACCGTCATGACTTTTCTTTTTCTTTTTTGGTTATACCCCCCATGCTCGTCCGTTCGTTTGGTTATACTCACGTTATCGCATTGCATCGCATTGTTACTGCACTCATTAATCTGCACCCATAATTACTTACCCTAGATCCTAAAAGGATGTTGTCTGTTGTTTTTTTGCTATCAGTATCCTGTCTAACGCTGTAGCCCAGTTTTGATCAATGCTAGCTGACCCATCTCAGTGTCTGCTTGATGTCATGCCCAATCCATTGAAACTTTGCTGTCGGCCGCTTACACTAGATCATACATTGAAGAATGCTGTTGCTGTTTTTGCTACCTATCACGTCCGCATATTCCGCTCTCTGTCTACCAATGCGTCGAATGCCGCCTGAGCTGCAGCCCGGTCTTCGTCTCGGAATGGCGTCAGAACGGGTTGTGAGTTGGAAGAAGAAGGTGTCTCTGGCGGGGACTCGGACTGGTTTTGAATCGACGAGCCGTCTGCACGCCGGCCTTTGCGGATGTTTTCCCAAGCCTTGTTGCCTTCTTTGTTGCGATTCGCGCGAATTTCGTCCCACCGAGAGTAAGCGGGCTGCTGTGGAGATGGGGATGGAGATAAAGATGGAATGGCGCGTGGGGGCGAGTCGATTGGCGCGTCTATACGAAGTTATTTAAGCCAGCAACAACATAACACAACTCACCTGGCTCGAGATTAACCGGGTCCGCCGCAAACGCCTGCTCCGCCTCGTCCTCCGAGAATTTCCCGGTAAACGACACGAGTCCGGGCGAGAACCCGACCTTGAGCTTGACGTTATCCATCGCGCGGCTGAACCCGTGTTTGTTTTCGATCCGTTTGAATATTTTTGTGTGGGTGTACAGCCGGAGCACCTCGCCGGCCACCATGCTCGCGGCGCCCGCCACAAAGGCACCTGCTTTCCACGCGAATTTGGTCCGCCGGTTGCCCGCTGCGAGCCAGACGCCCACGCCGATGGGTATACCAAGGAACTGAAGAACGGTTAGATTTAGACAGTAGATTGGAAGCCAACACACGTCGGTGTAATGCAGGCCTGGCAGCGTGTGCATCAGCAGCTCGTAGTCTCTGCGCGTAATGTTGGTGCCCAACTCGGGCCCAAGCAAGGTCTCGATTTTGCGGCGCGAGCTGAATGTTCTGTCCATCCACTTTGGGTCATAATTGATGTTGACGACGCGCGAGGGCCCGGCCTCTGGCTGTGGTTGGTCGTCGTCAGAGGGCATAGAGCTTTGAAATGGAATGAATGCAGCAAGTTCAGAAGAGGAATTATGACGTCGTAACGCGTGACGCGGTCTGCGAAGCCCACCCATGGCCCCGCCGAAAGAGCCGACACGCGCCCAGCTCTCGTCGCGGCTCACCTACAGCCAGACCACGCCGCGCTTTCTCCAGGTACGTAGCACACCCCGATAAGCTCTTTTTTTCCCTAACAATGTCTATGGTAGAAACTGCAGAATCGAGTTGCGGGCATCCCAGACGAAGATGACGAGCAAGACGACGAATACGAGACATTAGACAACTCTGGGCGGCCGCCGATACCCAGGCGACCACCGATTCCTGAACGGCCCGCTGACGATCCTGGAAGTGCAGACGAAGACGATGCAGACGAGAGGCCACAGGTGGTGGTGCTCAAAGAGGGAAAGCATCTCTCTGAGCGGGAGGCAGAAAACATAAGGAGAAAAGGTCCGTCAGTTTGCAGCAACAACTCTAGTGCTGATAGTATATGTAGAGAAAGGGCTGCAACCGTTGCCAGACCCCGATCCGCCCACTGCGACTTCTTCCAAGACAACAGAAGACGACCACAGACCCAAGAAGGTCAAGCCGCCGCCTCCCAGCCTCTCTTTCTCCACCGCAAAGAACGGGTTCAAAGCTGGCGCCGCCAAACGCAAGGCTATTCTGAACGGCAGCGCGGGTGACTTACAGCCAGCAAAGAAGAAGGCGAAAAAGGACACCAAGACATTGCTGTCGTTTGGCGACGAGGCGTAGTCTTTCGGTGGACCGTGCGTCTAGCTCTATTTTCAATCGGTCTTCCGACCTTCTCACGTTTACTTCTCAGTGATTGGTTGTGAGGATCCGCCACACCGGAACCGGCCAAAGCCGTACTATACCCAACTTGGCTGATTATACCCGCGCCCAACGCGACGATGAAGCACGCGACGGAACGAGATGAGAAAACAGAAATGGTTTGCTTCGTCTTTCTTTATGTTGTATTACGTATCACGGGCCCTACGACTTGGTTCAGGCTACGCACGGATGACCGAAAGTGAACACGAACCTTGGGACGATTATTTCTTGCCTTTGCCGCAGTCGCAGTCGTCGCAGACGTCTTTGGTGCTGCTGCTGCTGGTGGAGCAAGTGGTGCTAGGCTGCAGGGTACTTGAATATAAATGGCAGACTGCGCAGGGAGACACTAACCATTGTGGTGGGTTGACAATGAGAGTTATCAGTACGTCAACCAGAGAGTGACCAGACTCTTATACCGATCTCTTATCGGCGGCATCATCATCTAGATTACAAACCAGCCGTTTCTAGATCGCCAACGTTCAACGCATTATGCCAACATCATCCTCCTTAAGCTTGACTCCTATATATCTCTCTTTCGCCGACCATGACCCTCTCTCGTTCCGCCCGCACCCGCACGCTCGCTACCGCCAGTCTCCTCCCGCTGATCCTCGCCCAGTTCCACTCATTTTACACCGAACACGCACCTGACCCCAATGTCTACACCCCCCACCCCCACTTCCTCGTGCTGCTATTCGCGATCCAGCTCGCCCAGCAGTGTTATTGGCTGTACCAGATGTTCTACCCGCCAGACGGGCGTGCTAACAGACGACGATTCGGCGAAGAAGAATCGCAGCCCTTGGATGGCCATCCAAGAAATACCACGCAAGACATCGACGACAACACCGAGCCGACACAAATGGCGTACGCGCCAGTCTACGCGCTCTGTAATGTCTTCTTCGGTCTGCCTGTTTGACGTAAGAGTACTCCGATATGCTGACTAACACCGACAGTGATTGCCTCACTCACCTGGACGCTTTACTTCCTCATCTCGCATCTTTTCGTCTTCCTTGCCGCCGCTGCCCAGCTCTACGCCGTCTTCGGCCTTCTCGGGCCCGATGGCAAATACTCACCGACCCGGCGGAACCACCTCACCCACCTCGTCGCAAAAACCAACGCCGGGTTTTCAATAGTGTACTTGGCACGGTCTTGGGGCGCGCTCGGTATCGGGGTATGTTCAACCCAAAATATAGCCTCTATTGACGTCTTTGAAGGCATCCCGGCCAGTCTTTCAGCAACAGGCCTTCCTCGCAGTTGCCTTGCTGATCATGGTATGCTTTTCCTCCATCTTGCGCGGATTGACTCTGGATGGCGACAGACACTAACCGCTGGACCGGACCCCACGATCGGGCTCAGTCTGGTCCTCGATCTCGCAGCGCTGGCGGCAGGGAGTGCCATTGAAGAATGGCGCATCGCATTTGCTGCCATCATCGGTGTGCTCTTCGTGGTGGTCCTCTCTGACTCGGCACTCGCATGGAAAAACGGCCGGCTACACCCTGCGCCAGAGCTCATCACGGACATCGACGCTTACCACGACTCGGAGCAAATTTACTTGTCGGACATCCGAACACCAACGGAGGACAGCTTTCCAACAGAGCAAGTCTAGTTATATTGTGATCAGTTTGGTTGTATGTCTTCGACAGTCGCATAAAATTCTTCGATGATCCTCTTTTGTGCCTGTTTAGTGGTCTCTCCCTACAAAAAAAAAGTTGAGGGAATTTGTGAGATTCAGAGTGGGTTGTGTACCTCTGCACCACCGATGGCCCGCACGACGATGTACTTTCTGCCCGTCAGAATGGCTTCAGTGACATCGCCAAACGAGTCCTCAGATCTCGTGGCTGCGAATACTTCACGCGAGCCAGTTACAATGCCGCCAGCCTCTTCAGCGATTACCACGCCCGCGCAGACATCCCTAAAGCCCATCAGAAATAAGAGGTTCAAGACCCATAAACCCATACCACGGCCAACACCCTACTTCCCTGGTTTATGTTAGTATCAACTAATTACTACGAGGAATGCTCACCAGTACAAGTCTAAGGCGCCCTGGGCCACCAGCGCAAAGTTGAGCGCCGCCGATCCGACAGAGCGCAGCGAATGGGCCATCTTGCCGCCGGGGACCTGTGAGGGGTCGCCGGCGAGCCGGCCGAACGAGGAGGATTTAGCGGAAATGGGCTTTTCGGCGCGGTCTGAGCCCCATTCCACAGCTTTGCGGATTATTAGAACGTGTAACGATATATTGATCAGATTTCACACCGATTAGGGCCTGCGAGAGGGAGGGCAGCGGTTTGGGGGACGATGCGAGCGGTAGCTTGAGCCGCTTTCCGTCGCTGGTGGTGAGGAAGGAGCCATGGCCTTTGATTCCGGTGTACTGTGTTGACAGCATCAGAGGCCTGTGGCGCGAGGACAAACCAAAAACGAACCAGTTGGGAGAGGAATGGGTTGTAGATCACGCCAAGCACGGGTCGTTTCTTAACGATGAGTCCCAGCGATATACACACGTAGGGAAAGCCATGGACGAAATTCGTTGTTCCATCTATTCCCAGTCAGGTCAAGCAGAGATGTAGTGGAATATATGACGAACCAATGGGATCGACACAAAAAGTGGGGTCGTCAGTCAGCGGAGCGCGATCGCCAGCAGAATAAGATTCCTCGCCAATACTGCATCAAGCGTAAAGACGAGCGCAGAAAAACTCGTGGCTGGCCACGAACAACTTGAACGCGGGATATTTGCTGCCCAGCTCAGACTTGACGAGCTCCTCAACACGCACGTCGAATTCGGTCACCAAATCCACGGCGTTTTTCTTCTCGTTGATGCTGGATGCTGGGGCAGACTGAATAGCAAGCGACCCTTCGAGAATGAGGTCGCCTGCCCTTTTCGCGAGGGCGACGGTGAAATCGAGGATGGATTCGAGATCGAGCTCGGTGGACATGGTCGGCCTCTCGCGGCACGCACGGTGGTGGCAAGTGGAGAAAAAGTTGCTTCGACTCCGCGAGCGTTGAACGTGCACATGTTACGTAAAGTAACGCTGTGACTAGAGTAATCGAGACGCGTCAGCCTCTTGCTTCCAGTCCATTATGTTCCTCACGCGTTCTGAATATGGTGAGCGAAGAAATCTGGTGGATCCCTGGTCTAAGCGTTCATCCAGACCGTGGAGTCAACACCTTCTCTCCAGAAGGACGTCTGTTCCAAGGTAAGAGCTGTCGAAATAGTGGTCTGCGATTTACCAACTGGATCTAGTCGAATATGCCATGGAAGCCATAAAGGTTTGCTCTCCAGCTTGAAGCGTAGACCACCCACTTACTGCGCAATAGCTTGGCTCAACAACCGTGGGCATCCGAACCCCACACGGCGTCGTTCTGGCCGTAGAAAAACGCGTGCATTCACCGCTGCTCGAGTCGAGCTCAATCGAGAAGATTATGGAAATCGACGAGCACCTTGGCTGTGCGATGTCTGGTCTTACTGCCGACGCCAGGACCATCATTGACCACGCCCGCGTTACTGCCCAAAACCATTCATTCACATACGACGAGAAGATCAAGGTTGAGAGTGTCGCCCAGGCGGTATGCGACCTTGCTCTTCGCTTCGGTGAGAGTGTCCACGACGAGGAGGCCATGATGAGTCGCCCTTTCGGTGTTGCACTCTTGATTGCAGGCATTGACGAGGTTGGGCCGCAATTGTGAGCTTCACTTTCTGACTTGGTTCATTCTCGTTTCTTATAATTATAGATATCACACCGACCCGTCTGGTACGAGCACACGGTATGATGCGAAAGCGATTGGGTCTGGATCGGAGGCGGCGCAGAGTGAGTTGCAGGACAAATGGCACAAGGTTCGTCGCAAGCCAACTCTAATGATGTGACTCTCATCTTCTGTTCACAGTCGATGACCCTCCAAGAGGCCCACATACTAACACTCCGCGTTCTGAAGCAAGTGATGGAGGAAAAGCTAGACCAACACAACGTTCAGGTCGCGCAGGTGTGTTGGAATACTTTGACTTTGCTTATTAGCTCGATCCTAATGGCCCGTAGGTTACGAAGGAGAAGGGCTTCGAGATCTTAGACGAGACGAGTCTGAAAGACGTAATCGAGCTGATGTGAATTGTATTTTTTTTTCTTTCTTCTCCGTCTCTTCGCCCTAAGTATCTCTACTTGAGGCTTTGAGGGTGATAATGTTAGCCATCGATTCGTGTCTGGTAAGGCCATCCACACACCTAGCGATGCACTCGATCTCAAACAACACGTCTTTCGGTAAGCGGGCGACCTCAACACACGAGCGAGCAGGCTTGTGCGACCCAAATACGCGTTCATAGATCCCGTTCACCACCGCAAAGTCTTCCATCGACTTTAGAAAGACCTAGTTAAGCTTTAGCAGTAGTCGCAAGCAGCTACACAACAGCCCTGACCGTAGTTTTCGCAACCTTGTTGAGCTCCGAGCCGCCCGCCTCAACCACAGTCTTGAGGTTTTTGAGTGCCTGAACGAACGCGTTAAGCAATTGACTAGGCATCCATGGTTTATTCACCTGCTCCGTCTGCTCGACAATCCCGCCTGGGACGATCGCGCCAGTTTCCGGATCGAGCGGAATGCATCCGGAGAGGAAGAGAAGGTCTCCTAGCTTTGTCGCTTGCGAATAGGGGCCCACAGCACTCGGGGCATCTGCAAGCGCGCGTGTGAGCGAAGAGAAAACACAAGGGGGAATTCGGGGCGAGTGACCTTTGGTGGCGACGATCTGGATAGCGGACATGGGCCTTATCGTTCGATAGAAGGGTGGTGGTGCACGAGTTAAGAATCGCAGAGCGTGTGGACGGAGCATGGCGATTAAGCACGTGACTAGTACGGTATAGAAGGACATTAGGAATGTAACAACTAAAAGACAAATGTAGCATAGAATACAGCTGTAGCAACACGAAAAGCAGTATGATAACAAAAAATGCGTGAAGAAAAGAAAAGAAATACACTTGTTGATTTGAATGAATGAATGAATGGAAGAACCAAAAGAGTGTGGTTATACAAGTTTCATGGTCTTAAGATTTCCTTTAATGATAATATCTCGCACTGAATTCATTAGTAAGCTGTTAACCCATAAGGTCCTCGCTCACCGTTAGAAATGATCGTTGCGGTCCGTCGTGTGTCGGTAACGGCCGTGAGATGGACTGGAAAAAGAAGTATGTCAGGCGCTGGCAGGAGCATAGGTATACCCGTACTGTAAAGCTCTCGCTCCTTATTGGGCGTAACAGCGTGGTGCAATGCACCAAATTTATTGCGGAAGTCTTGAAATGCCGTCAGTGCTAGTGCCCGCGTGGAAAAAAAAGACAGCCTACACTTAGAAACCGAGTCGTAGTCGTTTGGTCGGTCTCCGTATGAGATCATGTGGTGGTTCAGTCGCACGCCGGCTTCGAGCTTGGCCTACGTGGAATGAGAGGCGAAATGTGGCGCAGACAAGAGCAATGGCCTCACCTGAAGCAGATCGCACTTGTTTAAAAACAGCACAATGTTCACCTTGGCTAATAGTTTGTTGCCTACGACAGCTTGCCATAGCTGTAACGAGTCCTCAACCCGGTTTACACGGGTATCCTGTCAGAATGGGTTATTTGGAATAGTAGCAGCATGCCATGGACGAACCTCGGCCAATACTTGGTCAAAGGCTGAGATTGGAGCCAGGAATATTATGGCGTTGACTGAATTAGACAGTCAGTGATGCTTATCCTACGCAATCCTAGTCAACTCACTGTCTTCGAAGTATGGCGCCCAGGCTTGTCGTTGGTTCCTAGACCCACCAACATCATAGATCTTCCAATGTACACCACGATTGCTTCCAGAAGAAATCGAGAATGTGTGTTCAACGACCCCCATCGTCTTGAGCCGTGCCTTAAGGACATCAGCTACGTTAAATTTGGTTATATGAAGCCAGTAAAAGTAAAAGTAGCACAAACCGTCAGTGGGGATGTACTTCTTGGCTGTGATCCGGGGAATTTCATTCAAGTAGCTTTAGCGATTCGTTAGAAAAACCCGATAGAACAAAAAAAGATCTCACAAGCCACTGCTCTCCTCAAGCCGCAGTCGCTTCTCCCGAAGGCGCTCACGGACATTTCTGTCCCTCCACATTTCTTGCATATACGGAGCGCAAGAATGCAGAATATGAACTGGATCGTCTGGGTCTTCCCACCAGCCCTCGATCTCACCTGAATGAGCGCTCTTTGGACTCTTGGCCCTACCGCCAAGCGAGAATGCTTTCTTCCAGTTGTTTGACGTATGTACTGCGACTTCGCTGCCTGTTGTTATACTATTTGTTGGCGAAGACGCTGAGCCAGAGGAGCTGCCGTTCATGGGAGAAGGAGTTGATAATTGTCGTGTCGGAGGGATCATAATCGTTGGTGCAGGTCGACCGTTGTGAGTAGGCGTATATGGCTGGGGCGAGTAAGTCTCCCAAGGCCCAAAATGTGTGGGTTCGTCTTCCTCTGGAGAGGAGAGCATTCGTATTAGACGGTCTTCAAGTTGCATAAGAGGCTGTAAACGTCGGCGGTATCCCTCATAGTTGGGGACCTTTGTGCCGAGGATAGCGGACTCTGGCCGGCCAGTTGCTGAGATGATGAGAGAGGCAGGCTCAAGGGAGTATGAGTCAACTTCGTCTGCAGCATCTTCAAGGTGGTCCGCTTCTGGCTGTAGCGCGTCCAGAATTCTGGCATATAGACTCAGACTAAGCAGGGTAGCGTGGCGAAATGTACCTTCTGACCGATCTGACGAGGTTGAGATAGATAACCGCGCGCCAGGCAATTCGCTCCGCGTGAAAAGCAGCAGGAGTGTGCAGAAGCTGGAATTCTGGGAGTTACGTGAGCATTGTAGCCAGAAGAACGGAAGAGATTGGATAATGAATGGCGAGGGCGGCTCAGTTCTCGCCCCGGCACCTATTGTCGCGGCAGTAACGAGAGACTCACGCTTAATACAAGTGCTCTTCCCCGACTCAGACCTGGCAAAGAAAAATGAGACTGTGGTTTGGCTGAACAAAACATAGGACGCACTGGCCAAGGAGCAAGACCTGGACCTCCGCCCGAGACTTTTTGCGGTGGTTACGCTCATTACGAATCATTTCGTCTATACCATCGCTTATCCTCTTTGCGTCGGTGGCGGCTTGGAGGCGGGACTCTCGTTGGTCGAGAGTCTCGTTTGGGGGAGGGAGAAGGGCAGCAGAGAGTGGGTCAGACAGTGAGCGACGTCGACCAACGGTGTCGACTTGCTTCTGCTTCGCCATACCAGGCAAGGTGGAAGTACAGAAAAAGAGAGAAAGAGGACGGCAAATACACCTCCGCCCACGGAATTCTAAAAGGAAGAAATGGAAAACGCGTGAGCGTGACCCGAAATGGAATGCCCTCACTAATCTCTCTCCGCCGAAAACTAGGACATGAAAGAGCGTCCCCGACGCGACAACAAGCTCATGGAGTCTACCTCCAATAGCCGACACTCGAGGATGCCACAGCGATCGTTTTAAACGCGGTCAAAAATAATTTAGCGGCGTGACTTGATCGTCGGTTATCGGTTACCCTCCAACGAAAACATTGCTAAGAAACAATATGCCCCTGGAAGCCCATCGAAGGCCCAAATGGTCGTCGTATAGTCGTCCAATTTTCGTTGCTGAGGAGATGAAACGATGCGTAAATCTTGCGGGATTGATTGGATCACCATTTTTCGATTGATGCGGTCAAGATGTGCGATGTGCGACTGCATCGTTCACCTTTCTTCGTCTCCACTTTCATGCCAGTGCACTAGCTGACTGTGTCATTCTTTTTCTTTCTCTCTTCATTTCTACCATCTAATGCCTGCTCTGCCTGGACTTTGGAGGCGGCCGGAGGCCCGTTCTTCTTCTTCATCTTCTCGTAGGCCCACCATATCTACTTCCGCTTTGTCCCTAACCTAGCAATCTCTAGGCGCTCCGGAAGCGCAAGGTCATTTCCTTCGCTTTCTTACTCCCAACTCTGCGCGTTCTCTGAGTTGTGAGCCTCCTACACTGCTCTGCTGTGTTTTACTAACGCGTTTCAAGCTCGATCCGGTGGTTGGTCTACAATTTTTGGCATCCATCAAATTCTCACCCAACTGCAGACAAGGCATCCAACGCTCAGTCAGTCGAGATAGATGGGGCTTCATCATCAGTCGTGTGTCCTCACAGCAATCCACTGTCGCTCGGTCTCATTCTTCTTTGCCTTTCTCTTTCATGCAGGCTCCGTCTGTCCTTACTCCTTCTTCTTCTTCCAATTCTGGCCCATCCGACGCCACACCAGCCAAGGTTAACGACTCCAAATGTTTGTAGTCTCTGTGTGCTACCTCTTAAACATTCCGCTGAACGGCGTTTCTAGCATCAAAGTCCGAAGACTCTACCACGGGTCCGGCAGCTGCTGGCAGTCCTGACTCGAAGGAAGAATCGAAGCAAGACACACGTCCGACCTCGACAGCCGATGCAGCACCTCAAACTACCTCCTCGGCTAAGGTTGACGACACCCCAAGCCCTGTAGCGACAACCTCCCAGGCTGCAATCACCACTGATGATGCACCCACTGGCGGAAAAGAGTCCCAGACGCGTTCTCAAGAAATTCAATCTGCCACGCGCGTTCAAGTTGTCGATCCGCTGACATCTTTGTTGCCCATTCTCGGAGGTGGTGGAGATGATGACGCAGCGACGACAAGGACAACGCCAACTGTTACATCCCAGGCAACAATTCCTACGACGTCTGACAGTTCCAAGTCGGGCTCCTCAGGCGGCCTTGGTCTTGGTGGCATCATCCCTCCGATTATTGACCCTCTGACATCGCTCATCCAAGTTGGTCTCGGAAGTCAACGGCCATCTGAATCAGCCACACAGGACATCGGTGCGACGACTTCTACTGCTGAAAACACCAAACCCACCAACCCGGGTCTTGGTGGCATTATCCCGCCCATCATTGACCCTCTCACGTCTCTTCTTGGACTGGGTGGTGACTCGAAGACTCAAGCGCCGACTTCCACTGTGCAGGATACCAAGCCAACTGATCCTGTCTTGCCACCTCTTCTGCCACCTATCCTCGATCCTATTACGTCTGTCATTGGATCTGTCCTCGGAGGAGGAAATGGTGGGCAGCAGACACAAGCACCATCGGCATCAGGCAACAATGGACAAGGTGGAAAGGCTACAGATGCTCCTCTTCCACCTCTTCTGCCACCGATTGTACCGCCTATCCTTGATCCTATTACCTCCGTCATTGGTTCTGTTCTCGGAGGAGGAAAGGGCGGACAGCAGACCCAAGTCCCATCAGCACCCGCCAACAACGGACAAGGTGGCAAAGCAACGGACTCTCCGCTTCCACCTGTTCTGCCCCCACCCATCCTGAACCCGGTTACGTCCCTCCTTGGATCTGTCCTCGGAGGAAACGGTGGTGGGAATGGCGGCCAACAAACTCAAGTGCCATCTGCACCAGCAAACAACGAGCAAGGTGGAAAAGCTACAGATCCACCCAAGGCCTCCGACCCTCCCAAGGCTACCAACCCACAAACGGCCCCGACGGTGTCTGCTACGCCGCCTGCCAATGGAAATGGTTCCAGCGGAAATGGTAACTCTGGAGCTGGTGCCCCCGTGGTCTCGGCCCCCGTTGCCAACCAAGGCGCCAACGGAAACGCGGCTGGAAATGGCGCAAGTTCAGCTGCTCAAGTCACTGATGCTGCTTCATCTGCAGCGAGCACTAGTACTGATTCATCTGCCTCTCCCGTCAACACCAGTGGCCTGTAAGTGTTTTATTTTCTTTACATTGCACTTTTTTGAGTAGTTTGGCAGTCCCGTTAACAACAATCCTGCCCCCAAGATCGGTGGAGGTGGAGGTTCAGGACCTGCCCCAACAACTTTTGCGTAAGTCCTTGCAGTGTCGAATGGAACAATGCTCAACCAAATCTTCAGTGTTCTCGGAAACCAGCCTAGCGTTACTCTAAGCACAAGCACCTCGTTGATTGTCACCCAGAGCCCCGTTCCAACAGTTATCAATGGTGTATGTTGTCTTTCGTTGGTTAAGATGCTTTTGTTGACCACATTGTAAAGGTTTCAACGACTATCGATATCCCCGTCACCAGCACTTCGCTTGCCTTGATCCCCATTGGCACAAGTGGTGCTTCTTCCAATGGATCGTCCCAGAAGGCTAAGATGGGAGTCATGGTTGGAGGCATTGTTGGTGGTCTATTCGGTCTTGTGGCTCTCGTGTTGCTCTTCGTCTTTATCCGCCGTCGTCGCCAGAACAACGCACTCTACCTGAGCTCCCGACTTGATGTCGAGAAAATGCCTGGGCCTCGCCATGGTGCCCCCATCTTCTCGATCATTGGGCCGTCAAAGAACTCTTCACGTGCTGTGCCTGCGATCGTTGTCGACGCGCCTCCTCCGCCAATGGTCCAGGTTGCCCCAGTCCCGACTTACCACGTCCACAAGAAGCCTGCGCCGAGCCTGACGGAACAAGACATGGCTAACATCATGGCTGCCCCTGCCTCGTACATGGTGGACGCCGACCAACCCACGTCTTCCACCGCATCAATGGTCTTTGACAAGAACACTTTTGCCCAGTCGCTCGAGCAGCAGAACCCCACATTTGCCGGAAGCACCGCCAACCCGTTCGCTGACCCGGTTAACCCCTTCGCCGATCCAGCCAAACCGAACACAGCCACCACCCGCGTCTCGCAAATGCCAGAAATTCCCCGCCATCTGCGCATGTCCACCACGTCGTCGGCGCTCGCTCGCGAGGACGGCAACATCTCGCCCACCAGCACGATTTATCATGACGGATTTGCTATCTAATGGGATTTTTTTATTATTTTCGCGTTCACTGTCGGACTTGCTGTTTGTTAAGTTACTGTGATTAGTTTTTGTGTGCTGACAATGTGCATATAATACGGCTGGCCCCCGTAAAAGCCTCTCCCAGAATAAATTGTTGCGAGCAGACGATAGCATCGGCGATGATGTCATTTTCAGCTTGAGTTAAGAGCTTCAAGCATGTTCTCTCCAACCTCAAGTTATCCCAACTGGCAACACACCTTCCCTCCTACACTCCTGTGTTGTGTGCTCCTCTCTTCTTTGGCCACATACCCTTCTGGGTCATATTCTCTGCTCTATTTATGCACATTTCTGTGTTGTGGCAGCATAGAGGTTGTATTGATCATGAACTTCAATTGCTTGTCCCCTCTATTTACATGGATTTCTGGGCTGTATAAGCTGGATTCTCAAGGCTTTACACACCTCAAGATTTTGTTTTGGGCTTTTCTCTGGCTGTTCCACCAGGGTGAGGGTGTTCCTATTACTCCCCCTTCTCCAGCTCTTCTCTCCCGCTTCATTGGAGGCTCGCTTCTGGCACTGCATCCACTCAATCCCATGTTGTGCTAGTTGTGTACTATACTTGAGTTTGTTCTTCACTACAACACCAAACATGACAAGCTAGCTTATTTCCAGAATAGTGGGTATTTCTGTTGTCCTAATGCCAATTAATTTGGCCACCAAGACATGCTGGAATTACAACAAAGCAAGAGGAGCAATACAAAACATACCCTATCTAAATAATAGTCAATGATACAATTAGCTCTGCCCATGCGAATATATAGAGTCGAATTCATGCAAGCTTGGCGGTAAGCACCTGCAGCCGCTCCTTTACCTTGTCCAGCAGCACCTCACACTCCTCCTCGTGCGACGCGGCAAACACCTGCAGCGCGTCCCCGGTGTTGGCCTTTGGGGCCACAGAGGCGCCTACCAGGTTCATCCGCAGGATTCTGAAAAAGGCATTCATCTGCTGGGTGTCACTGGTCCGTATACTCGTGACCGCCTGTGCGAAATGAGGATGACCAGAGTAAAAATCAAAATAAACGCCATACCTTGCCAAATATATCCGCAATATAGGTATTCAGTTTACCAAATATTTGGGGGGCGGAAGCACGAATGAAGGCGTGGTTGGACTGGACCAAAGTCAGTAAGACTCTTTCCTATTCAAAAATTCATACCTCCTGGAAAGTATATTAGCTGATGACCATTCGAGTTGAAAATCTTGCATACCTTCATCCGTTTGTACATCCCAGAACCCTTCTCAGCAGAGATCCGGTTGTATTGCGGGGTAAGTTCTTGCTCAATTAACGACTCCCATGCACGAGTACCCAGCCGTTGAGCGGAACTCGTCGCAACAAGATTATACTTTTCAAGTTGGTCGAGATGGCCTTCCAAAGCCAGCGACTTCTGGTTGAAATTGGGAGCAAGCCGTGCTAATCGCCATCAGTTCACAATCCACCTATGGACCAAAACACAGACCAATATCGCGCAGAAAACTCAGCACATGGGCCTTGATCTCCTCTCGGAAATTCACGTTGTTGAGCGGGATGGTCGCATTAACCGTGTCGTTCCATTTCTTGGAAATGGCCGGGAGGATGTTGTGTGTCAAGTCCTCGTTCAGATTGCCGCCCTCGTAGTGGCCCATCTGCCGCATCATAGACCGGTATTGATTCCATTTCTTCTCCTCGAGCTTGTCAAAGATTCCAGGAGCCTCTTCTTCCGCCTGTTCACAGTGGTTAGGGAAGCGGAGGACAGCGCCTTCAAGACAAACTTGTTGAACCGCCGTCTTGACAGCGGCGCCCAGAGACCGGTAAGCGGCGTCGTGCCTCGATACCAAAGTCTCGATAGCTTTCGTGCAATTCTGTGCGAGTGAGTGACCATGATAAATGAGAGAAAAGTTACTTACACGTTCGAGAGCATCAATATGGGCACCGAGATTCTTGGAAGCCTTCTGGTCCTTGGACTCGGTTTTTATGGGCTCTTTCGCTGTCGAAGCGCCGACGAGGAAGCCACAGAATAGCGCGAGCATCGTACGGGCGGCCTGAAGGGTACGGCGCTCTCCGTCATTCTGCAGATACTCCTTGAACCCAGGAACTTCCGTCTGATACCATGAGCTTGTGCTGTGAGGGAGACGAAAAGCCGCACCTCCTTTTCGTCAAAAAAGATGTCCGGTTCGTTGGGATCGAGTCCCTTGCAACATCTGAGGCAAGTTCAAAAGCAAAGATAGAGCAGCACGCGAAGCTTACAGGTAGTCTCGACTTCCTACCAGCTATGCGTCAGTGGCGCGTCAAATGTTGGGGGGATGACTTGCCTACGCAGAAAATCGGGATGTTAGGCACGGCTTTGTCTTTCGAGGAGGAGAGCGCTTCGTAGATTTCCGTATATTTGCTCTTGAGCTGACTTTTGACGATCTTTGCACGCCCGATCTAAGGATGATTGAAGCCTTCTACATGATAGTAGAAGAGTGGGGCTAACAGCTAACAGATTATTCATTGTCCTGGTCTTTTCTACCTTGAGAGCGGCTTTTGTTTGGAGCTAAAATCGCTGCGTGATTTTGGCCCGGAAACAACAGCGAAATCCACTAACCTGGTCCTGGTATTTCTTGAGGGCGTCGGCTTTTTTCTTCTGGTTGGCAATCGCGGATTGTTCCTTCTTTCGCTTCTTGTCCCTCAGTTTTTCCACATCTTCGCCCAATTTGATAGCTTGCTGCAGACAAAATTCAGCTTCGTTGACGATGAAAATCAGTTACACACCAATTTGAGGCTATCGACTACGCTTTGCTCCTTAGGGGTTAATGTGATCTCATTGCTACCAATGCGGGACTAACGACTGTCAGAACATCGAGCAAAAGGATGTATACGGAAAACTGACATCAGCGCCGGTCAGGACCAGAGATATGGATTTGTCTCGCACACGACCGTCTAGAATCAACTGGTTCAAACTAAAAAGAGTTGACCAATCTGGAATGGGGGTGCAGGAGTAGACAAACTGTTTATGCAAGTGTGAGTGAATTTCGCGGTCATCTTTGGCCCTGGTGATGCCGGCAACTGCATCGGAAGGGTCAGTGGGCGAAGGAAGCAAAATAGTCGGACGCGCCTAAACAGATGGCGTCCGCAGTTGTGAGGTATTCACTGGCCATGCGATCTGATATCATCATCAGCAGCAGCAAGTTATCCGTGGTGTGGCTCCGTCACCTCGAGCATTGTCGGCATCGCCGTAGCCAGGCAAATCGACAAGTGTTATACCTGTCGATAGCACCTCGAAGGCACCCATAATTCGCACCCTGAATATGATAAGCCACTATCAAGGAAAAAAAGCCACGTAATCCACCGTTTCACTAGTGGCCATAACTAAGGGAATTATATGTCAGATTCCACTTTTAATGTCGATACGTACAGCACGGGAATCATTGGATGTGAATGCCGAAGCCAAAAATTGCTCTAACTGGGTCACAGTATGTTCAGCAACTCTAGGCGGTGAGAAAAGGAAGAAAAAACACACCTCTTTTTGAAAGTTTTGCGAATCCCCCGCATGAAAAACCTTCTCAGTCCCCAAGTAAGCATTCACGACAGAGTCTTGTAGCATGTCTTCAGCATTCCATCTCTCTGCAGGGATCTGAACGATCCTGGGTTGCTGTCAATGGCATTGGTGGGTAATATAACCATTGAACGCACTGTGGGTATATGCCGATCAGTTTTTCTTTGGCCTGGTAAGAGGGCGAAAAAGCTTCAGCTTGCTCCGTTGTGTCTTCTTCCAGGTCTATAGTTGTATCTTTCACGTCCTCCAACAGAAGACCGAGGTCCTAATTTCGCTCATTGAATGTCCCCTCGACCACCGAGCAACGAACCTTTTCCCATTGCTCTGCCGTGATAAATTCAACAACCGCTTCTGGATCCTTGATGTCTGTGTGTCGGTTTGCATTGGTTGTCTACTTAAGTCAAGTGATACCAACTTTTGTAGGAAATTTCGGTCGCAACGGCGGTGCAGGCACCCTAAGCGATGTTGAGCAAGATTCCCGACGAGAGGCCAAGAACACGCACGGATGCCGAGGCAGACAACAGCTGACTCCCCAGGAGTGCATTCACTAAAGTACTTTTCCCAGCACCTTAGAGGACGAAGACTCTTAGAAACGGAGGAGAAAAAATACGTATTGTAACGCACCAGTTCTTCCAATTATTGCGACCTTGTGCTGCAGCGGGACTATCTCCTTCTCCAAAAGCTTCACTGTCCGCTCTGCTTCCTCTCTAGAGGTCGGATGTACGTTTGTGGTATCAATGATGTGTTTGAGCGTGTCCAAATGAGATCGTAAGCGTTCGTAAGCCAGTTCGTGGATTGGCGCCTCCTGGACACCTTGCATCTCATCGTCGTCCGGAAGCTCGGTCTGCACAAATGAGAGGGGGGTGAATGGTGAAGAGAATAAAGCAAACCAGAGCTGACGATGTTTCGGACATGGTACCTCCGGGATATGGGTCCGCGCTCGAGACGAAATGGGGAAGGAAAAGCCAAAGAACGCGTTCTTTAGCAGGACGGGAAAGCGTTGAGAGCAAGCCGAAGACCGTGACAGGTCACGGATCAGACAATGCAACCGCATTACATCCACGATGTCTTTGGGTCCGGTAAAATATCCTCGCTGTAGAATCGACTCGAGCCGCAGTCCAAAAACTCCGCATATCATTTCATGTCCATTTTCACCCAGTCAGCATTGACCAGACCGTTGGATGATTCCTTCTCAGAAGATCTCTTTTCAAGTTGGACGGAGAGAAGCGCTGGCTCCATCCAGAGCGACGAGGAGGGGTAAAACTCTATAATTATTATGAGTTGTAGTTCTTGCTACTTTTTACTGTCTCGGATAAGCTTTTCCTTCTTCTCGACCTGCTGCCTATTCCTCAACAGACAGTAGTCGCCATATTCATTGAGGCTCTGCCAGTTCCCGGGCAGCCACAGCGTCCGGGTGAGCAAATTGGAATGTGCAGCATCCAGGAATGGGACACAATGCACTCTGTCCCATGTTTTGGAGTCCACAGCGTAACGAGGCTCAAGTTGGGAAGCGCGAGGATGCTTCGGTAGATCGAGGTCGAGCATATAATCGCATGCGCGTGTCGACACCTGGGCTACCTTGAGCACGAAAGTTATTCATCATATTGGGGGACGCACATAGAATGAGGGTTGCTCTCGGTTTAGATCGTTCAAACCAGCGGGAACCAAACGAGTCTCTGAGCGATACCACCCATACCAACTGGCTGGCTGACTCCACCACCCAGCAACTTGTCCCCAGTCTGCTTTATGCAGCTCCCCTTCCCCGAAGTGTCCAGGGAGAAGCCCATCAAATTCACTTTTGACGAAGTCCACCCGCACACCGTCAGGAACCAAGTAGTGCCCTGGGAAGCGATACCACTCCTTGCCGACGCAGAGAGTCAGATTGAATTGCTTGACGGGAGAAAGATCAATGCGTGGAATATCTTCTTCCGGTGTGTCAGGTGGGTACACAGGGAGAAGGCCAGTTTCATTCAGGAGTCTGGGGAGTTCTTGAGCTTGAAAATTATAGACGACAGTCATGGGAGAGTGATAGTAGAAAGTGAGCGCGAGGATGCGTGAGACGGATATAGCTCCAGACGCCAGTACCACTGAGAGCGTGAATGTTCTGAAGATCATCGATTGCGAAGCCTATGAACATCATCAACGACATTCAAGAAGGCCACAATGAAATTACCCGGTAAGGCGATTTGGTCACCGAAATAAATGCAGTCTCAAGCCAACCTCGGACGAGGTACAAAGTGACCGCAGCATTGAAGCACAAAAGAGGATAGGCCGGAAACATGAAACGTTCTTCCTTGTGAGGTTGAGCCGTTAGTATGGCAGTCCAGAGGTAGAATGGAGCGAGTCGGAGTGCAAGGACGGTGAATGGTGAGCTTTGGTCTGCTGATGGTTGGATTAACCCGAGACGCTTGCGGTCGACGATGTAGGTGATTGCAAGTGAAGGTAAGGACAAGACGGCGAATGCGGTAAGGACATTGAAATTGAGCGCGAGATTGAGGAGATAGAAGTTCCACGGAGAAGTTCCATAGAGCTCAGGTCCACGATCTGTTCCTCCAAATATGTTGTACTTGACGATGTTCCATGGCACAACCGCAAGTTTGCCATATGCAATGCTATCAATGAGGACAACGGGTATCTAACAAGATTGAGAGATGTCCGCAAAGTGTCAGAAACCAACTCACAAACACCAACGAAGCGGTTAATCCCGCAGAGAAGAGTCGCTTCCATCGTCTGACCATCCATGAGAAGTATAGCTCCGGTGCTACCCGATCAGCACCGAAGACCAAGAGCTCTTCGAAAACGAATGGTATAGCCAAAGCGAGAGCAAATGGCCAACCCACAATGGCTCCGGTTGCAAATAGGACTGTTGCTGCCAAAGTCCTGTGATTATTCTGTGCACTAGCAGGAGCTAACGCGTACGAAAACGCGAATGTCGTGGTATACATTGCAAAGGAAGAAGGCAACAATGCTGATATGCGTTTAGCGTGGGGAATCTCCGCTAGAAAAGCATTTTTACCAGCAGATGCGTTCCACATTCCAGCGCTGGATAGCATCATGAAAAATAGATAGCGGCCAACACGCTCGTTGATTTTCTCATAAACCGTTCGGTAAAACTTTGCCTCTGCAAGAACAGACACGGTTGCGAGAGATATTCTGACCGCGAAAAATGCAATGCGCTTCATCCGTTCAGTAGCGATCAAGCGGAAGCACAAGAGAATACCTTGTCTCCGGCACCGACTACCCTGGATATACGTGCAGGTAGCAAATGCAGAAGAATGTATGCCCAGCTACGAATGGCGAATTGAGGAGAGACCTCCCAAGTTTGGAAACCATAACCGTGGTCCAAGAAGTGGAGGGGCTCCCAGAAGTTGAAAACTATTTGCGTGAGATTCATCTGTAGCCAGAAGAGCCTCTTACCCACCTTCATCACAGTCGTCAATGTTAGAGTACATTGCCCCAGCAAAACGGACTAAGAGCAGGATTCGGACGGCAAGGGAGAAGCTCGGATTCCATGGTCTCCGTGCAGCTCGGCGTAGTTGATCTTGAAGAATTCCGGTATGTCGAGGTTGTGGCTTCGCGGAAACGGGTTCAGGTCGACGAAGACGAATATGTTGCACCCCGCTGGCCGCTGACATCATAGACAAGTGCCATGTGACCGGCTGTCAACTTCAAAACCTCCTCTCATGCAGACACATGCTCTCAAGAGCAGCGCGACCAGCAAGTGGACCTAAAAGCTTGACGACCTTGAGGCTCTAATGCTCGACTATATGAGCATCTCTGGGCACACAACAAAAAACGCGGCTCACTCGTAGTCAACGGATCGGTGCAGCTGTTGTGTACTTAGTCTTCCCGTTGTTTACTAGTATTTCAACGAACAACGCAATTTTGTGGCAAGAACTGGTTGAAAGAATTGGTTTCTCCAACGGGGACCAGCGCAATCTGCACGAAGCGAAGAACTGAAAGAAGCACCTTGCAAATTTGGCCTTTTACGTTGGCACCCGCACATCCACTAGTTCTGTGACCAACTAGAAGAAGACGCGGATTACTTTTCTTCTGCCTCCTTCTTCTTGAACCACCACCACCACCACCTTGAGCGATGGCCGACGATTTTGCTACCGCAGAGCATTTCATCTACGTTACTCAAGTCTACTTCTGTGGTGCGTTTGTTTATCGCAGCTCTCCGTCGTCTCCATGTCTCACTCTTGTAGCCATGTGTATGCTGCCTTCAACGCGTCGCGGAGTCAGTTTTACGCTCATTTTACAGATGCAGTCGTAGTTTGGGACTGGCTCATTAGTCTTCCTCGCGAGGTCAAGTACGTCTGGAAGACGCATTGGACCCCAGTCAAAGTAGCGTACCTGTTCTGCCGGTAAGCAAGTTGGTCTTTCCTCTACATTAAAAAACTCAGATTCGTAGCTATTGGGTTATTTGTGTCGTCCCTTTCCTGTTGTAAGTTCGCGCGGCCTTTTTCTTCGCGTTTCTAATCACCTAAAACAGGTGTCTGTATCTTCCCTCCCTGCCACATCCAAGCATTTGATGTCCTTCACTCCAGACTGCTTTGTTCTTGACCACAGCAGGGAGTTCTGCGAAAAGCTATTCAGAGTGAGGATTATATTCCTTAGGAACATCCATTTCGCTTATTATGCATGCAGGCTCCAGTTGCTATCGCCCTGTGGAATCAGGTCGGCGCAGAAGGTTGGCTTCTGTATCAGCGTTCACGATGTGTGCATTAATCATGACCTTTAGCGGTGCTGTTGATCCGGACCTACGCTTTTTTCAATCGAAACATCTACATTCTCTGGTTCCTCGTCTCGGCTCTCTCCGGGGTAGTGGCATACCAACTTTATGTCGCCTCTGATCAGATGCTTCGTATGTTTCTACGCTGTTTTGATCACAACTGACGCGCTGACGGCTCAGTATTGCCGTTCTTCAAACCCCCGTTTGTGAGTGATTTTTATGTGCTTACCTTGGCCTTTTTAATCTCCCGAAGGATCAGGGACCGTGCTTCCCAATGTCGAAGCCACACTCAGCGCACCTCCTTGGTTCGTTCTTCTTTCGACAGTCCGTCATCATGACTGAGTCTTTACACAGGTTTCTTTGTGAGTATTTCAAGCCAGGTTGCAACCTCCACACTTACAAGTTTTTGTAGATCGCACCGCTCGCATTCGACACCATTGTTACCGGCATGACCGTCATAAAAGCCTTCACTATTCGCCGCCGCAATGGTGGTCCAAACAGTAGACTTATTCAGACTTTCCTTCGTGAAGGTGCGAGGCTTTCAAGGCTTAGGTGTTGCACATTCGTTGTTGACCTATTTCCTATTAGGCGTATTCTATTACATCCTCATTTCAATCGCCAACTTGATCAACGGTACGACTTCAATTCTAATCTATGGTTGATATTTACACTGCACAGGAATTTTCTACATGCAGTAAGTGACAGGCTGTTCATACCCATGTCCATACTCAATGTTTTCCAGACCTCGTCAAGTTCTAAGGTAAGTATGCGTTGAGACTGATAGACTACATAACTTATTGCTCATCTCTATTAGTGCTCTCAACATCCCGCTTTCTGTCCAGCTTTCTCCTTTATTGGCTGCCAAACTTGTAAGTTATGCTTTTTCAACTTGCGACTTTCGTGAGCTGATGCTGGCCAGATTCTTGACCTTCGTGAACGCGGCTCTGAGACCGTGTCACACTCTGAGGGAACCGGCATCGCAGCCTTCACTACCAAATCGGTGACCCAGCAATCCCCCTTCACTCCTCCCCATCATCGCAACAAGAGCGCGCTGTATAGTCGCAATACTCGCCACACTGACTCCAACATTGTGCTCAGTACCCTTGGTAGCGTGTTGCCTGAACACGACGCAGACATATCGGATATGGACAACCTCCATCAAATCGGCATTATGGACCTCGGCAGCCTCAGTACTGCTATTGGTGGTGACGATGGTGAACCAATCGAAAAGGATGATGGCACCCCCGCTCCTGCATACTCTCATTCACTCGAAATGGGCTTTCGCGCTGCCAGTAGATCTCCAAGTCTCGACTCCGACATCAGAGGAATCCGCGTAACCGTCGATGTTGAAAAGGCCACCTCGTCCATATAACCTTCTCGCACTCCAGAATCCAGCAGATACAAGTCTTCTCTCGTTTCTCGTGTTAATAGTAATTGTAGCATCACTAGTTGTTCGCTCCGTACCCTATATGTACATAGTCGAAAGCAAGTCGCACTTCGTTTCCTCGCGTTTGCGTCTCGTGACCGTGTATCGCAGTTTCACGCAGTCCAAACGTGATGGTTACCGAACCGTCCTTCACTCGAACCACTACCTCAGGCCTTGACTCACACATAATGCTGGACCGACTGACTCCGGAGATTATTCTATATATCTTCCTGTTTCTTGATCTACCTGAACTCGATATGTTGAGCAAACTCGACCCCATTTTGGCGCAACTTGCTCGGGACAAGGCCCTTCACAACGTGCGACTGCGCGTTGTCTTTCCGGCTCGGGTGGAGCACGACCTCTTTGCCATTAGCCGACCCACTATCCCAGATCTTGTCCACCGAGGTGTAATGCGTGGTCTCAGTATCGAAAGAAGATTCAGAGCCGGGTTATATTTCTACTCTCAATCAGTACGTCTTCTGTTTGCGGTTGCTTTTAGATTATTGACCTATCCTCTAGTCCGTTCGTCAGTATGAAGTTTCCATAAAGCTGGCAAGACAACACGCAGGCCAGGTTGTCTCCCAACATCTCACCCGCCGCAGTGCAGCATCCAGTGACAGTCCCTTGAAACAGCTATATCCAGATGTCTCTCACAATCTGGCCCGCTCTCTTCTCCCCATCGCCCGGAAACTCAAATGGTCGCTCCGTAGAGATACTTTGGCCAAAATGGTGCGCGACAAGAGCGGGATACTGGGTGTTGGCAAGTGGCTGGAAGCCAGGCCAAATGTTCTTCAAGAGGGCGAGCGAGTGAGATTGGCAATATGCCCTGACGTTAGGAAGATAGTCGGCTTTTATGAAAAGCTTGGAAAGAAGTAATTGTCTATTGACCCATGTCGAACTGTTGTGTATGCCTGTAGATGTCCATCCAAACTTGTAATTGTAATGATCAACCGAATGCCAAACTCTTCTTCCTCCCTCATCATCGAGGTTTGCGTTGACTCGGTTCAATCAGCACTCAAGTAGTCTTCCGTCTGCAAACTCTAGCGCTTCCTTCTGAGTAACATCAGTGCCGTTCAAGGTGGTGCAAATCGTCTCGAACTTTGTGGCAACCTCGGAGTAGGTGGTGGAACAACACCCAGTTTGGGCTTGCTTAAGGCTGTCCAACAAGTGGTGGATGTTCCCATAATGGTTGGCTGCCTGCTCTTCCCTGCGCCTAACCGTGCGATCTTGTTTAGGCAATGGTCCGACCACGGATTGGCGACTTTCTCTACACCCCAGCTGAACTGGATGTCATGATTCAAGACATTCGTATCTTCAAGGAAAATGGCGTTGCTGGAGTAGTTTTTGGCGCATTGAAAGCTGACGGACATGTCGATATGGATGCTACACGCCGGTTGGTCGCTTGGCTATTCTAACCCGCAAGGAAGTGACACGAAAAAGGCTGGTCAATGAAGCTGGGCCACTTCAAGGTATATCAGGCGCCATGTCTTCCTAGTGCTCACCCACAGCAGTCTGTTTCCATCGCGCATTCGATATGACCCCAGATCCATCGCAAGGTGATTTAGTCATGACATTCAATTCACTAATTTATGTCTACAGCGTTTCACGATATTGCGAGCATCGAGGGTGTGACCAGAATACTGACGAGGTCATCTTGCTCCGATGAACAAGCCTTCCATGTGCTGATTTTGGTGGCAGCGGCCACGAACCGACCGCACTAGAGGGCTTGGAGACCTTAAAGTCCCTCTGTCGACAGGCCAACAAACACCTCAACATTCTTCCCGGGTCCGGAATTAATGCTGCTACCGTAAGTCTCCGAGTCGTTGTCGGGGTCTGCAACCAACCAAACGCTTGATCTAGGTGCGCCGCGTCCTGGAAGCATTGCTTCCGCTCGGGTTGACTGAGTTACATCTGAGTGGTGGCAGTTGGGTTGAGGGTGGAATGGTGCACCGCAGAGGGAAAATGGGGATGGGAGTTGGTGATCAAGAGTGGAGTACTTGGGTCACTAAGGTGGCTAAGGTGCACGACGTCCGCGAAATAGTCGACAGCGGCGCTGAATGGAGCGGTCAGTATTAAATTGCGTAAGTAGTGTATTTTCAGTGGCGATTGCCGCTGTCCGTGGAAAGATCGCTTGGATGACTGGAAACTATGACACCCACTCTTTTGCGACGACCACCATGTCAGCGACAGTCCAGCAACCACAAATTTGGTGGGGAAACGCCTTATTCTTCGTCTCGGTCCATATTGCTGCTGTTTACGGAGCTTTTTTCTGGCGGCCATACTCTGCAGTACCGCAAGCTACATTATGGCTTGGGTTCCTCGTTTGGCAATTGGCTGATTTTGGGTGCGCGTCCACAAACTTCCCATGCAAAATGAACTCACATGTGCCCTTTTCAAGGATCACCGTGAGTCTTGACTCCTGAACGGAATCAAATTCGAACCTCCGTAGATTGGCTACCACCGGCTTTACTCTCATCGCGCTTTTCGCGCCAAATTGCCTGTTCGTCTGGTACTTGCGGCTCTGGGTTCTGCTGGGTTCCAAGGAAGCATTAAGGTGCGCGACAAGCCTGATTTGACAGGCTTTTCGACTGAATGTTTATTTGAATAGTGGTGGTAAGGCGCTTCGATCAACGCAGACAACATGTCCACGACTTTGACTTTTTCCTGGTTGCAGGTGTCTCCGGCACCGGCTTCACCACGTGCGTCAAGCTAAACGCCGACTTTCGGTGATTAACCTCCTCGTTTTAGCGCTTCACCGACGATCCTGTGCACGATCCGTGAGACTGGGGTTCCTTTGTGGCTTCTAAAAGATTTTAATCCGATATCAGCTACGCTGCAACGCGTGGTCTGTTCTACTCCCATATGGGGTGCGTCTGAATGTTCTGCCTGACTCGTCCTCATCGCTTGTCAGATGGATATTCTACAAACCAACATACGAACGCATGGAACTCGTAGATAGAGACGATTTGGACAGCGATCCGGGTAGGCACTTTCTTCAAGCAAAGGTTTAGTCTGAATACCTGCCAAGTTGTTCGCTTCCAGCATAAGCATTATGGTATGCTAGCCTCGTCGACGTCCATATCCACTCAGCGTTTGACAGTTCCGCTGGCTTTGTTTTTTGGCTTCGTTTTGCCAACACTTCTTGGAATGATATGGGGCGACCCATCTGGTGCCTACGTCTGGGGTGGACTCGTTGCTCGTCTGTTTTGCTGGCATTGTACGTTTCTTGTTAACAGGTCGACAATTCTCTCTTCACAGCATCGACAAACCACTGACAGCAATATTAGTTTGGCTCACTGGGATGGTTTGCAGCCCTACTCTGATGAAGATACTTCTCGTGGTAATTTGGTGTGTTTTGCTATACCTCACTTTCGGTAGCTTAACCTCATTAGATTCTTGCATTGTTGACCGGTGGAGAAGGGTCGCATAATTTTGTAAGAAGAGACGACGCTTTTTGTGGACAATTTCGCTCATATGAACTGCAGCACGTAGGTTCAATGACCAACAACATGCGAGTTATGGCTCAGATGTCCAGCATTCTTTCCCACACGACTGGAGATCTGGCCCACAAATTTGGAACTGGGACCCTTCTAAATGGATTATCGCTGTTTTGTATCGACTAGGATTGGTGACCGGCCTACGCAGCGTTCGAGATCAAGACCTTAAAGAAGCTCTGCAATACATGGGCCATAAAGAAAAGCACGGTATTCCCCCGCCTGAGGAAGACTCGATATGGACAGGAGAAATCTGGGACACTTGTCAAGCACGAGCATTTGTCCGATCAAACGCAGGGAGTTGTGTTGTGCTCATTGAAGACTACTTTGTGAACGTTACACATTATCTTGGAGAGCATGTGAGCTGATTTTTTTTCCTGTTGGAACATGAAGCAACTCATCTTTTAGCCCGGTGGTGCTTCGATTCTACGTAAATACGCTGTTCGTCCAGAGGAGGAGGTGAATGAAGCTTCCTGGGCCTTTGATGGTGGTCTAAAGTCGGTTTTGTTTTCCCAAGAAATAATTCGTACTCACTAAGCCCTGACAGTAATCACTCACGCTCGGCCAGACGCAGAATGAGAGAGTTCAGAGTTGCACAATATCGTAGAGTGTAGAATGTGTTGGGTCCGTGTTTGTACGAAATGTAGATTTGTCTGGTCGAGTCACACGTGACACATTTTGATCTGTTGACCCACACGACCCGAGCACCATGAAACGGGCCCACAGGTTATCTACAGGCGACGAGGATGGGTCGAGGGCGAAGCGTAGGAAGAATATTGGAATGGGCGTGGCTGGCTCATCGTCGGACGTGGATATCATGGCTGGGGATTACGTTGCCGAAGAGCAACAGGGTCAGCCTGGGGGTGGAAATGTGCGAGAGCAAGGAATGAAGCTGTGGCAGACAATTCGCGACGCGACGAACAAAGAGTGAGTGGCATTTGTTGTGGTGAAGGTATTCGTGACCGTTCTTCAAAAACTCTGTTTTCAGTGGATTTCCTATTGCGATTGATTTCGTTCGCAAACCTCCCAAGAAACTATACCCCGACTACTATATCATCATCCAATTCCCCATTGCGTGGGTCTCTTCGTCTCACAGGCCTCGAAGAGACTGACACCCGTGCCAGGCTCGAAGACATCAAGAAACAGCTTGAAAGCAACTACTACCCCACCCTCGAAGCTGTTCGCCAGGACTTCGAGCTGTGTTTCGAGAATGCCAAACTTTACAACCTCGAGGAAAGCCAAATATGGAAGAACGCCAAAGACCTCCTGGTGTGTAGTGCATCGTCATAAACGACCTCGCCCTGACTGGCGATGGTAGAAATTAACCAATAAGACCTACCGCAAGATGGTGCCCTCGGTCGATGAAGGAGATCCGACCGGAAAACGGCCTAGTCTGCATCGGCTAGCCAAAACGCGGTTGAAGCAGGTCATCGACAAGACTGACGACAAGTAAGGTGTTGTTTCTATCGCGTTGGCTTGGTCTGACTCTGTCAACCAGTGGTCGAATTCTCTCCACCATTTTTATGGAGCTACCTTCCAGGAAGGAATGGCCCGACTATTATCTTCAGATAAGGCAGCCAAGATGTCTTGGTGCTATCATGGTCAGTGTTGCGTCTCAATTTTCAGACTCGTGTCTAACCCCGGAATAGAAAAAGGTCAAGGACAAGGCTTATTTGACGATAGCTGAGTTTGCGGACGACGTCGAGCTTGTGTTCAAGAATGCGATGCAATTCAATTTGGATCATACTCAGATCTGGGAGGATGCATTGACTCTGAAGGTATTCTCATATTCTTTTCTGAGCGCCAACTAACAAGCCTGAACAGAAACTTTTTGGTACTCTAATGTCGGACCTTCCGCCGCCTTTTGCTATGGAGCGATATCATCAATCGTCCACGAAAATTAAGATAAAAATGCCCATCGCGCCCGCTGCTGTTCCGGAGGCTGCCTCTACTTCCAAGGTCAAACTGAAGGTTTCAGCAAAGGCAGCTACTCCCATTGCGGCTCCTGCACGTTTGCCTAGTCCAACGCCACCACCACCTCCCCCGATAACGGCGCCCAAAGCACCAGCTGTGAAGCGGCAAGCTTCGCCAACACTCCCACTTAACACTCTTCCTTCGACAAATATGATCCAACCGAGCTCCGTACAGCAGCAACAACAACAGAAGCCTACTCCAATCCCACAACCCGCTCCGATTCCACCACCGCCTATTCCACAACCTCAGCTCCCGTATTATCCCAACACTAGCTATGCGCCATCATTCCTTCCATCGCCTCTACCAGTCATGCCGTTGCCGCAACCAGCACCCGTTATTGCTCCTGTTCCCCAACCCGCAGTCATCAACCCGGCTCCGTCAAAGAGCATGTCATTATCAAGCTCGCCTGTGCCGCCGATTTTACCGAGCCATATGCTCAAGGGTGTGTCTGTGTTAACAGAGCCATGCAAACGGCCGTTCAAACTAGATTACCGAGACGGGGTAAAGATATGGGTTATCAGACTCGGCGCGGGTGAAACGGCGCTGAGCTTCGCCAACATAACGTATATGGGCGATGACAATGACGACGGCAGTGGGTCGGATGTGGACATGGAAGATGAGGAGGATGCAGCTGATGAAGGCGAGCTGGCTGTGAATGGAAGGCAGAAGCCCAAGACACGAGGTCGGGAAGGAAAGAGTAGAGCTGCGGCAGCGGCAGCGAAGGCCCTTCAAGAAGCTAAAGCGGCCAAGAAAGTCACCAAAGAAGTCGGTGCAGTTCAAGTCAAGCTGAATGGGAATGTGATCAATTCTCATTCGGGTTACTGGTTGGTAGACATACCGAAAGGGTCTAATATTGTCGAAGTTGGGGAGAAAGACGGGCTGATATGGAAAGTATACGCAGAACGCAGTGGGTTGTAGATTAGATGTATGTCAATACCTTATCAATTTCGGTGATTTGTCAGCGAGTTTTTTGTCTCCAACTTTCACTGATGAAATATACGAGGTGCAAGTTTTACGACGACGACGGCAAGCCGGTGGTCCCTGGCGGGTGTTGGGCGGGTCATCAATGCAGATGGGCCCACCCAGACGAATCCCATTGGAGGCATGCAGGCAGGAAACTACTAGCCACGGTGTGCCTAAAATCTGCTTGCCTCTTTTTTTCTCTCTAGAATTTCGTCGAATAGGCCAGGCCTCCCAACTATCGAGACGACAATCGCTCCCGAGACCGCACAACATCAGAGAGCGGTTGGGACCCAAATATGTGGAAGAGTAAACCGAAGCAAAAGGCAGACGTGAATCCACCGATGTCACTGGCGAAAGGAAGCGACAAGGGCTGGGGCGGTAGCGGTTGGGGGAGCAATGTCGCAAGTGATTCCGGCTGGGGTGCCAAAGGGAAAGGGAAGAGCAATGATACTTCAGCAACGACGGTGGTGGATACGAACGATTGGGGATCGGGTGGAGGCTGGGGGTCGACTGGGGGGTGGGGTGATCCAGAAATGGAGACTCAGAGTGGCCGGGGAAATAAGGAAGCAGGCACAAGCTCGGGCGGATGGGGAAATCAGGACTGGGGCGCTGGCTGGGGGACAGATGCTAACAAAACGACCAAGGAAAGCACTGGTGGCTGGGGCGACGCGTCAAACATCGCTAGTGGGTCGGGAAGCAAAGGGAAAGAGAAGGAGGACACCGGTGGCTGGGGAAATAAGACAAAGGAAACTGACGGGCCATCAAAACCCGCTGCCCTCCCATTCAGACCCCCACTTCAAGTCAACACACAAGACATCCCTCCACCAGATCAGCCTCCACAATCTGCATTCTCGTTTCGTGCTACTTCTGTTTCTCTTTCAGAACGTAACACTATCGTGTCCTCCTCGACGCCGGCGATGTCTCGAACCCAGCCACTCCGTCTTCAGCTCGAACTGATGAACCGCGCTGAAGTCAATCACGAAATTATCAAGTACGTGTGGGGTCGTAAATGCTCAGGTAGTTTTTTTTTTACATTGCTTTATCAGGAATTTCGTGCGTGTAGTCCAGCTCATGGTCGAAGATAAAGAGTTGCAGCGGCGACGTTTACAATGGAAACCAGAGAAACACTCTGGCATGTTTACTAGGGTGTCGAAGGCGACGGGCCAGAGGCTGGACTCGACGCTGCCTGATGAGCTTAAAGTCCGGCTCAGCCACGCTCGTGACGCTTTGTTAGCCTTCCCAGAGCTTCCCGCTTTGAACTGGTCAAAGCTCGATCGAGACATCGCGTCTTATGCTGAGCAGCTCGCGGTCTGGGAAAAACAGTATAAAAGCGGGTCAAACAAAGGCAGTACCTCTGACGACGTCGACATGCCAGATGTGCAGTTAACGCTCCAGGAGCGTATTCAGAATCAGATTAGGAAAATCATAGACCTCCAAGACATCTTCGTTGAACAATCCGAAATCACGCCCGCAGAACATGTCGACCAGGTCCTGGAAACAATACGCACGCGGGCAGCAGAAGAAACACAGGGACCGATAGCCGATCTCAGAGTGCAAGCAAAATCTGCGGGGAGCCAGCTTGAGCTCGCGGGAGCTAATCTGGCGTCGATGGCGTCGGACAGCGGGTTGGAGACCAGAGTCGAGGAATTGGGGCTTGATAAGCAATGGGAACGACAACAAGCAGTATGTGCAATTCACCATATCCCATTTCGACGCTCTAATGTTTGCCCAAAGCTAGAGGCCCAACTCGCTGGAATCGAACAACAACAACAGCTGAAACGCACGAGAAATGCCGAGATGCTACGGAAGCTTAACGAATATGCCCAACGCAAGTCAGAGCCACCTCCTTCCACACTAGATCCTGCGGTAGAAGCCAGAGTGCAAGAACACGTGACCGATATCCTGCAACGAGAAATCCAACCAGCGCTGGAGGCAGCAGCGTACCAATATTCTGAAGCACTGGCGCGTCGAATGCGTAGCCTGGCCGAGGTATTAAATCCAGTCGATGAACAAGTTGAAGCTATTCGGGCCCGTGGCCGTGAGCGTTTCGAGCCTTCGCCCGCGCCAATCTAAGTCAAGGTCACATCCGAGTCTTGAGTAGTCTAATTTACTCTATCGTTGCCTAGAACCAAGTGTTACACAATTTCCGCTGTACTTAATATGTAGACATTAGCCGCTCTTGACCAATGGCGCCTGCTCGCCTTCGCTCTCACTCCCGCTCGCTGGCTCGGGCACGTAATAATGATACCTCTTCTCGCCAATTTCGGACAAGTACCGATTGAGCATGTCCTCCCGATTCCCTGGTCGTACCTCGTATCCTTCTGACCCTCTTCTAATACGCACGCGGCTCGTGTCGTCCTCATCATAGTCGTCAGAATCTGAGGCATCAGGCTGGTAGTCGGGATGATATGGCGGAAGTGTAGATGCCCCATTATTCTTGGCTCGTCTTCGGGCAGAATTCGATGGCTGGAGTGTTGGGTTGACCGTCCCATTCTCGAAGGTCCATGGTGAGTCAGGCAAGCTGAATTCCTTGTGCGAACTCTCGCCCTCGATCGTGTCATGATGCGGAGGCCAACTCTCCCCATCAGAGTTTTCTGAACCCAAGTCAGCCAATATGAACTTGAAAGGATACAAAAAGATAGCTAGCAAAAGAACAGCGATGGGAGTTGCTTACCGTGCCTGATACTCAGACGAACTCCCGCCGTTCCCGTGCCAGCTCTACCCACTCACCATCGTTGCTTGTGATCTCATATTTGAGTCCCGAACCTGGCGTCTTCGTGGGCCAACACCAGAGCCAATGGTTCTTTCCAAGCACAGACTCGATGTTGCGCCTTGTGCCGATATTATATGGGAATTTAATCTGCAACAGGTTGGATTTCGAAAATTATGTGTGCGCAGCGAGCATACCTCTTGGATTCTACCACGACGGACCATAGTTGCGACCTTGTCCTTTTCCCAGCGTTCAATCGTGGTAGTATTATTTCGAATGGCGTTAAAGTGATATAAGCTAGTAAGGTTTAGACGATAATAGCGGCAATGCATCTATGAATTTCACCTGAAAATACCGACACAAAGCAGAACAGGAATACAGGCGACCATGTTCAAGATCATGAATATCATTTCTGTCCCATCGGGTTCGTCCTGGAGTTGAGTGAGAACGTAGAAGAATGGAGTAAGCGACCGACGAGCCCAATAGCGGTTGCCCAAGCTAATATATAGTCTCCGCCAGACCATGGCAAGATGATACGAGCAGGAGACATCAACAAAGAAAAGGAAGCGGATGAAGTGGCCGTGGTTGTGGTGTCCAACACAATTGTTAATCCACGGACAATGGTGGTCTGCTCCAAATCAGTCATTTACACCAGTGGGTACTGCTTAGTGCTCACCCATTCGCAGAACACATCTGGCAAAACACAGTTAAATACGTAGAATTTTACAGAGGAGTCACCCACCTTCCGCATTGTCGGCAATGATGTGTTCTTGGAGGTTTGGGGCGCTCACACATGCGACAATATCGCGGATTACCAGTCAACCTTTTGACCTCATACCCATCAGCATTCGTATCTGGTTTCTAATAGAATCAGTTAACATGACGCGGCGTGCAGTAACCTGAGCCACATCACATACCCAGTTATCGGGTACCCGCCCAGGGTCGGTATAAACAGAAAGAAAGTAGTTCCAGAGGAGCAACCCGACGAAGATACTGTAAGATGACGCGTTGAGGCTAATTGTGTGTTGCCGTTGAACACGCACTTAAACGGCAGGAGGAGGGTGACAAGCTCGACGGAAAGGACCCTGCCATACCACGGCCATATTATAAATATTTGGGACGAGTAGGCAATGAAGCAGATGAGCAGAAGGACAAAGTTCACAACGAGCTGGCCAAGGAAACCAGATGGCATGGGTCAAGCGAGATTTGTGTGTGACACCGTCTCTTTTGGTCTCACCCTCCCTGGCCATGTACCGTTGCACGACGCGGTTATTTCTCCGCCACAACTCTTCGCTTGCTGGTGCGGCCTTTACAGCTCTTATAAACGTGTTTCTCATGACCAAAAAAAGCTGCCAGTGTCGAGGGTGATGCTGCTGTTTCTGCCAAGGTCTGTTTTGGTGCAAGTTCTCTGGAATTTATCTGTGTAACACCCATGTAGCTTGCAGAGATAGTTAGAATGAAGGAGGCCCGCCGGGAGGCCCGTCTGACTCGTCAAGCAATGGCTTTTTCTCCGCCGACACCAGACATGGAGCAGACCATCCCCCAACCTCCCCAGTTAGATTTTGCGCTTGCACCTGCACCGATGAAGCCAAGCGAACCTGCTGCTCCTGCCAACTTGGCGCCCTCAAGTTCAGTAGAAGCACGACGCGAAGCACTTTTAGCACGCCGGGCAGAACGACTAGCTCGTGACGCCAATAAACCCCCCGGTCAACGCCAGCCCCAATTCAATCAGCAACGGCCTCGTTTGTCCACCCCTCCCAAGCCATACTATGCAAAACCAATATTGTCGGCTTTTTGTGGCCAGTTCTCCTGCAACTGCAACGACACCGAGGAAAACTCGGGACAGAAGACCTAGGGTACGGCGCGAACGGCGTAGCGAGAATGAGGAAGAAATCGAGCTAGACTGGGAAAGTGATATCGAAGAGTGGTGTGCAGACCTGAATGTGTCTCGTGCCGCGCATTTGGGTCCAGACGTCCAGCTCGGAAAATCCGTTGATTCGCAACTACCAATAAAACAGGCCGCGCAAAATGTTCTGGAGGCAGAGGGCGGGGACTACTCTCGTTTCGTGCCCACCAATCCTCAGCTATTCGTTGCCGCAGCGAAAAAATTGGGACCCGTCAAGCACTCTACCGTGGCAGTCGCTCACAGGCGAGACGTCCCTACCGACAACCGACAGCGGGTTAGACACCTAGTGGGCACAGTCGGTCGAAAAGTGTAATTTTCTAGAGTAGAGCGTTGGATAATGGAGTTTGTCAGCAGCAATGACGTAGAGTCACATCAAGTCACAATCCACGAACTTTTTTATTTTTTTTTTTTTTTTTTTTTTTTTTTGTGGCACGTTAGGTAGTGGTAGACAATCGCTTTCGCTCCCCAGTAGCTTGCCGTAGTTCTCTTGCGAGATTCCGTCAAGCGTCCCGGGCCGACATCTGTCGGTCATCCACCACCCGTGAGTTGTGAGGCGGGGACTTGAAACCCCGCCAGCCGGATCAAAACCACTCGAGGAAATGCGCTTCCGCACTAGGCCCTTAGGCATCTGGTGTGGGGCTGCAGTCTCGACAGACTCGGGGCGTGCAGGAGGGGAGTTGGCCCTCCTGTTCACCACCCGTCATCGCCTGTCTCAACCGACACCCACTAAAACCCCGACCTCCCTTGACGTTGGCCAGTCATTCGGGAGTGATTCTTCGTCTTTCAATGTTCCGTTCCAAGTTTTGAGGACTAATGCCTTGGGAATGGCCTTTTTCCCATACTTTTTCCCATTCGTCATCTCTCTATCCATTTGCAGTCTGTTGTTTATCGTCCAGCACCACTTGCGCGTTATCTCGGCGTCGCTTGCGGGGTCCTTTTCATTGATTACACGCTCGTTTCTGAGCCTCCAAATCAGGTGCGCCGACTCCGAAATTATTATTCGGAACAGCCTCGAGGTGCCGGCATCTGCCTTCTCAATCATTCCGCACGCCATGACTTGGCCGGTCGTTGGTGGTGGGAGCTCGTTCCCTGTCTTCAACCTCCACAGCTTGCTGGCGAGCGTCCATACCTCTTTTTGGCCCGGGGCCTCGCATTGCATAAGTATATGTTTCATTGATTCGTCTACATCTCCACACCGCGGTTCCTTGCATGTGCCTTTCCACTCATGGCCAGGTATGTTTGCCCAGTGCTTCCCTACTTTGTATCCGTCGTGAATTAACATCCACAGGAAGAACCTGATGTTCCTAGAGATGTCCTTGTGTCTTATCGACATCCACATCTTCTTGTCCGTTACTTCTCCCCCGCCTTCGTCTGCTGCGGCGCCGCGGGCCAGCGGTATGTTTCTCAGTGTTCCCGCGCGGGCAAGTTTCTCCTGGTATCGGGGTGCGTTCATTTTTAGAATTCTTATCATCTTTGTTGCTGACGATTGGGTTAGCGTGTTTAGTCTTGCACCACTCAGTCTCAGATCTTCAGCTTCGTCGGTTCTTATCTCGTCTGGTTCACTCTTCATGGCGCCTTCGCTTGCGAGACGGTCTGCCGCCTCGTTTCCCTCGATTCCACTGTGTCCTTTCACCCAACGGAAGAAGGTGGGTGCTCGGCGCTGTCTCAATCTCATCAATGTCAATTTTGCCAACTCGCCGTTGGCCACCGTGAGGAAGCCGCTGTCTTCCCATCTCTGTGCGTTTTCTCGTCATCCCGTCAATGGCGTATTTCGAGTCACTCAGTATTTTTAGTGTCTGGTCTAGCGGGCACATTTCTGCGGCCTCTTTTATCGCCGCTAGCTCACCAACCTGGTTGGATGGCTTCCACTCCGTTGGTATCTTCAGGGCTCGGTTCCTTGGGTCGTCGGGGCCGAAGAAAATTCCCGCGCCCGCTTTTGCATCTGTCGTTCCATTCCCGATGGCGGATCCGTCGGTGTATACTACTTGGGGGACTTGGGCCTCGTCGTTGCCTGTCGGCTGCCTATTCGGTGCTCTCCTGGATGTGTTCCTGGCCCCGTATTCAAATATACGGAACGCATTCGATATTGTTCCTCGCGTTGTCACCGTTGCGTTGAACTTTACGACATCTTCGTCGTCTTCCGCCGGCTCGCGTTCCTCGTCCATCTCTTCCCAGGTTTGGGGTTGGGCCACTCTTGGGTCCCATTTATCTTCGAGTTCATTCAGCATGTCTCTTGCTTTTGGTGTAACACTTATGTGGGTGAGGGCATTTGGCGATTGCTTTGGTTATTTGACATGATGCACATCTACAGTCCCTTCTCGCGGTATGCCGGGCGGTTTGCAGTTTCTTCGCGAGCTCTTCCGCGTCGCCCACTGTTCGGATCTTGTGGCGGCTTTTTTAGGCACTCGACAACTGGTTTCGGCTTGTTGTACACTGCCGTGTCTCCCCGCGCGAATTTATGGTACCATATCGGCATTGACCTCTGGATGTCGCGTGATATGGCGATGGCCTCTAATCTCACCCCGTACTTCCTTCCCAACGTGCACCATTCGGTGTAGGTCTGTTCCGATTTTCTTCTCTGATGATTTCGGTTTCCAGTCTTGCAGGTATGGATTCCTCAGCACGTCTCTTCTATGGACTTGCTTCTCATTGTTTGCAGCGAAAATCTCGTCTGTCAGATAGCACCATGTCGGTCTCCCTGCATCCAAGTTCAGGTAGTGCTTTAGCCACATGACGGAGATTGCCTCATTTCTGGCATATATATCCAGTAGCTTTCTTCCGCCCATCTCAATCGGTGCGTACACAGTCTCTTGATTGATTGTGACTCTCTCTTTTTCGGCCCATATGAAATTTCTGATTCTCTTCTCCAGCCTTTTCTCGATATTCCCTGGCATTCCTTGTACCGTGGTGAGGTATTGTGACATTCCGCCGACAATCATTGAAATTATTAGTCGACGGCCTTCTATCGTTGGGTTGCTCAGGCCCCACTGTGCTAAGGATGTATCAATCTTCTCTAGTGTTCGTGACCATATTGCGGCTTGTTCAACACCGTTTGCCAACCCATGCTCCGAGGGTGCGTATAGGTTCTCCTTGTGCAGCTACTTTAATGTGGTCAGGTATTTTTGTCCCGTCCTGTCCATTTACTGTGCGGCTGGCAAGCACTCTGTCGCGGTATTCGCGCTTGCCGATTGGGATCATTTCTGTTTTCGTGACGTTAAATTTTTGCGCCTGCAGCTATACACCACTCATCAAGTATTTTCATTAGGTTGTCCCAATCATCTGTTTCGTCGAGGTATACCATCGTGTCGTCCGCAAACAGTGAGGTTATTATCTTATCAGCTCTTCCTTGTGTTCTAAAGCCCTTTAGGTTGGATTTTCGTAGCGCTTCCGCAAGGGGCTCAATCGCTAGGTCGAAGAGGAGGCAGGACAGCGGGTCTCCTTGGCGGACGCCGCGAGTTACTTTGAATGGCTTTTCACTTCTTTCGCCATTGACCATAACATACGTATGTGCGTCGCTGTATAGTGCTTTTGTCGTGTTGATGAACTCATCCGGCAGATTAAAAGCTCTTAATGTTTTCCATAGATAGTCATGCTCGACCTTGTCGTACGCTTTCTCCTGGTCTAATGCAACAATTACTCCATTGTGCTCTGTTGCTTCTGCCCATTCTATTATTCTTTTTGTAAGCCACACTTGGTCTCTGATCTGCCTCCCTGGGACAAAGCCGGCTTGGTCTGGGTGAATTAAGCTAGGTGCGACGTGTGCGAGCTTGATGGCCAGCGCTTTGGTCATTACTTTATAGTCCGTGTTGAGTAGGGATATTGGCCTATAGTTTGCGATGTCTGCCTTGTCATTTTTCTTATATAGTGGGCACATCCAGCTCTCGGAGAAGCCGGACTCCTTGACCATTCCGTGTATCTCAATGTCGTTAAACACCGCTTGCAGTGCTCCGACTACGTCAAACGCGGGTTTGTTTCTGTCGGTCAGTGACTTGTATCTATCATTCAAACTTTTCCATACTTCATACGGTATCCCATCTAGTCCGGGGGCCTTGCAGTTGGCCGATACTTTGAGCGCATATTCCACTTCTTCTCTGGACAAGGGGCCTTTTAACAATTGGGCTTGTTCGTCATTTACCGTTCGTTCTATTCTTGACAGGACCCGCGTTGTCGCTGTTTCCCGCGCTTCCTCTGGGGTGTCTGCTCTGACAGACTGGAGGTTGTTGTGGTAGTTCCGCGCTATTGTCGCCATCTTCTTGGAGTCTGTCTCATATCTCGGGGCTTCTTCGTCGCGAGGGTTGGTTCGTAGCCTCCGGATCAGGTCCCTCGGCTTCGCGGGTTTGTTGAGCTTCGACCAATATCTACCAATGATCTCCCCTTCAAGCCTGTTTCGCACTTTGACGGTCAGTCTTGAACTCTTATATCTTTTCTTCTGCAGCTCAACTAGTCTCTCGGTGATCACCGTTCCCGCCAGCATCTTCTCTTCCTCATCTATGGCAGGGTTATTCACGATGTTGTCCAGCCTGGCCTCCATATCCGCAATTTCCTTGGTCATCCTCGGTATTAGTATCTTTGCTCTCTCCCGAGCCTTGTTTCTGATTTCTTTCTTCAGGTCTCGCCAGAGCGTTTGCCGCGTTTTCATTAGGATTCCACTCTTCTTCCCTCAGTGTTGTGAGTTTTGCGTGGAACTCTATTCCTTTGGTGTCCACGAATTCAGTAAGCACTCTGTCTTTTAGTATATGCATTGGCCAGACCCATCTCCCGTGCCCTATTGTGGGCGCGTCTGCAGTCGTCACTTTTACTGACACCATGTCGTGGTCCGTTTCGATGCCTACAGACTCAATTCTCCATTCAAAGGTTTCTTCTAGCATCTCTCTCCGGACATAAATCCGGTCTAGCCTCGACCTGGCTCCGCCTTGAGCTGCCGTTTGGGAATATGTGTAGGCTCTTGTCGTGGGGAACGTATCTCGCCATCCGTCTATCAATCCTAGGTATGATTTAAGGTCGTCTAGTGCATCCACCGCATCTGTGTCATCTTCTCTCGCAGGGAGCCTATCGACGGTGGCCTCGACAATGTTCATGTCACCAGCCATGATGTCTGGTCGGCGAATCTCGGGGTTGTCCTCATAGTATTTTTTAATCTCCTTCCAGAATTGTTCGTTTTCTCGATCATCTGTCGGTGCGTAGACCCCCAGTATCGAGAGTGGTGTCCCGTCCCCATTTTTCATTTCTAGTATCATGGCTCTTCCCGGGACGACTTCTCGGCGGACAACGTTGTCAGTTTCTACTAGGAATTTATTCAAGACTATTGCTACCCCATGGGAGTTAGCGGCCTCTGAGCTCTTGGAGTACTCCAACCTGATACTTCTGCCAAAGAGGGCATCCACTCGTTCTTTCCTCTCGTCATTCATGTGAGCTTCGCCCACAATCAGTACTCCGGTCTTCTTTTCGCGCATCAGCTGCCATATTTCGGGCCACTTGTTCTTCTCATTTCTGACGTTTGCGTGTCCGAACCCCTTCACATTCAAGGCGGACACCTTGATCGCCGACTTGACATTCTTCCTCCCGGTCCCGCCTATTTGTGCTGGTCCGGGGTAGAATCTGTTGTTTGCGTTATTTTCTGTTTGGTTCTGTCTATAACAGTGGTTCTGCTCGTCTTGTTCTCCAGACGGCGTCCCGTTTCCATTTCGGGTTCCGTTTATCACGGTTCCCCCATGATCTGGGGTTGGGCTCCTTCGTTCGGGCCCTTGCACGTACTGTGCGTTGTCAACGTCTATACTGACGTTGCCCGGAGTCTGTATCGCATCCGGGTTGGCATCCGGCCAGCCATCATCGAAATTCTGTGGGGTTATGTTCCATGGGAGCAGACCCGTCCAGAATTCCTCCAGCTGGTCGTCCGCCCATTCCCCTCCATCGGATCTACTCTCATCGGAGCTCTGCTGATCGGTGGCGGAATCAGCGTCTCCTCGAGTGTCACCGTCGTTGTCCCAAGCCGTAAGTTCGTCACCGTATGAATCTGCAAAGCAGTTAATGAAGTTGTATTGAGGTTGAGTAGCAAGAAAGGCCCGCCGGGATCCCCGCTAAGGATTCCGGCGGATGTGCCTACCGTTTGGGGTTAGCGGGGTATCGCTTCGTGTCCGCCCGAGCGGACACAAGTCCTACCCCGCCATGCCAGGACTGCTGGCCGGCAGACCCCGACCTGAAAAGGTCCCGCCGTTGCGGCGTCACTGGCTTGGGTTCGAGCAGAGTTTGAGGCTCTGCTCGTCACCCAGTCAATGACGCGTAACCCTCCCCCGTTTCCTGTCCCGTCTCCCTACAGATGGTCAGTAAATGTGGCGGGTTCGGGCCGCGTGTGCCTATGGCGCACGACTTCTTCCAATCTCGGGCTTGGGGTTGTTCATAAGCAGTACTATTGCGTCGAAGAACATGTGTACAGGTAGCATTAGATGGGTCAGGTATCGGAACGAGCCTCCACTAGTTGGACGTAAGTAGCGGTCATGTTGTTTATGCCATTCAAGAGCCGCTCGGCAGTCCATGCTCCACGCCGGGGTACTACAACGGTGCGATGTCTCTTCACTTGATGTTTGTGGAGGTAGTGGTTGGCCCTCAAGTTGAATTTCGGGGTTGGGAGATCGGATTCGTGGTTCCGTATTCGCACATGTTTGCGCCGTTGGCGACGGTACATGTGGAGCTGGGATCTCTGGTGCGGGGGCGCGACTGGGTGATGGCGGGGTCGTTTCGTCATTCACGGAGGACTTCTTGTCGGTTTTCTTCGCCATCCGCGGGTTTTCTTTGGGGTGGAGTTGCTCAGGTAGCGCGCTGAGGGTAACTAGATGGGTTGTTGTCACAGCTAGCTAGCTTGCAGGCCACGTGATTGAAAATTTTCTGGGTGCGAGGTCCAGCGATGTGGTTCGATGTCGGGTCAGTTAGCCGTCGGGTGCTCAGCAAGTATTGCCTAAGGCCTAAGGTCCTTATGACACGTTGGGGGGGGAGCTCGTTGTTCTGAGCTGTAGGACTCGAGGAGGGTTCTGTGGTATGTCGACCTCCCCGCGGTGGTCAGCAGGGGGTGATTCCTCGGGCAGAGCTCGTTGTTCTTAGGGTACACGATGAGGGTTCATGGATGGAGAGAGGAATTGTATTATGTCGTGTCGCGCGTCAAGATTGGTACGGCAGTAGTGGTATTCCCAATGAGTGCGCCGCCCTTCATTCGGCAGGCTTGGTGTTCGACCCTACAGGCCGCCCTGTCTGTGCAGGGTCCACGACGTGTGGCCAGAGCGCGTATATGCCTCCGCACCGCGCACTGCGGTGGGGGGTTTATGTGCGGATTCGTCCCATCACCAAAGAGATGGTGGTGGTTCGTGATCAACACAGCCCCCACGAACTTTTTTATCATGGACGCGTTGCAGCCATTTGTCGACCAGACGCGGTCCTTCGGTGCGTGAACGACGTGTCTGTTTGGCTATGCTATCTCAAGAGCCTCAGTCAAAACATCTCCGTGGTGGATTTCCAGCCTTGTCGCTCTGGGGTCATTTGGCGCTGCTCGGCTTGCTTACCAGACTCTTTCTGTCTTCCTGCAAACATTCATTCTCTCCGGGACAAGTGTAAGCACCCAACTGGATCTCATTTTGCTCAGCTGCTTACTCGTCATTGTCCAGCTCCGAAAGTTTGGGGCAAAGAAAGGCGCTTGGGCCGTGGTGACCGGCGCGTCGGACGGCATTGGGAAGGAGTTCGCGACCCAGCTCGCAGGACGGGGATTTAATGTGCTTCTCGTTGCGAGGAATGCAGCGGTACTGTCGACTGTGGGCCAAGAAATAGGTCCGTCCTTGTTCTTCTCTCCTCAACATCCATCAACGGCAGTCAAGAGAGCAAATATCCTGGCACCCAAACAGCCATACATACCATCGACTTTGCCAAGGCAGACGAAGCCGCATACGAAGCCTTTGCGCGTCAGGTCGCTGCGCTCGATGTCGGGGTTCTCGGTGTGTTTTTCCATTTCACTTTTCTCTCATTTCTGAGTTCTTTCCCAGTGAATAATGTCGGCAAGTCGCACGCATACCCCGCCTATTTGGTCGACACGCCTCTCGACGAGATGCGCGATATTGTGCAGATCAATGTCAACGCTACACTGCGAGTAACCTATTCGGTCCTCCCAGGCATGATCAAACAGTCAGTGCCTGCTTTGAAGATTAACTCCCGTTTTTTATGCCTTTACAGGAAGCGCGGACTCATCCTCAACATCGGTTCATTCGCCGGCTCCGTTCCATCTCCAATGCTCGCTACTTATTCTGGCACCAAGGCCTTCCTCTCGACCTTTACCAGTGCGCTCGCAGAAGAGGTCCGTCAGCACAAAATCGTCGTCGAGCACGTCAACACCCACTTTGTCGTTCGTCTCCCAGCCTTAACCTTTCTCGCGTTGTTGAAATGTTTATCAGGTTTCTAAGCTGTCTAAAATCCGGCACTCATCTCTGCTGGTCCCGACCCCCAAATCCTATGTCCGCTCGGTTCTAACCAAAATCGGACTGGCTTGTGGGGCAGCCTACAGTGGCCGCCCCGAAACCAGCACCCCATACTGGTCCCACGCACTGCTCGACTGGCTTATCAACGCGGTCGGCATGCCCTGGGTGTTTATTTTGTACACCCACAATTTACACAAAGACATCCGTAGACGGGCTCTCAAAAAGCTCGCCAAGACTCAGTAGCGTAGCACTATTACTAATCCCGAGCGCATTTTGTAAAAACAAATGAATGTGGCCTTATAGCCGTCCATTAGGGTTACAACAGTTCTGTAGAGAAGAAAGAAAGAAAAAATAATAAAAAGGTAGAAACCAAATCTACATTGTCTTATACGCGTCCCGCTCAAATGCATCGTCGTCATCCGGTGGTAGCGAGGGAGCAACCTTCCTTGGTGTCTGCCGCCGTCGCCCTTTAGAAGGCGTCGCCTCCTTCTTGCCCCTACTCCTTAGTGAATTCTTGCCCATGTATTCAGTGTCGTTGACCGCAAGGAAATCCGCCTCATCCCGCAGCGCCAGCTCGTCATCCAAGTCGTCTAATGGGTCCGATATCCGTTGGCTCATATAAACACCCGCATGACCATTGCCATTGCCGATTGAAGCGTGGCGAGTGTAGGACACTGCACGCTCAGCCGTAGCTTTGCTGTCCACGACGGCCATAAACACGTCTTCGTTGGCTTCCGGTAACTGTCCATAATGCCCCGTTCGGAATTGGTCCGCGGGGGGGATTTCGGTTTTGACCAACTCTTCGATCGAGGCTGGGGGCCTGAACACAGACTCCGACTCGCCCGTCAAAAAATCGACATGATTGATCTCCATCGGCACAAAGTCAGGTATGGACTGATGTGGTTCGGAAGTTTGTGGCTCAGGCTGACCCGGTAGGTCCTGCGGGAAATCGACCATGTGCCGTTGTGGATCAATATTCAGTGGTTGAAACTGGCCAGGGTCTTCAGGCATATCTGCGAAATTCATTTGCTGTTCTGGATTGGGTGTGCCAGGAGCATCCTCCTTCGAATTGTCCATCCGGTCTTCTGGTTCGGGGCTGGGCTCAAGGCTAGGTAATTTAGACTCGCCAGTGTCGTCAAGTTCATCCTTGGAGTCACTCGTGGGCTCATCTGAGTCGAGGTCAGACAAGGGGTCATCATCATCCACGCCTAATGCAACCCGCCGGCTTTCTTGCACCACTCGCTCATCGTCCCAATGCTCAGGACCTTCCGGAAGCGGTCCCTCCTCGCGGACCCATTCTCGGATGGATAATGGCAACTCAAACTCATATTCCTCTTTGCTGGTTAGGAATGATGGTATTTTAACACCAAACGCGTCCCGAGTATTCCGTGATGTTCGTCCGGCGGCTACCATGATGGACGGTGTTTTGACCAACTTGCGATACGCGGAAGTTGCGTTCGCCGGAATTGCAAGCACGGTGGTGATAGATTTCCGATGAACGTTATATACCCTGCCTCCTCGGGTGGCAGGAGGAGCGGATACTCGGACTGTTTGTGGTGGAGGAGAAGGAGCGGGAGTGGGTTCGGCGGGAGTGGCAGTAGTAGAAGGGGGGGTAACGGGAACGGGAGGGGCAAGGGGAGCGGGTAGAGAAATTCTACCACCCCGACCTCGACCCCGGTTGCCGCCACGGGCACCGCCACGACTAGCACCACGACCAACACCACGACCAGCACCACGACCACCACGACCACCGCGAGCGCCACGAGTTCCACGATTTCCACGAGTACCACGTGTGCCACGAGCAACGGGGGCAGACAGCGTTTGAATGGGAGGTACAGACTCATCGCGATATGAAGATGTGGACTCTGATTTCGGCGGAGGAGTTAGCATGCTTGGGTCGTCAGAGCTAAATGGTGAAGCTGCCCGTTCAAACACAGTGAGTTGTTCAATTGGAGGATGTTGTTCAATTTGTTCCATTTGAGGATAAAGCTGGATACCAGGAGGCTGTTCAGGTTCCATTTCAGGATAATGACCGTTGGCGGGAGGTTGTTCAATCGAGGAATATTGTGCCATTGCGGGATATTGCCCATCTGGGAAATATTGATCGCTTGGAGGATGGAATGTCGGATACTGATCTAGGCCAGGATATTGACTAAATGCAGGATAATGTCCGAAAGCAGGAGGTTCTGGATGTTCTTGAATAGCAGGAATTTGTTGGATAGCAGGAGGTTGCTCGATAGCGGGCGGTTCGTCGATAGCAGGAGGTTGTTCTATAGAAGGATGTTGCTCAATAGCAGGAGGTTGTTCAATGACAGGAGGCTGGTGAACCATAAGCGGGTGTTCAACAACAGCAGGAGGCTCGTCATCGACCATTAAGTGTTGTTCGACTATTTGTCGCTCCTCGTCTGTCAAGTGTCCATCCACCGTCGGGGGTTCTGGAGGTGGCGGAGGTGGCTGCTCAATGGGAACATCGTCACCAACAACATCAATAGGCTGGTCAGGCACATAACCGAACTGCAGCTGAGAATGCGGGTGGTGGTCAAGTTTCGCCCGTTTACGCGACGATTTGGGGCGACCCTTGGCCTTGACCGGTCTCTCGTAGTCCGGATCGAGTTCATCCTCCTCAATAGGATGCGGGTAATTTATTAATCGGCCTTTGCGAGGACTTGAAGGTGCAGGAGAAGTACGCCGCCGTTTTTTGTTCGGCGAGGCGGGACTCGAAGTAGACGGCTGCGACTGCTTGAACCGTGTTATGACCAACTTTGGATTTTTCTGTGGCGGGGGTTCGTCCTCTGAGTATGGCTCCTCGGGTGTCAAAAGTGCATCAGCGCTGGACTGTTTGCGAGCGGGTAGAAGAATGCGATAGCGTTCCTCTAAACTTTGCGCATTCTCCAACATCTCTCGCCTTCGACGCTCTCCTTCCGCATATTGCTGGGGAGTGGCACCAAGAATCCCGAGACCGGCGTCTTCGTCAACGTAGTCTTGGTGCAAAGGTCGAGGAGAGAACCAGTCCGCAGGGGCAGCCAGAAAGGCAGAATTGTCCATTGCTCTTAGCTGGTCAATCCGCTCTTTGAGTTTGTATTGCTCGTGCTTTAGTTTCTCCTTCTCTCGTAGCCGTTGGCGCTTCTCAAACGCCTCGAATTTGCGATGACGCTTCTCATAGACCGAGTCTGAATCTGCGGCAGACTGTGGACACCGATTGTTCAATAAGACCGAGGGAGCTCGTTTGCAGGCTCACTCACTGGATCTGGGAGGGTAGTAGGAACCTTCGCTCGTAATCGGGAGGTGACCTGCACAATCTCGAAAGAGGGCACCTCAATTTCGAGTTGCTCGCGGAAGCCTTTTATGACGTCCGGACGGTCAAAATATGTTTCGCGAGCAGTGACATTGATAGCGGCAGAAGGACCGGCAATGGCCAGCTCTTGGGCAACTTGCTCGAGTCTGTCGTCGGTCCTGAATAATATGACGGTGTCGGAGGGGACAACGGAGTCTAATTCAGCTGCAAAGAGTTCATGAACGGGCGACAACAGTGTTGAAACCCACATACGCCTCGCCTCATTATGTAGAATCAAGTCGTCGATATCGCAGCTGCCTATGCCGCTTCCTACACCAGGCCCGCCTCTCCGGGACCTTGAAGGCAGAATGCGCTTTTGGAATCCCTGCTGAATTTTCGCCGCCAATGTGGCATCGCTGTCCATGAACGAGATGTGATTGCTGGGATCCAAGAGGAGAGTGAAATCGTTTCGGGACCACGCAGGTCGGTGTGGGAGCTCTGGCTGCTAGCTTAGCAGAGGCGGAGTGGGGAGTGGTGACGCTGGCGGACGTCCCGGAGGAGAACAAGCAATTGGCGAGTAATTGTGGCCAGTTAGAGTCGTAGGTCACACACTCAACAAAAGTAAAACACGCTTCCAGACCTCCGACCATTACTCGCTTGTATTTTGACCGCGCGCATTGTCCTCAAACGACCGACTACAACTACAACAACACCCAGCCGTCGTCTCTCAACGCCTTGGCTGCCGATTCTTGTTGTTTTTGTGGCACCTACACATCGAATTTGGCCAATCAGTTTCACTCTCTCTCGTTGTACGAATTGAAACCCTCTAACTAGAATGTAATCCGTGTTCCACGTGGAAACAGCGAAGATGCCTATTTCACTGCGCTTGAGTGGTTCTGTAAACCCACTCAGCACACCCGTAAGATCTACCACACAAAGAGATTCAGTTGATTCAGACTTGTCTTGATCCAACGCATCACTGACTGAATTCCATCGGCCCTGCGATCTTGAAAGCACTCCAGGTCGCAAACTCAGCGTATTCACTGGGGGTTATCCCTTCGCGATATACCCCCACCACAGAAAGCTCGTCCTTAGTCCTTGTGATTGAGATAAAGCTCTCATCATCCTCGGCGAGAAGGTCTTGGAGGGCTTTGTTGAGTTCGGTCAGCTGCAACTGCCTGACGAACCAACTCCCCGAAAGGGTGTGAACGTGGAGACATTCGTGGTCAGAAGGAGGTGCCATTTGTTCTCTGGTCACGATCTGAGTGCTACAAGTATATTGGAAAATTCAGAAGGAATGAGATTCGAGGCGCAACAGCACTCGTTAAGTAGAGACTATAGAGAGTGTATAAGCTTGGTCGCCGGAATTGCTTGTCAAGACATCGGATGCCTTCGATCCTGTGGGTAGGCTATCGCTCGAGAACTGCGTCCGCCCATCGAAAGCAAGGAGAAGCAGGTCGCCTGATGTCACCTTCGTATGGAGGGTTAGTAGAGCCAATCAGCAGTCGAGAACAAAAACATACAGCACTGAAAGTTGTCGATTCTCCATTTCCACAACCAAAAATACCGCCACTAACGCCGCAAGTGCCTTTGGAGCTCGATAGTTTCAAACTGTCCGCATTACCAGACAACGTGAAAGTGGCTGGGGTCTGGGAACTGAACGTTCCTTTGGAGAGCAAAGCGCCAACTTCCGATCCATCTTGAACTGCTTGAATTGTAGCTTTGGTGGGTACACCAGTTGCGCCGGTCGTTTGGGTTTGAGTGGAAGACTTGGTGGAGGTCTTCGTGGCTGTTTTGGATGGCTCTGGTGAGCCGGCCTTCGGAAGATATTTGATTCCAGTCTTTGGACACGACCCAGCTTTAGGAGTATCGATTGCGACGAATTTGCCGTCGATGATAGAGCCTTGCAGGTTGTGGTAATAAGAAACTTGGAATAGCTCCCCCTTTTTACAGTCAAGCTCAGGCGTGAACTTGGGAACAGATGAGAAAGAAATTGAGGTCATTGAGCTAGTAAACGCACGCCGAAGCCAACTTCAAGGGCAGACGTAAGACTGTCAAGCGTATGGGTTTCGGTTTCGGATGGTGTGATGCCTGCATCGGCGAGCCATTTAAACGTAGGTAATTCCTTGAAGAGTTTTACAACTGTGTTGAAGAATGCGACTGCCTGTATGCTCATTAAACTTGGGACACAACAACAAGCATAAGAACATTACCTCGGCTCCGGTGGGACTGCCGTCAGGCAAACAGGTAACGTCGAGGGTGCTCAGACAAGTTCCATGCTAAAACCTGAGCTGAACGCCTGGTACCATCTATACTAGAGCACCAACCTTTGCCCATTCATGCTCCCAGAGTTCTTCATCATTGCCGCCGAGATTCTCAAGAATATTGAGTGCACGAGTCATTAGGGGAATAACAATACCTTCCAGAAAGTGTTCATAAAATCCAGCGTATCGCTCGCGCCTTGGTCTCGTAGGAGCTATAGAGGGTGTTAATACTAGACAGACGCAACTTGAAGAGCTATTCACTCCAGCAATGTCCGTATACTCTCTCGACGGATCGCAATTGGAATCAAAACCGCCAGAGCAACTAAGCCGTAGAAATGAGATCAAAAAGACTTGTACAATGGGTCGACACACCGATCAGGGAATAACCCGTGTATCGTCCAGCTATCTGACGGGCCAGTGGGTGGGTCGGTGTCCCAGAACTTGACAACCACGATGAATAATCTTCACTCGACCCATGGCTGGAATTGACCCACCTGGACTTGCAGAAGCAGGCCACTTGGGGCCTCGAAACAGCATAAATCGGCAACCCTCGAGGAATTGGTACACGATGCCGCGCCGTCGGTCCCACAACTGGTGCTTAACGCTCGGCGAAACAAATCTTGCGAAGACCAGCGAGAGAAAAGAGCGGGGGAAGCAGAGACCGATGCAAGCAAACCGGCGCTGGCAAAAAGGGTCGAGGCGAACATGGTCGAAAACTTGGAGAAGCTTTGCCATTCAAACACGTCTTTAATATCGGGCGATATGCCTCCATGTGGGGTTGGGCGGTGGTTGTCGTAGCCAAGAAACCACGCAAGACTGTCGCACGTGGACGAAAAGACTACATGACAACTGATCTTCTGAAGATCTACTACGACATAGACCCTCAACGAAAACTACGTGCCGGGGGGCCGGTTCCACTGGTTCGAGTTTGTCCAGCTATTTCCCGGCTGAAATTGATACGGGGGCTGCTGGGGTACAACCCCAAACCCAAATGCAGACGCAAACCGAGGGTTTATGTGAGGCTGCACAAAACCATTCGATGATGGTGTCCCGAAATTGAACTGAGATGGATCAGGCCATTGTGCGGTGGGATTCAAATGTGTTTGCGACGCTTGTTGGACATACCCAGAGCCATCTGGGTATTGTCCAGTAGCACGAGCAATTGCCATGGATGTTGGTGAACTCGATCGGGCTTGTGGTGGTGGCTGGGAACTGCGGCGGTCGTCAAACCGTTGTGAACGATGGCCTCCACCTCGCCCTCTCCTTTGACCGCGACTTCCTCTCCCCCTTCCGCGACCGATATTTGAAATCGAGTTTTGTGGTGGTTGTGGTGGTGGTGTTTGCATGTTGGTATAGTCGTCAGAATAGGGATCGTCGTATGGCATGGGGGCCGGTCGAGAAGAAGGCCCAGCTCCATAATTGTCATCGTATGCACTGTTATCTGCATAGGGATTTGTTTCATAGAAGGGCATGTCCTGATCCCGCATTTGTGCTGGCGAAGGAGTTGCCGCTCTCGAAGATGAAGCACCCGAGTGCCTAAATTTTGAGTCAGCCGTGGTTGCCTTTTCTTTTTTACAAGGTAGCACCCACCTCATTCTTCGTTTGTGTTCCGCCTCGGCTTCATCGTCAGAGAATTCAAGCTCGTAGTCCGCAGGTTCTTCATCATGCATATTACTAGCATCACTGCCTCTGAATCTCTTCAATTGGTCAACCGCCACGAACTTGCTCCGTCGGGGTACATGATATACCGCGCGGGACACTTGAACTTTCTGTGGGTCAATCGGGTACTCTGTGCTGAATTTTACTTGATATAAAGGCTGCGTTGTAGGTCCAAAAGTTTCGTAAATCTGTCTCGTATGTGAGCACTTTGAAATTTATGGCTGGAAGCATGGTCTAACGCACATATCCGAGAACTTTCTTGTCCTCGAATACAAGCAGAGTGTCAATATCAAGCGCATAAGGAACCGAAGAGGTGCCCTTGACAATAACAGTTTTGTCGATGACGCTGAGCACCTCGCCGACTGCCTCTAACGTTTCTTCAGGAGAGACCTCTTCTATGTCGGGGACAGTGATGTTTGATTCAAGGACTTCATTTTTGGTTTGGAAGTAGGACATCGCAGGAGGCGCTGCTGTTCCAGATTCTCCCTCATCGTCGTCGACGTCTTTGGTGTTTTTTTTCTGTTCTTCGTGGTCCGACTCCGATTCAGAAGAAGAGGTTTCAACAGAGGAGTCTCTGGAATGAATTCAGGTACTAGTCGGTTTAAACTGTGGACAACGCACGAATCAGACTCCTCTTCAACTTGAATGAGCTCAGCATGAATCTCGGCTTCACTCGCTTCGTCGCCCGAGCTGTCGATATCATCGGAATCTTCTACTTTTATCTCCTTCTTTTCATTTTGTGGTTCCGGGAGAGGCCCGAGAATATCCTGGATCAGCAATAAATCCTGCGCGAGCAAGCTGGGGACAGGGAAGGAGGACATGTCACGATCCCGTGACCGTTACTTTTTTTCTTTACACGGTCAACGGGATGTGGCATCGTTCGTGGGCAGTGAGCGCATGTTCTCTGCGGTGCTATTCTACAAAAACGCCAATAAAACTTGTCGCGGAACTCCGAAAATTAACTGAGGTTTCCATCGTCAAGGCGCGTGAAGCGCTGGAAGCCTCAAACAACGATGTCAATGCAGCACTCAAATGGCTGGACAAGGATCTCGCCGCCTCTGGTGCTAAACGAGCTGCAAAAGTTCAGGACAGGCACGCTGGAGAAGGACTTATTGCTGTTTCGCTGCTTTCTCCTGGGGCGGGTGGTAGAAGCGCTTTGCGTGCAGCGATGGTGGAACTCAACTGCGAAACGGACTTTGTGGGCAGAAACGACCTTTTCGGCCAACTAGCCGCCGACATTGCGCATACCGCCGCATTCATGTCTGAACAAGCAGACTTCCAAAATTACCCAGTCGACGTTTTGAACGACACACCTTTACTCTCCGCCCGCCACCTCAATCCCGATCCCTCCACCACCGTTTCTCGCGCCATTCGTGACCTGATATCCAAAGTTGGGGAGAACGTCGTATTAAAGCGCGCGATGACCGTGTTTCAAGAGCCCAGCCCGAATTCAAAAGAAGGCCATCGTCTAATTTCATACCTCCATGGCTCCGTCAACGACCCTATGCAGGGCCGTATCGGCGTACTTGGGCTACTCAAATTATCGTCCCCACAATCCATATTCCAGTCCACATCCAGCCGCGAAAACTTGGAGCGCCTTGAGCGTGCTTTGGCCCGGCAGATCGCGGGATTCGAGACACGCTCAATTCATTCCGACTCACAGGATGAGACAGCACTCTACCAACAACCGTTTATGATTGCTGGCGACCTTTCGGGGAAGCCAGTTGGTGAAGCGTTGGCAGCGTGGTCAACGACGCATGGACTGGATCAGAGTGCTCTGGGAGTTGAGCGGTTTGTGAAATGGGCAGTCGGTGAACCCAATGAAGAGTTGTGAAAATACCATGAAGTATATATGTACTGTAGCCCACCACTCGAAAGATAATCAGACATAATCCACTCTGCCCGCTTTTGGATTGGGGCTGTGCTTGCCTTCTTTTCTCTCCTTCCAACAAGTCCACGCGTTCTGAGCTGGTTGCCGACACTGGCTCGTCGCTGGCCGCAATACACAAGCACAAACCGGCGCGCTCGGACCGAAAACGTCTTCGGCTTGCTTGCTCTGCATGCTGCTGGTCTAGCCGCTTCCTCAAAGCTTGTTTGAGACTGTGCCCGCCTTCTGTCCCGTTGACGCTGCGCCCAGATGAACTTGGAGTGAGGCGCAATGGGGTTATGGTTCGACACTGACCGTCATTCGCAGTGATTGACGCCGCTATGTCTTCTAGTTGATGCTTGAAGCTGCAAGACGGAGTCATGTGCGATGGAGTGCTTGGCAGCACGGGTAAGTTCTGGGTGGAAGGACTCGTCTTTTGGGCAAGAACAGACACCTTTAACCTTATATAAATATCGTTGATCTTGCTCATTTGATCGACTCTGCATCGCTGGCTTGGGCCACATGAGCTCACTGTACTTCTTCCGTCCTCCATCAATCATGCACTCCGCTTTAAAAGGGTCAGCTTCGCCTCTACCAGCACGAACCACCCATGCGTGCCCTCGTTGTTTTTTCCTTGTTGTCCGGCGCCCTTGCCGTCAGTCCTGGTTTTCCGTACGGAAGCACCAAAGTTCGTGGGGTCAACTTGGGTGGCTGGTTGGTCCTCGAGGTGCAGGATTATTTGGGTCGTCTCCGAATTCCTGACCATTGTAGCCTTGGATCACGCCGTCTATCTTCGACAACACAGGTTCTCCAACACTACTTATAACGCGTCAGACACGCTAACATCGGCTAGGCAACCCCAACATCGTTGACGAATGGACTTTCGGTCAGCTACAAAGCAGATCGGCCGCTACCGCCACGTTAACCAATCACTGGAATACTTTCATCACGGAGGCTGATTTTGCTGCTATCAAGGCTGCTGGGTTGAATCATGTCCGTCTGCCCATCGGGTGCGTGTTGTTGTTTCTAGTCCACGACAGATTGCTAACCGTCATGTCAGGTATTGGGCATTCGAAGTTGGCCCTGGGGAACCCTACATTTCTGGCCAGCTTCCTTACCTCTCCAAAGCGATCCAATGGGCCACGAACCAAGGACTGAAGCTCATCATCGACCTTCACGGAGCACCAGGAAGCCAGAACGGATTTGACAAGTAAGTTGATGCTTTTTTTGTACTACCCTCACAAATGCTGATATCTTGGAAGCTCTGGTCATCGTATCCCTTCCCCGTGCGTGTAACATTCCGTATTTGCGTTCTTCTCTAACGCCCGAAAAGGACATGGCACACCAATAACACTAACGTGCAGCGAACCAGCAATGTCATCAAGACGATTGCCAACATGGTCAAAGACAACGCCGCAAATGTGCCTATCATAGCTCCACTGAATGAACCGGCTGGATACTTCGGGTCAGACGTCCTTGCGGTCACCAGACAAGTGAGTCAATGGTCTATGTTCGTTTGCAGGACATTGACAATCGGCCTAGTATTGGTATGATAGCTTTGGCAACGTTCGCTACCCGTATGGGTCATCACGGCAAAGTATAACCCGCCTGTCGCCTTCTCTTCATCATTTCTGACGCTCCATATAGGTGATACCGTCCTTCTGATCCACGACGCATTCCAGGTAGTAATAATCCTCCACATGGCCACCTATTTTAACCCACTTTTTTTATAGCCTCTCAGCTATTGGAATGGTGTGCTGACATACCCTAGCTATGAAGGCGTTGCGATGGTACAAGTCCCGACCATTTTTGGCTCGCTGCTTCTGACCTTCTTATAATAGGACACCCACATCTACACGATCTTCAGCGTGGCCGAGGAGCAAATGAGTCAACAAGACCATATTAACACCGTCTGTAGCAAGCGCAACTCACTCGCTACATTCGACCTGTGGACGATTGTTGGAGAATGGACTCCCGGTGCGTGCTCTGGCTCTCGAATTGATCGAATTTTTACACAATTGTAGCCATGACCGACTGTGCCAAGTATATCAATGGCCGCGGTGTCGGCTCTCGCTACGATGGGTCATATCCTGGTACCAGCTCCACGCGTGTTGGAAGCTGTAATGGCTGGACTGGATCTGCGTCGACATTCAGCTCAAGCTACAAGACCTTTTTGAGAAAATTCTGGGAAGCGCAAGTGAGCAGTTACGAGCAGGGACAAGGTTGGATTCAGTGGTGAGTGTCATTGAGTTTTTTTAAAGTTGTGGAGCTGATTTACTCTCAGGACGTGGAAGACCGAAGCTGGAACTGCCGAGGAGTGGTCATACAAGTCCGGACTCGCCAACGGCTGGATTCCATCCGACCCAACCAACCGTATTTACCCTAACGTTTGCGGCTAATTTCACGTTTTTTTCTCTCAACTCATACATTCACGCACTTGTACTCGTTCACGCATTCATCTTGATTATGATACTCAAGGAATCGTTGTCTACTTAGACCAAAGCAACTACCATATTCGTTGCATGATTTTAGAGCATATACTACTCTCGGTGTACTGCAATAAATGCTGTCAGCGCTAGTTGAGCACCCGCCGTCGGGACAGTCGCGTCTGAAAACGAGCAATCGCGTCAAGCCATACAGACACGTGATGCATCGTCACGCGTCAGCAACACGGTCACTCCCAAACTATGACGACCAGACGACCACTTTCGAGTCCGTCGTCCTCTCCACCCAGCAAGCGGCAACGACTCTCATCTCCCATATACGATCAACAAGCTGGGAACATCACAAGCGAAGATTTGGAAGCGTTTGACCGATTCGAGGCCTCACAATCGTCCAATGCTGACTTCCGCAACGATCCTGAGAACCCATTTGCCGCTGGTGCAGCCGGCTTCACTTCCGCATCCAAACTCCACACTACTCGACCCGCCTCTCCAGGTGACCGACGTTCATCTTCTCCGCCCCCACCCGAACCAGATTACGATGCCTGGTTCGCCCCTGCTACCGGCGTGCCAACAATGGTCACCTTTCAGACCGCCAGAACAGCGGCGACCGCCGCACCCTCTGCCACCTTTGGGAAGGCATCCGGTGTTGGCGTTTTCCAGCCATCGAGCGCTGCTCTTGCAAAAGCCAAGGAGAAAATGAGTGTATGGACGGAGACAACGACCACTACATCGCAAAGCGGCGTTGAGAACTTGTTTAAATCGGCTGCAAGTCTGCCCCGGGTGGCATCGCCAGAACGACCGATACGAACGTTGGGAAACGCAACCAATTCACCCAGCACCCCAAGTCCTGCCGAAGGTTTCCGTTCTGCCTCGATGGCCTTGTCGACACAATCAACACCGTCTATCGCTTTATCGAATAATAAACGATTCAAAGCTCCCACATTTGTCAACTCCCCTCTCAATCCCAACGCCCGTCGCCCAGAATCTACTCTTAACCACATGCTTTCAACACCGTTGAGGACACCGTATCGTTCTGCTCAGCCACTACCAAGTAGCTCGGCTGTTCGTACTAAACCGGCCTTCAAGACACCATTTAAGGCCGGCATGAAGCCCGGCCAAGTGGGACATGCAGCCCTACTAACCAAGCAAACGCCAGTTCAAACTACACCGCTTAAAACTCCCACCAGCGCTCTGCCTGCCCCAACACGAACTGTGAAACAATTCTTCGATTTGAGTACGCGATTTCACAAGATGCGCATCCAGCCTCTGCTCATCATCAATTAGAACCACCTCCAGAAAGGAAAACTCTCCGTTCCTCTGGACGAACCCCACAGGAATATACTGCTGCTGATCTTACGCAATATGGAGTGTAGGTTACATTTCAAGAAGGAACGATCGTCTAATGATTCATTTAGAAACGTAGCTGAGCTTGAAAGAATCACACCATCTATAGCTGCGTATTACAGCTTTCACACCACCACTCCAGAGCTATTGACCGAACTACCATTTACTCCCTCGAAGGCTTTCGGGACAGCTGCGGCCCTCGAAGAACTACTAGCAAGAGGTTGCTCACTTGCTACTAAACGATGGGTCGATAATCATTGGTGTCTTATCCTGTGGAAACTTGCAGGAATGGTCTGCCTTGAACCCGAGTTAGAGAAGGATCCAAGAACCAAACGATGGTGTTGGGAGGAAGTAATGCGACAATTGTTCTACCGGTATTTCTTATTCATACGCATTTCCTACTGCTAATTCGACAGCAAGATATGAACGTGAACTCAACTGTGGTGTGCGACCGCCACTACGCAACATCGCGACCCAGGACGCGCCAGCTTCTTGTCCGATCGTTTTATGTGTGTCCAATATCACATGGTTGGATGGTGGAATGTCCGACGATGGGGTTGCGCTTCCAGCCCACCCAGAACTTGAAGTCACAGACGGTTGGTACCGTTTGCGTGCTCAAGTTGATGCGCCACTCGCTCGCGCCATTCGAAGAGGTGTCATTCGTATTGGGCGGAAAGTCGGCGTGGTCGGTGCTCAAGTATGTTTCTCTCACATTTTCAACGAGCTCTGACGACGTTTAAGCTATCGAACGAGCGCAAAGAACCTCAAGAAGTGTTGGAGGCTTATAATTCGACCAAGCTGCAGTTTGTGGGGAATTGTACCCATCTTGTGCCATGGCACACTAAACTTGGATTCCAAACCAGTCCCTGGATAGCGACGATGCGTAGCTTGACTGCAGATGGTGGTCTGGTTCCTGCGCTGGATGTCGTACTTTTGAAGGTGATTGACTCGTCAAGTGAGGCAAACGCTGATTTTGTAGGTTTATCCGGTAGCATACATTGAGTTTATTGAGGAAGATGGCCAAAAGCGACGCGAAGGCCCACGAAGTGCCAAGGAAGAAGCACAAGAAGAGGAGCACTGGAAGGTAAATGCTGCAGCAAAAGAAGCTTCATATGCTAAGTCTCTTGCTTAGCGTCGTCGTGAGGTTCATGAAAGTAAGCTTCGGGAAGCAATGGACAAGAAAGAAATGCGCTATCGAGGGTATGCGGAACGACTAGAGCGGAAGGCTGGGCGGTCCATAACGTCCGGCGAGGGTGAGTTGTCGACATGTTTCTAAAGCTTAGGCGATGACTGTTGTTCTGTAGATGAACCGCCCGACGAGATCGACGACTTGTATGATCAACTGGAAGAGGCGGATGAAGCAGCTCAAGTACTGTCGCATATAAGTGCAGTCAATGCTGGGTGGCTTGCACGGTGCATTATGAACCGGTTAGAGAAGGAGCGTGAACGAGGGGCAGATGAGATCGAACAAGAACTAAAGGTAAGCCTTCATCTAATCAAATGAAGGTGATTAATAATTGATTCTAGACGTCATGTCCCCCGAGGGAAGTTCGCAACTTCAGGGTAATCTTTGTGCAAGATGCTGTGACCGTAAGGCGGACATCGAGTCGAACTGCACAACTTACCATCTGGGACGCGCTCAAGTACCCGGCTATGAATGTTGGTGAAAGGTACCAGGTGACAAATTTGCGGCCGACATCGTTAAGTGCTTGGATGGCACCAGACGAGGCAGGCTCGGAGATTTTGCTGAGTACGACTCAACGTTCGATTTGGAAGCGTGGATGAGATGATGTAACCCGTATGCTCGAGTGTTCACGTGTCTCGGCCGTTATGTAATACAATTGTTCATCGGTCGATTCTCACCACAACTCCTACTTCCTCCTACTCCAACCACAGCGTTGTGGTCCTCGACGACTACCGCTGTCCGGTTATTTGTCTGCATAGATGTCTTATGTCTATGCAGTCCACGCCTTCGTGCCAGAGCACGAGGATGAGGTATATAACTATCACATTCACAGATCCACACTTTCTTATTCAATTTCAGGTCCCATTCGAAGTCGGGGAGCGCATAGAAGTAGTAGAGAGGGATGATGAGTTCGGGGATGGGTGGTGGAGAGGTCGCAATCTTGCGGGCAAAGTCGGTCTATTCCCTCAGAGCTATACGACAACAGTGCCACCACCAGATGCGCCGAATCCAACAGTCCCGCCTCCCGAAGCTGATACTTCTGTCCCTGCGCTCCAAGCCCTACCGGAAGAACTTGAGTCTCCAGAGATTTCTCCGCTCTCTCCCCCTCCTGATATTCTTCTCAACGACAACGGAGTCGATGGGAATGGAGAGATGATGAAGGCTACCATGACCGACGTTCAAAAGGCCATTGAGCAGCTCGGCAGCCGAAACCGGAGTAACAGCGTCAACTTTGACCACGATGCTCGAAGTTTCAGTTTTGCTTCCACGAGGGACGAACGAACCTCAGACGATGAAGAGACAGATTTCGATATAAGTGAAGGGGAGGGCTGGCACAAGGGTGCGCGGAGAAAGCTCGCCGAGAAAGCTCGTCAGGCTGTTGCGGAGGCGGAAAAGTTGGAGGCTCTCTCAACTGGTCTCAGCAGCCGCACCAGTGCCCCTCCAATCGAAGTCGACATCAGCGACGAAAGCGAAAATGAAGGAGACGATGACGACCACGACATCTATAACTCACCACTCCGAGAACATCCATACATACCAGAGGAGGAAGAACCCGCAGAAGATGTTGACCAACTTGGCCGTATGCGTTCTCAAGAAGACATCCCAGCCACCGCAACTGCCCACTCTTTCCCGTCAACCGAAGTCCCGCCGACCCCCGTTTCTCTCGGAATGCCTCCAACAGTTGTGCCTATCGTTGAACCAGTCGCTGTCATTCCATTACCGCCTTCTCCCACCCCCATCCCCCCGCCATTGGAGACTTCACGTGACAAGACGGTTTCTCCAGGATTGCCATCGCCTGCATTGTCCGGAGGGCAGGCCGGAGTCACATCCAAACACAGCAGTGTTGCTTCTTCGGCCGCCTTGGCAGCTGGAGTAGTATCAAAACCCAGCAGCGTTGCATCTGCCCCGTTATCAGCCCTTAGCGAAGGCAAACAACGAGAAGATAGCGGGCATGCTGCGAGTGTAGGCAGTGCGCCAAAGCATCCTTCCGAGTGGTCTGTGGAAGAGGTTGTCGAATGGCTCAGGTCCAAAGGCTTTGACGACGATGTCTGTGACAAATTTACAGGTCCGTCTTTTTCTCCCGCATTTCTTGCGTCGGTTTCTGATAACAAATATAGAGCAAGAAATCACTGGAGATGTTTTGCTCGATTTAGATGTCAATCTTCTCAAGACTGAGATTGGCATTATGGCTTTCGGAAAGCGTATGCGAATCGCCAATACTATCGCCGATCTTCGACGACCTCCTTCCCCATCTGCTTCATTCTCACAAGGCTATAACCCACAAAACTCTCCTCAACACGCACAGTATGCAGTCGCCTATCCACACCCCCACACAGCACAGCCATATCCCAACTCGCCTCAATACACAGGGCATTCACGGACACAGTCCCAATCTCATTCGCACAACTCATATAATGGGCACACAAGTCTACAATCCTCTGTTGGTTCTCCATTAGCCAATGGCTACCTTGCACAAACTTACGGCCTTCCCAATGGACTCTTAAGTCCAGAAAGCGCCACCAATGGCGAGTTCCTCATCAGTCCCGTTGAGGAACAGCCAAAGACGGACATTGTCGACCTGGGGGCATCTTCAAATGATTCGATGGGGGCAAAAGTAAAGGGGCGTCCAGCTCAGCTCACTTTGTCTCCCAGCGATGGGGCCTTGAAAGCTACTGCAACTCAGAGCGATGTCGTTGAAGAAGATGAGCGGGCTGTCATGAGCGAAGTATATCTTGGTTTTTTTGGTCATTTTCCGTGTCTAAATACATTTTAGAGCGAACTTCCGGCCAGCGCCTCTATCCGAAAGCGGATATTTGGCGCGCGCGCACCCAGCTCCCCGCACTCCGTCAACGACCAAGGCAGCGTCAACTCCAAAGAGAATGAGTCTTCTGTGGAGGGCAAGTCATCGTCAAAGAAGAAAGAGAGCAATATTGCGCCAGGCCCTGGGCGGCATGCACGAGGCAGAAAGAGCATTGATGCCAGCACACAAGGAAAGGGGGCTGGTGAGCGATTAAGCATATTTGGTGCTTCGTTCGGAGGCACTCTTGGCCGCAAGCCTGCTCCGCGGTATTCAAGGTAATGATTTTACTTTCGGATCGTTGATAATTGACCCACAAAACTCTCAGTGGGGCTGACGATGACAAAGTCGACAAAACATCATCTGGCTTTACTCTTCCGCGTCTAAACCGCAAAAACGGTCGGCCATCGACTCCCGGAGGAGCTGCGGTACCTGCAGAAGGCATTTCTGCCCCATTATCACCTCCGGTTGGACCACCACCTCCTGCAACTCCCGCTACTAACCCAGCACTCCTACGAAAACGGACTTCTTCTGGACAAACTACGAATGAAGTCGCCAAAGCTGCTAATGCCGCCGCTAAAGCCTCGAACGGCACTGCCAAAGCTCCTCCAGCCTCCAATGGGAACGTGCCCTCCGCTGTTTCTAAGCTCAAGCCCAACATGAGCATCATTGAACAAATTGGGGAATCAGATCACGCTGGCTGGATGCGGAAAAAGGGCGACCGTTACTCGGGTTGGAAACTGCGCTACTTTGTTCTCAAGGGACCCGACTTGTACTGTTTGAAGAGCAGCAACAAATCAGTGCGTCATACTCTGCACATTACACTGCAGTTTAGACTGAAACTGAAACTTGCACAGGAAACCAAGATCAAAGCTTACATCAACGTTGTGGGATATAAAGTCACTGTCGACGAAAATGTTCACCCTGGTCGATATGGGTTCCGGATCGATCATGACCATGATAAGACACACTTTTTTAGTTCGGACGAGAAAACCGTTGTGCGAGACTGGATGAAGGCGATTATGAAGGCGACGATTGGACGAGATTATTCGAGTATATAAAAAGCTTATTCGATCAACATTGCTGACTTGTCTTAGAACCCGTCGTATCTTCCTGCAACATTCCGACTATTCCGTTGATGGTTGCTCAAGCAATGAATCCAGCCCCTCGGCCACCCTCGCCAACTGCTCGTGCAGCAACTCAACGCGCGATGCGCAGGGAAAACACAGACCAACCGTCGACAAGAGATGCTCGGGTTCTTATGCTGACAGGCTTTGCGACCAGCGACAACACTCCGAAAGAGGAGCGGACTCGACTCGACTCATTCTTCACCAACGAGACTGTGGACGGTGCGGCTAATGGTGGCGCCCCTGGCTCACCCCAGTCCTTCGTCCCTCCAAGACCTACACGAAGGATGAGCACACAACAGGCTGTCAGTGTTGATTCCGTATTTCCCTTAGAATACTATTGACGGGTAAAATAATGTAACATTAGCCTGCTCCCGTGGACGAGGGGCTGGTGGAATGGGCCAACTCACATCTTCCGTCGCACCTCCAGATCGTAGACCCAGCGGGACCCCTATGTGATGGTCTTGGTCTGCTCCGTCTCGCGGAATCAATCAAGGGCAAACCCTCCTCGCCTCCTGTCCCGGATTCAGCATTCCCCAAAGACCCCACGGACGACAACTTGGATGGCCTCTTCCGCTTGTTCGACCTCCTCCTAGATAACGAAGTACGGATGGGGAGTGTTAGCATTAATGACATACGGCAGGGCAAACGAGACAAAGTAATACAGCTTTTGCGCGGGCTAAAGGGCTGGGAGGACAAACGGATGCAGATCGCGACCTCGATCGGGAAAGGGTCTGCACAGGCTGGAGGATTTATGGCGTCGGCATATTAAACCCACGCGGGTCTTGGTTTCTTCACCGCATTGCTTTCATCTGGCTCCTATGTAAAATGCTTTCACATTTTTTCTTTGTATTATTCATGTAGTTCAGGACTAAAAAGGGGGGGGGAGGTAGATTATGCTATGGAATCATGCCACAATGGTCTACTATTGCGGAGAAATTAGGACGCTACGGAGTACTTTTTCAACACGTCTCGCCATGCGCCAGCATCGTCGTGGCCCATGCAGACAAGGGTGGGTTTGTTGCCTGAAGCGGGACCAAACACACGTTGGGCAACTTTGTTGATATCTGCGGATTGCAACAAGTCGATTTTGGCAGCCATTTCGTCCATCGACAACTTCCGACCGTGAACAAGGATCTGAAAATACTAAGCAACGTCAGGAAAGAAGAAAAAACCCAAGTTACCTGACGGCCAAGGTCCTCCACTTCTACGGCGCGACTCTCTAATGCCATAGTGAGGGCCGATTTGAGCTGGTTCTTGGCACGCTGGAGCTCCTCTTGGGGAACTGAGGTGTAGAGAAGAAGACTGAGCTGGTGCGCTAGAAGGGGCATGATCGCACTGGGCTTGTCGCCTCCGCGCTGTCCTTTGACGGCGGGGACGAAAGACGCAAAAAGACCAAAGAGCGACGAGTCAGAATAGATATGGTGGAACGAGGCGCAATGGTCAATTTGGGGGTAGCGGTTGAGAATGTGGGTGTAGAGTCGGCTGTACATGCCCTTTCCTGGGCCACCAGCGGAAAAGCTTCCACCGCCACCAAGAAGAACTTGCATCGTTGCAAGAGCATAGATATCGTCGTCGTGAATACCCGCCCCTTCGAAACCAAGGTAAAGGTGATTGAACTCGGCTTCAGGACTATAGATAAACCGATGTCCGCCGGTATATGAACTTCCCAGCGTCGCATTGGCCAACGCCGAGTCGTTGGATGATGGAGTTGGATAGAGATAGGATGCAGCTCGTGATTTTATCACAACAGAGGGTTGGGAGGATGAAGAGAGCGGAAGTGGAGGAACGTGTCGGGTTTGAAGGGTTGAGGCGTCAACCTCTGGTGATTTTAAGGACGAGAAGTATTGTTCTGTTAGCTCAACAAGTTGTTGGTGTGGCATCCCTGCCCCAGCAATAACCATTCTCTCTGGCCTGTACCACTGCTTCATGAACGAACGAAGCGTGTGACCGTTTATGGAGTCAATTCGCTCTTCGGCGCACATGAGAGGATTCCCGAGGCCAGTTCCGCCATATGCAACGTTATGGAGTATCTCGGGAATTATCTGCTCGGGTTTGCTAGATAGTTCTCGAATCTCGTAGCGCACTGCGTCTCGATGGACCTCAATTTCTTCGGGGAGAAATGCTGGATTGAGGACAGTGTCAGCAATAAGTGAGAGCGCTTGCGGTGTTCCCTGGTCGAAGTGGGAGGACTGGTACATCATCGCTTCTCTTGAAGATGAGCACAGTATTTGGCCGCCTAGCGACTGGACCGCGTCAGCCATTTGCTCGTTACTTCGCGTTGACGTTGTCTGTTGCAGAAAAAATGAGCGAGTGGGAGCTATAATTTATTTTTGACACACTTTGAAAGCCATTCTGTCGATGAAATGGCTTGCCCCAGATGTAGAAGCAGACTCGTAACGCGAGCCAGCATCAACATAAAGCCCAACGGAAGAAAAATGGCCAGGTGTGGCTTGAGTCGCGACTCGAATTTTGTTGGGGAGCGTTGTAAGCTCGCAGCCCGGACTGGAGGCATCGAATGAGAATGCTCGTCGCGACGGACGGCAGCGCCGAAGGGATTGTCCAGCGCGACGCATGAAGGTTTCGAGGAAGACACCAAAAACGGATCACTTTCCGTCACGCCAATCTTTTGCCCCGATTGCAACCAAGATGGGACAGCTCGGTGCATGTGAATCTATCCCTGCCTCTTTCCCTCATCCGCACCAGTTTAGGCGACTTGGACCGTGTTTCCTCTCGAGTGCAATTGCTTGCTGTTTCCTCTGACCACTATGAACGCAACCGTCGCCAACCGAGTTGGATACTATGGTCCTCCAACGAGGTGCGATGCATCTATACTTGCAAGCGACAAACACACTGAATGGAGCTCTTCGTAGTACACTAGACTGGTGCGAGAAGAACTACCAGGTACGATAGTAGCACACCATTCACCGTCCTATTCACTGGAACTGCCTAGTTTTCTTACTACATCGCCGGTATCAACTGTCTGTTCTAAACGTGTTCACCAACTAAGAAAGACTTTGAAAAGAAATGGCCAATTCATTCTCTAACATCATTACGCTTGGTGTGGCGGTTTTTGGGGCACAACTGGCGCGTCAGGAGAAGCGTCGGTCCCTCCTTGCTTTAAAATGACCCTGATGCTCATCGGAACTTAGTACCACCACGTTTCTTATTGGGGTATCTTGCAAGTTGGTTTTGGGCCACTAAAGTATGATTTCTAAGCCTACCCTAGGGAATCGCTGCCGTCGGTGCTGGTTCATTCTGGTTTCATGCAACACTCTTGTACAAAGCCCAACTCGGAGACGAGCTGCCCATGATTTGGGTCGCTGTGATGTGTCTGTGGCTTTTATTCGACCAACATCCTGGTTTCCACTTCCTCAAGACTAACCGTTCGCGACTGACGACAATTGCTGCACTACTATTCAGCGTCACATTCTCTTGGAGCTAGTAAGGCATTATTACTCTGGACCCTCGATCTCTTGTTCAAACGTTGGCTCTAGCCTGCTCTACAGGAATCCGGTATACCATCAAGTCGTCTTTGGGACACTACTCTTGACGATCGCATTTCGGGTGTACTACCTCCTGACCTGGTCCAAGTATTCGGCCCGAGTACCCGCAGACAAGCGGAAGGTTGTTGCGAAAATGTTTGGATCTGGCGCTGCGCAGTTCACATTCGCGTACGAACTACCACCCCAAAAATGCTACTCGTATAATGATGCTCAGGTTTCTAATCTGGAATCTGGATAACATCTTTTGCGATACCATTACCAAGTGGAAAGTATCGGTTGGTTGGCCAGTAGCTTTCCTTCTCGAAGGACACTCGTGGTGGCATTTCGTGAGCTACACATTCATTTGAATCTTGCTCGCATTCTGATCAGCTCTTCAGTTTACGGTGCCTCCTCCTTCTCTAACCGCATTCTGTGGAAGTTGACATGGACATATAGGCCACTGGCGTGCTATATAAGTTCATCGGGATACAATATCTGTTCGTCTCTTTCCTCGGCGAACTTCTTGCTCTGAACCTTTTTCCCAGAGTTGTTTGCCTGAAGGACGACCCCCAACACTTCACACTGCATCATCGTATTGGCCTGCCATACGTCAAGCGCATTTCGAAGCGAATGGATTAAGTAATTATGATTATCTATCGAGTGGAAGTATCTTGACCAATTCATCTACGACTTCATGACCAAAAAACGCATCTGACTTGAATGAGTGGCTGTCCCTTGGTCTCCTTCCCAACCCCAAGACGAAACACCCCAATGTCTAATCCACTAGAATGCCATAATATAGAGTTGATCAAGACTGCGACTCGAAATACTCTTTGCTTTCACATGTGGCTCTCAGAACCTTCAGTGCCTCGGTGGCTTCGCGTCCATCTATACCATGGACTTCCTCTGGCGTAATGGCGTGGAGTTTGGGGTGCATTCATAACCAATCCAAGGGGATATTGTGGGCTCAATGGTTCATCTTTCTTGTAGTTTGCGAGTTCTGGAGGCCGATCCGACAGGGCTTTTGCTCAACGGTCTCGAAACGCATCTTAACCTCAACGAACGGAAAGCCGCAAACCAGCAGCTGGCTCGGCACTCCATTCTCACCATTCACCCGCTCTAATATCAGGTGGAGAGACGACCCCCTCGCCTGCACACGCGTCGCGCGACGCCATCAACCCGAGCTCTATCATTAACGCGTCCGTGTGTTCTTTGCAGGGCATGTTGTCTCGGGTGAGAGCCTTTCGGTTGTGTGTTTCGCACGCGGGGAGGCTGGGGTGGCTTGCAATTAGTGGGTATGTCTGTTTTTTGTGCTTTTCACTGATATTCTGCTAATAGGCACTCTGGGCAAGGACTGCGGCCAAGTGTGGAGCACGTTGGGCATGGATAGGCATGGATGCCAAACTTGGCAGCCAGATGCACCAGCGGCAAATGGGTTTTCAGGATCGTTGCGGAAGTCAGCATTGGACGATTGTGAGGCCTCGAATCGGTCAAACACTTCTAAATCCTCGTGATGTTCACAATTTCTCGATCGTATATGGGAGATGAGAGGCGTTGCCGCTTGCTGGGTGGAGAACTCTCCAACCGGTGCTCAACTAACGCTGACAGTATGTATTGCAGTAGACCGAGAATGGTATATGCTCTAAAATTATGGAACGAATGTGGTAGTTGCTTTGGTGTAAGTAGACAACGATTACTTTAGTATGAATGCGTGAACCAGTCCAAGTGCGTGAATGTGTGAGTTTTCAATGAGTTGAAAACAAGGTGAAATCAGCCGCAAACGTTGGGATAAATTCGGTTGGCCGGGTCGGATGGAATCCAGCCGTTGGCGAGTCCGGACTTGTATGACCACTCCTCGGCAGCTCCAGCTTCGGTCTTCCACGTCCTGAGAGTAAATCAGCTCTACAACTTGCAAAAAAAAAACCCAATGGCACTCACCACTGAATCCAACCTTGTCCCTGCTCGTAACTGCTCACCTGCGCTTCCCAGAATTTTCTCAAAAAGGTCTTGTAGCTTGAGCTGAATGTCGACGCAGATCCACTCCAACCATTGCAGCTTCCAACACGCGTAGAGGTATCAGGATGTGTCCCATCGTATCGAGCGCCGCGACCACGGCCATTAATATACTTGGCACAGTCGGTCATGGCTACAATTGTGTAAAAATTCGATCAATTCGAGAGCTACAGAACACGCACCGGGAGTCCATTCTCCAACGATCGTCCACAGGTTGAATGTAGCGAGCGAGTTGCGCTTGCTACAGACGAGGTTAATGTGCTCTTGTTGACTCATCTGCACTTCGGTCACGTTGAAGATCGTGTAGATGTGGGTGTCCTATTATACCGAAGGTTAGACGCAGCGGGCCAGAAATGACTCGGAACTTGTACCATCGCAACGCCTTCGTAGGCAGGGTATGTCAGCACACCATTCCAATAGCTGAGAGGCTATGAAAAAGTGGGTTAGAATAGGTAGCCATGTGGAGGATTATTGCTACCTGGAATGCGTCGTGGATCATCAGGACGGTATCACCTATATGGAGCGTCAGAAATGATGAAGAGAAGGCGACAGGCGGGTTATACTTTGCCGTGATGACCCATACGGGTAGCGAACATTGCCAAAGCTGTCGTACCAGTACTGGGCCAACTGTTAACGCCCCCAAAACGAAAGCACACCACGAACTCACCTGTCTGGTGACTGCAAGGACATCTGGCCCGAAGTATCCAGCGGGTTCATTCAGTGCTTCTATGATAGGTACGTTTGCGGTGTTGTCTTTGACCATGTTGGCAATCGTCTTGATGACATTGCTGGTTCGCTGCACGTTAGTGTTATTGGTGTGCCATGTCCTTCTCAGGCGTTAGACAGACCTGAAAACGAAATACTACACGTACGGATAAGGGATACGACGACCAGAGCTTCAAAAGATGTTAGTGTGATAGTAGGACAGAAAAGCATCAACTTACTTGTCATACCCGTTCTGGCTTCCTGGGGCTCCGTGAAGGTCGATGATGAGCTTGAGTCCTTGGTTCGTGGCCCACTGGATCGCCTTGGAGAGGTAAGGAAGTTGGCCAGAAATGTAGGGTTCCCCAGGGCCAACTTCGAATGCCCAATACCTGACCTGACGATCAGCCAACTGTCGCGGACTAAAAGAAACATCGCGCACCCGATGGGCAGACGGACATGATTCAACCCAGCAGCCTTGATGGCAGCAAAATCAGCCTCCGTGATGAAAGTATCCCAGTGTTTAGTTAACGTGGCTTTGGCGATCTCCTTGGGTTGTCGCTCGCCAAAAGTCCACTCGTCAACAATGTTGGGGTCGCCTAGACAAGGTTAGCGTGCACGACGCGGCGTAAGTACTAGCTTCGGCGAACCTGTGTTGTCGAAGATAGACGGTGTGATCCAAGGCTAAAGTCACGCTGGGGTCAAAAAGTGAGAGCGACACGGAAAATGTTGCACACCTCGAGGACCAGCCAGCCACCTAAGTTGACTCCACGAACTTTGGTGCTTCCGTATGGAAAACCAGGACGGATGGCAAAGGCGACGGACAAGAGGGAAAGACCAAAAAGGGCACGCATGGTGGTTCGTAGAGGGACGGAAAACTAGAGGCTGGCCCTTTTAAAGCGGAGTGCAATGATTAATAGAGGACGGAACAAGCACCGTAATGCGCTCATGTGGCCCAAGCCAGCGACGCAACTCGCGACTTCCGGCAAGATATCAAATGAGCAGATCGACGAAGATCGACTCCGCCTATTTGTTAACATCTTGCCTCTTATTGCCAACTGTACCTTGACTTAGTGGAGCCGAAACAAAGAAAAGATTGTGTAACAACTGTGGTAGTTAACGTTGCCAGTTGAAACGTTGGTTTGCTTCAGTGTCCAAGAACAACACGCTCGGCATGCGCATGGTCACAGGCTGCAGCTGTCGGGCTGTTCGCTAACTTGTCTCTAGATTGGCTTTTTCGAGCTTGTGAAGACTCTGAAGAGCCAACCTGAGCCCCTTCCCTCCGCCGTAGCTTGAACTGGTCGGCTGCAGTGGACAATTATATGACAGTTTTGTGCAGGCTCACTCAAAGGAGGAAGTTCTGGCAATGGGGAAGGATCATTACATGAGTTTAAAAGTCATGGTTGACGAACCTTGAGGTTTGTTTCTCTAACTTCTAAGTAGGCAGAAGAAAATCTCTCGAGAGCTTGCCAATTGAGTAACTTGCTGTGCAGGGTTTTCTAGCCATCACAATTTGGTAATGCTGTGCTTGCACCTATATGGAGGTCGTGGGAATCCCACACGTTTAGTCATCGATCAAATGATGGAATCAACGACAAATATAGGGCTTGAGCAACCAAAAAAAACTTAACTTGAAAAAAGTTGGCCAAAGCTTGTACTACAGTCAATCTAAATACTTTCTACTAGTTCTCTGGCTTGGCAATTTGGTAGAATGTGCATGAGGGGGGTTATTGTGACATAATGTCACACAGATCACATAGTAATGATTGAAGGTAAGCTGACAAGTGGCATAGCACAAACTGATTGTAGACCTGAGGTCAGTCTGGGAGGCTTTAGAGAGTAAACTCAAGGGTGCAAGCCCACTTGCTTACATACTAATTTCAAAGAAAAAAATTAACAATTTTCTGAAATTTACTTTTTATAATGCCTGGACTGCCTAAAGACTCAGATGTAGACAGGACAGATTTTAACCCTGACTTCAGGACAGGCTATGACACCTAGCATATTACTAGAATATGGCTACATCTGATGAATTATCATGGAGATTGAAGAGATGTAGCCCATACTTACCTGCCGTTCTGGCATGAGAAAATGTGACATTTGATGTGTTGGCGCGTGATCGGCCTGGGCGAGATGGGGAGATGAGGAGATGTCGATGGCAGATCCCACATTTGGGATATCGACATTCGCACTGCCAGCGCATGGCTTCGTTCTTCCCTCGACGGACGAACGAAGCGTACGTATACTTACCTACCTATGCCATTTACCTATGCTCACATTATGCCAGTAATCCATCTATTAGGTACTGAATATATATTGGTTCTTCCCTCGACGGACGAACAAAGCTAATCCATCTATTAGCTTTGCGCTTCCCATCCGCGCGCAACTGTCCGCCAAAGCGCATTTGCTTTAACAGGTTATGGGCCCCAATAGCACCATGACCACCAATGAGCTTGACCTCTCTCGCGGCACCCGTCTCCCACTCCTTGCTCTCGATGGCAGCAACTTTACGCTCTGGAAGCCGCAAGTGCTGACCTACACATCACTGCCATGGGCAAAGTCCGCCATCTACGCGGAACTGCCAAAGTCCCCACCAAACCTGCCGACCCTGCGCCCAATGCCAACGCTGCGTCAATTGCTGCTCACGAAGCCGAAGTCAAAAAGTACGAGGATGCTTTGGAGGTTTACGAAACCGGCGAGGCCAAAGTCCGGTCTATCCTCTATTCCACGATCCACGAGACTCACAAGGTCTCCATCCTCACCAAATCAACCTCTCACGAGTGCTGGACGACTCTCTGCGGGCAATTCGAGAAGCGAAGCGACATTTTCGCTCAGGCTATCGTTACTTGGATGCATGCACTCAAATGCGCCGACAGCGAAGATGATCCTCGTCCCAAGCTCGATGAGCTCAAGCGCCTTCTCCAGGACTATGCCGGCGTCGGCGGGGTCATGGCAGACACCGAACTCAAGAGCATTGTCATCAACCTGCTCTCACCCCGTTTGGGCCTTCACCATCTGCACCCTCCTCACCCAGTACAAAATCCAGGCTACGATCATGGCCACCACCAACCCTTCCTCCAAACCGCCCGAGCTCACCGCTGAAGTGCTCATCGACACCATTCGCGATCTGGCAGACACAACCGGCGCGATGCGAGACCCAGCGGAGGCAACCTCAGGTGGAGCTGCTCTAGTTGTCGGGAATGCCAAACCAGATGACGTCTGCTCTAATTGCGGAAAGAAGGGGCACTGGAAGCGAGACTGCTGGTCAAAGGGAGGAGGGAAGGAGGGTCAACATCCTTCGAACTGGAAGGCCATAACGGGCAGAAAGGGGAAAGACAAGAGGGGCAAGGGGAAGGGGGGAGGAAACGGCAACAACAACAACGGGAATAACAGTGGAGGGGGAGGGAGCGGAACATCAGCTGCGGCTGCCACTTACGCTTTTGCGTGGATGGTCAGCACGAACTTCAAGAAGCTGGAGACATATGACATCATCGCTCTCAGCTTCACCGCTCTCCTCGACTCTGGAGCCAACAACCACTACTGCCCTTCTCATGACCGGTTTGTGGAGTTCGGAAACACTCAAGAACCCTAAACCCATCCGTTCTGCCGATAACCGCACCTTCTACGCAACTGGTGTCGGTAATGTCCCCATCTCCGTCATGCATAAGGGGCGGAAGATCGACATCCTCCTCACCAACATCCTCTACTGTCCGGAGATGCCCGTCATGCTCATCTCTGTCGCTGTACTCGTTAAGGCCAAGTTTTCCGTCCACTTCGAACTTGACGGTGCACATGTTCTGGCACCTGATCGCACCACCATCCTCGTTGTACCCGAACGCAATGGTCTTTATCCTATCACGGAAGTCCATGGGTCAACTACTACCCCTTCGAAACCCTCTCCTGACACCGCTCTCGCAACCATGTCCCTTCACGAATTCCACTGTCGCATGGGCCATGCTGACGTTCGAGGACTCAAGGCCATGGTCGACCATCAAATCGTAGACAGCATCGTTCTCACTAAAGACAAGGCTGGCTTCTGCAAGGGATGCGCCCAGGGTCAGCTCAAACACAACCCATTCCCAAAGCAGCGCGCCAGTCCACCAGCCAAACACTTTGGAGAACGAGTTCATAGCGACATTTGGGGACCCTCACGAATCGAGTCGCTCAGGCACAATCAGTACTTTATTGTCTTCGTCGATGACAACTCCGATGAAGTTACCGTTACAGGCCTACGGGAGAAATCGAAAGCCTTTGAGGCATATCGTCATTACGAGGCCACCCTCTATGGCTAGATCTATGCATAAAATGCTGGTGAGGTCCACAGAAAGCTATCCATAAGATATGGGTGTTCCACCAGAGACCTATAACTGAGACTTGTGACAGGAATTGTGACAGGAGATCAAAACTAATATTACACAACAGGATTGACAGATATCACTTATGTAATATCATATATAATATCCTTAAGTCCTATTTCTTCAGGCCGATGACCCGGTATGTAGTTAGGGGGACTGTGTGATAAGGAAAAGAGATTATCATCCTAATTTGGATGAAATTGATGGATCTCTATATAGCCATCAGAATCACTGATGCCAATCATAAATGGTTCCACATCAAGGTATATATCTAGATGCCATCACTCCATCACTGATAACCCTCTCAGGTAGTCTAATAATAATAAATTCAAGGGCTGTTATATATTACAAATAGCTGGACCCATATCTTATGCATAATATTCCCTGGACACCACCCTTATCTTATGCATAGATCTGACTATAGGAGCTGACGAGGCATGGGCAAAGCAACATCGGGGGGGCAACGGCGATCGGGGAATTGCAGACGGACGGAGGGGGGGAATACACGAGCGGAAAGATGGAGACACATTTGAAGGATCAGGGGACGCATCACCGTACCACTGTACACCATTCGTCGGCACAAAATGGCACTGCTGAACGTGTTCTCCAAACTCTTATGGCCCATGCACGCAAGATGCTACATCACGCAAGCTTGCCTCTTTCGCTCTGGCTCGAGGCCGTTGTCCACGCCGCTTGGTTACGTAACCGAACCGAAACGAGAAAGACTCCAGGCTCAACACCACACGAGCGGGCGACCAAAAAGAAGCCCGACTTGTCACAAATCCGACGTTTTGGCGCAAACGTCTGGGTCAAGTTGGAGGGCGCCATCGAAAATCGACAAACAGTCGAAACCATGTCGGTGGATAGGAATTGACACCCACGCCAAGGGTCACCGAATCTATTGGCCGGATGTCTGTCGCGTTTCCATAGAGCGCAACGTATGGTTTGAGGGGGAGCCTGATGAGACGTATTTTCCCAAAAGCGTCACAATCGAGGGGGAGATGGAGACTAGTTCTGGCAATCGCGACGCTTCGAGCTCAACATCTACTCCGGACCCTTCCCCACCCCTAAAATCGGAACAACCTAAGGTGTCGATACCACCACCGCCTGTCGCTCCAAAACGCCCAATGACACCTCCAAGTCCTATGTCCGACCTCACTGTGTCAGAGACTGGGGACCAACCTCCGCAACCTCCAGAGGAATCTCGCCGTACTCGAAAACCCAGCCGATGGATTCGAGACTTGCAGGAGGGAAGAGGGATCATGGCATCAAAGGTGCCACCGAGCGTCATGCTGGACAAACTCCCGGAAAAGCTACCGGACGAACCGCAGGCAAAGGCCTCACTCGCTGTCAACGACAACCGCAACTGGCTGGATGGAGCCATTGCTCAGCTTGCGATGCGCGAGATGTTTGCGGGAAATGAACAACCGTTGATCGCCCTTGCCACAATGGATGGGGACTCACCAACGGACCGAGAGGCCATGGAGAGCGAAGAGAGT